ACATTTTATATGTAATGATGAATGGATCAATAGCAACTTTACTTATTGTGACAGCATCAGTTTTTCTCTGTTCTGCGTTGGCCCTACAGCACTTGTATAGCTTTGTTTGCAGGCGTTTTTTTTCCTTTGTGCTAATTGTACCAGTTTGTCTTTATCCCCTGCAGAAGCTACATGTGTTCTTGTTCGAGCTGGTGCTGGTGTTGACCCGACCGGTTGTGCAGGACAAGGACGGCATGGTCCAGTTCCAGGTTTACCGTCAACCCCTTCCTGCTGACCACCTCCTACTTGAAGACTTGCCTGATGGAGAGGCCAGTAGTTCTGGATCTTTCCGTGGCGCCTTCACTGGCAATGACAAAGGTATTAAAGACGCTTTTGCTCTGTTCTTTACTCTATGACTTGTTCACTGTATAGTGCTCTATTTCGTGAGGCTGTCGTTTTGTATTGGTGTCCGGAAACAGTGGTGATTAACTGGTGCGCCCTAAAAATCACACATTCCATCACAATAGATACTGTGCAAATACCCATCGTGCCATATGGGATAGAATGTGTCTACAATCGCAGAGCGATGAGCAAACCTCTGTAGCGTTAGACTGAGTTTTAACAAAATAGTTCATTTGAATTTTGTTCCCTGTAATAGTGCTTTATATAGTGTTCCTGATTTTTAAGTGTAAGGAGTAAAACTACTACTACTACAACTACTGCTACTACTACTACTACTAATAATAATAATAATAATAATTATTATTATTATTGTTATTATAATGATAAGCTTACAATCTCATGTAGCTCTATCAAAACAAGTTTACAAAGTGTTTTATGGTGCATAAAATAATACACAATAGAATAAAAAAAAAACAATAACATTGCAATAACCAATGTTATAAAAATGAAATGTTATAAAACAATAATGAAAGAATAAAAATAAACATAAAAAGAGAAATAGATCTCAAATGATCTAGAAGGGAATTCCAGAGCTTAGAACCTTAATAACTAAAAGCAGTCTCCTCCCTCTCTAGCCAGGTTTCAGGGAAGATTAGAATTTAATGATCAAGCTGGAGCATATCTATCAGTCTTATCGCTGACATAGGGACCAGCAAGGCCATGGAGACATTTGAAAACTAATAGGATTATTTTCAAATCAATTCTAAATGACACAAGTAACCAGTGAAGGACTTTATATGGTTATATTATATGGTCTCTCTTCTAGAACGTGTGAAAACTTAACTCTGCTCTCTGTACCCGCTGCAAATAGTAGAGCTCTTTGGTGAGCCAAAAAAGAGAGCATTAGTTGTAATTAATAGTAATTGAGAAGAGAAAAAGGAAGAAAGAAGATAGGTCAAAAGGAAGCCACAGACCTTAGACATATAACGCAAATGATAGTAAGCTGTTTTGCAGCCATTACTAATGTGATTCTTAAAGTTGAGATTGTTGTCAAAAATCACTCCTAAGTTTCTGACATTGCTGGTTTTTAATTAAACTGACGAATCCAAATATAAAGCAATTTATCTTTCCTCAGTGCTTCTCTTCCAAAGACAAGGACCTCAGTTTTGTCTTAGTCTAGTATAAAGAGGTTTTGTGGCATTAACTAGTTAATGTCATTTATACAATCAAGAAGAGAGTTGACAGATTGATGGGCATCAGGCGGTAAGGACAAATAAAGCTGTGTATTATCTGCATACTGCTTAAAACTAACATTGTAATTAGTATTTATTTCAGCAAGCGTTAACATGTATAGATTAAAAAGCAAGGGGCTTAATATTGGCCCCTGTGGGACCTCACAGGACAAAGCAAAGGCTTTCTAAGTCTGATTCAGAGAGCTCAACACACTTATAAAGCTGATTTAGTACAATTGAATGGTCAGCTGTGTCAAAAGCAACGCTAAGATCAAGTAGAACCAAGATAGAAAGACTAACTGAATCCAGAAAAACCCGCAGATCATTTAGTACTTTAAGAAGAGCTGTTCTGGTGCTCTGGTAGTTCCAAAAGCCAAACTAAAGCATTCATTTAGATTATTCACATTCAGATGACTGCCTTCTCCATGATTTTACCAAGAAATGGGAAGTTAGAAGTAGGTCTGTAGTTACTAAGCCTGGAGTAATTGAGATTACATGCTTCTACATTCTGGATTCTCTGCTAAAGTAAATATTGAACAGTGTTCAAGAGCTCATTGGAGAAAACTCCAAAAAAAAAGTGGGTAAAAAGAGGGTCTAGTTATTAAGGGCACATTTAGAACACGGCACTTCTCTCTTTTCATAGTGCAAGACAGAAAAAGGTCAATGAATAGCAAAAGCAAAAGCCTTGTACATTGTTCTATCCCTCAAGCAATGAACAAAAAAAAAACCCACAAAAAAAAAACAAAATGGATGAAAAAAAGCATCAATATTAATCTCTCTCTCATGCTCCATCTCTCCTCTCAGTGAAGAACGGCTTCCGTGTGAGCAGCAGAGGGCGCGCCAAGGCCCAATCGCACAGCCTGCAGGCCAACGACTCCTTCAACAAGCAGCAGTGGATTTCCTGTATACGCCAAGCCATCGTCCAATCACGTGACAGAAACGCTCAAGCAAGCCAGTCCAAAGCCTCAGCCCGGCTAAGCCCTGACCCTGCCCTCGATCACATCGCTGAACTGAGCCTGAATTCTGATGTGGAGATGCCAGACACATAGGCCACGTCTCAAACAGACACCATATAACTTTACAAGGACAAAGCAAGGTTTCCCATTCCATCCTGGGAGCTGATAACTTTAGCTTTTTTTTGTTTTGAAAGTGAAAAATATTTATATGAATGTTTATGATCTTTGATGTGCAGAACATCCTCTATTATGAATGTGTTAGGTGTGTGTTCTGAGCCTGAACCAGTGTCTGACTGCAGTTAATCAGAGCTGAAGACTGCAGTTGATCAGATCTAGTTCACTTTTACACGTGTGCTCCAATGCGTTGAGTGAGTGTGTTAGACCGGTAGGCCGAGGACTTGCACCTGTACTGTATGATCTTTGTACCTCGCCTGGTCAGTACTGATGAAAATGTGGACTTTGAATTGTGTATAAATGATATATTGTATGTGTTCATGCATGTCGTTTGTTTGACAACTGATGGTATATTTTAGCTGAATGTCATTGCTTTTGTATTTTACCCTCATATGAAGAAGATATGAAGATATAAAGTATTTTTATAATGTACGTTTTTTTGTTTCTGATGAACTGACAGTGTGCATGAGTTTAGACCTATGCAGTTCTGAGGCCAATATGAGAAAGTAGCTGAGAATGTGAGATATTTACTTACAGCTTTTGTCCAGCATACCCTGCTGTTTCCACTGTTATTGTGTAGCCTGTAGACATATAACTGAACTTCAAATGATTTATAAAAAAAATCACTGATACATAACTTGTGCATAACTTGTTTACTTATCAGTTTGTTTGTTAACAGTAAATATAAGTTGCAGCAGAAGTAGATATGGACCCGGCACTGCAAGTTATGGGGTCCAGCTCACAGGTTTAAGCTGTTCCAGCTATGGTGAGAAGACTTGGCTAAGTATAGACAGTCGTCCAGGGGAGAGGAAAGATTAGCGATGATTAAGGGTCACTCTCGGTACGGTGGCCAGGTGAGCAGCAGCCTGCAGTGAGAGTGGAGAACCTTGTCATAAATAGCGTACGCTTGTTCAGAAATTTTGTTCTACACAACTTTAAGCAGATGTTTTGAACGCCTGCTGGAACTCATGTGGAGCCTGACCGTCGGAGCCATGTCCATGTGAGTAAAGACTACATAACATGCACTGATAGCTAAGAGATAGGAACACATCTTTTCCCCCAAAACAGCTAATAAATTTAAAACATTTATTCACATAAATGAATTTATTTTACTTCACAAAATGGTTTGTTTTTATGAGCTTTCTTTGTGCCTTTTTAGCCATGTTGTTTCCTTAAATATTAGATTATTCACATTTAGATGAAATCAAGGTGACCTATTCCAACTATTGTAGTTTTACTTAAAGCCTTTAGTCCTCTAGAGCTATTGTCATTTTCCTACTCGTTTGATTTATCTCTAATTACATAATTACATAATGAATTGCATAGTTATTTTATGCAATGAGTTACAATACTGTGCAAAAGTCGGATCTGTCATTTATTTATTTTCCCATTAATATGGAAAAAAAGTACACAGAAAGTGAAAAAAACATGTTTCCAAAACTGGCATTAAAAATCATTGATATATGCAGAGAAAATGTGGCTCATGACAACCATGCAAGACCTGGTAGACCACCAAAACTGTCAGCATCAGATGAACAGCACTTAAAGCTTTCATCTTTGAGAAAATCAAGCTCCACTCTACTTCAGATCTGAATGATTCTGTCCATCCTTCCACTGTGAGAAGACAACTCAGCGTTATGGGTCTGAAAGGATGTGTAGCTGTTAAGAAGCCTTACTGGGAAAAGAAAATAGATTAAAAAAAGATTTGGACTAGAACACCAAAACTGGACATCGGAGATGTAAGTTTTTAATGAGTTTGGACTGGATTTATATTTGGGATTATCTGGATTGTGAGAAGAAGATGTAACCAACTTCTAAGCCTGAACTTTGGAGATGTAGAAAAAATATGCTTGGATTTCTTTGGAAAAACTGAAAGCAAGTCTCCTGAAAAGAATGGAAGCTGTAACGAAGGCAAAAAACTGGACAAACTAAACAGTGAAAATAACTGTACATTTACATTCAGTTGTTATTCTGTATCCTATGGACACAGCTAAAAATATGTAATTAGAATTAAAAGAAATGCAAATAAACTATTCATATCTGCCAGCGTGTTAACCATTTCCAAAGCTCTCCTTGAGGAAGCATTATTAACAGTTACTTATGTCTATTCTGGCTAATCAGTTCTTTATGAAATGAAATCGCTCATCTTCTGTCCTCTGATATTCTTTCACAGGTAATTCAGGCTGGTGCTACATTGCCTTTCACACACATCTCTGTGCACTCTGCCTGGCGTGAGTTCACTCTGTACTAGAGCCAAATGCCGAGAACAGCCTCCAACCACATGGATAACTCCTGTCGGGCCTTGTGCCGAACTCTGCTGAGCCAAAATGGCCTCCAGCCTGAAGGCACAGACATCTCTCAGTCGGTCCTCTACACATCCCTCATGGGTCTGCTGCTGGTGGCCGACAGGGAGGTGAGCCGTGCTGCTTCAGTAGCAGTAGCTGTAGAACGCCTCAGACAGACAAGAACGCTTCACCAAGGAACTGAAGTTATGTCTTTAAAATGGCCTCCACATGTAGAGACACCCACAGGAGTTCCACAGCCCTCCCTCCTCCTGCCAGATAAACGCCTTTGGTCTTGACCTCTGTGATGTCTAAGAATGTGTCTTCCCTGCCTGAGATAATGGGATCAGAGATCTATAAATGGAGTCATCCTAGACAGGGTGCAGTCCCTGGGGAGCAAAGCCAGGGAGGATATTTTGAGGAGATTTATATTTAAAACTACCTTTAAAACTATGTTGTGGCTCACTACATTGATTTGTATTGTTTATAGCTGGAATCAAGGGTGTAATTAGGATTAATACAAGTAACAACAACAACCACAATCATAATAATAATAATAATAATAATAATACAAAAATGATCTTTAATTAATACAAAAGGTGATGATCCTATGGGTCCAAGTGCAAAAAATAATCTGAAATATATATATCGCTGCTGTCAGGACAGTCCAACATTAATTTGAAATAAATATTTCTCCATTTACTTCCATTTAAATTTAAGAACATTTTTCCTTTTCTTGTAAAGAGGTTTTGTTCTGACAACAGTGACATATGTATCTCTAGCTCTCTCTCTCTCTATATATATATATATGTACACACACACACACACACACACACACACACAGAAATACATGTGTACATGACCACCCAAGTATATTTTGTCCCATTTTAACAATATCCAGTTTCTTCCAGAGATGACATATTTTGTATTTTGATGAATACACCTTTCCCCCTCACTTTTCCATGAGGTGCTACATACCTAAAAACGAAAAACATGCCTTATTTAAATACTTGAAGTAAACAAATGCTATGATGAGTTTGGATATCCATATTTTCAAATAGCCACCCCTCATGCAGCTCCCCCCAGGTTTGTTTCAGACATGTGGAAAACAATAAGTATTTGTGTCATTGTTATAAAATTGCATAAGTAGCAATATAGAAGGTCCTGTGAGGGCTTTGGGTGGCCTGGTCATCACAGGAGCAGCACTACAGGCCCCTGTGCATTTTCTCTACACCTACACTGGTGGTAGTTACACCACTGGTTGGGATGTTGACCATTTTGCTAAGCTCAGTGTGTAATTGTGAAATATTCATCTCACAGAAAGAGCTACCATTGGGCAGTGGGCAAGTTGGACTGCGTAACGTGGGGAACACAGTATGTTACAATACAAAATTCAGTTTTGTACATATTTTTATTTCTTTCCTTTTTCTGTTATGAAATTCTCTCTCTCCCTGTGCACACGTGTCTTGACTTGCAGTGTTTCCTGAACGCCATTGTGCAGTGTCTCTCACACACTCGGGGTCTTAGAGATTACTGCCTGACTAAATCCTACCTCCAGGACATGTGCTCCAGCCAAGAGCCAGAGCTGATGAATGGTGAGCCCACATCTACAGTAATTCACGCTCTCCACTCCACTTTCATATGTTCAGCAGTGCTTACCTTGTTATGAACTGCATCACTTAATGTGCTGCAGAACTTGATTTAGTTGTGTGGAATAAATTACCTAACTGTTCATAGCTTATCATGGTGAGGTCTAACCTGTAACGTGCTCTTTGTACTCTGTGGCAGAGATGTGAAACTGGGTCCCTTTTGGGCCAGAGTTTAGATTCCTCATTAGACATATCTAATTTAACTCATCAGCCATTTAGCAAGGCCTATGAGAGTTCAATTCAAACTAAGCTGCAGTCATACGAGAAATTTGCAATGAAAATATATCTTCTATTTTGGTGCAGCTAACAAGCTAGGTAAATCGCTAACTATAAGCAGCAAACACAAAACTGTACACATATCAGATAAATTTGCTGCAGTGTAGTGCTACACGCTGATCTGCAGTTTAGTGTAGAGTAGAGATAACCAGATAACTGGTGTGGTTGGTGACAGTCAGGTGATTTGTGCACAGCAGCGGTTAGCCAATGAGCTAACATTGCAGTGAGCAAGCTGGCTAACATGTCTAAAACTGCAAAAGATAATAATATAGTCTCTTGACTACAAGAAGTCTTTTTTATGTGTTTACTTACAGCCAGTGAGGAAAAACATTTAAATTAGCAATTCCTCCATTTTGGTTAGTCTGTGCTACTATATTGAGGTCAACACAGCCAAAGAAGTAGCACAAAATTTCACCCCAGAAGTCTGTGACACAAAACTGCTCATGGTGGCAAATTCCATTGAAATGAATGAACTTTCGATCACGAAATTTCTCTGGCAAGCACTAATATGACTGGGCCTTTAGGAGAGGGGAAACACTAATGTCCGCAGAGCTGTGATCTGCAAGGAGCTCAGTCTTACACCTCTGCACTCCATTACAGAACATCTTTATCTCTTCACTTTTGCAGAATTCACTAAAGTGTTAGAAGGTCTGTGGGATGTAAATGGAGGAGACACCACAGTGAATCCTGGGAGGTTCTATCGTGTCTTTAAAGAGGCAGTGCCTTACTTCAGTGGTTACAGGTGTGCAGTATAATAATTCATATTCACATGGCATACCCTTGCTGTTATGACATTACTACATTTATATGAACCATCCAAAGTTACAGTTGTCACCAGTGGTAACAAAACCACGTGTTGGTATTTGATATTACTTATGACTCACTTGTAGCTCATTGACCCTTTTAATCTGTACCACATTTGTGTTTGTAAGCAGAAGAGGAGATATTTTATAATTATTTGAAATTGGTGAAATTTTTTTTTATATTTTTTTTTAAACAAAGTTTTGTGGACAAAAACAATCTTTTTTGCCACTGAAACAAACAAAAAATCAAAAGTGCAGATTGGAACCTGTCGATACTGAATCTAAATTGAATGTAAATGGAATTCATTACATAGTTGGGTATGCAGACCACATATAAATAGTTATGTAATATGAGTATAATGTATAGGTAAAGGATAGTAATATGGAAGGGTAATGACTTTGGGCATAGCTGCAAACTTTGAAATATAATATCCTAAATTCATTGGTGTAGTTTATATATTTTTTATGTACATCACTCTTAGCAGTGCATTGGTGCAACATGTAGGTAAAAAATCTCTCCCTCGCTCTCTCTCTCACTCCTCACAGTCAGCAGGATGCTCAGGAATTCTTGCGTTTCCTTTTGGACCAGCTGCATACAGAAATTAACCGGCGGCCTGCTCAGCGTCACTCCATCTCTCCCACTCCTGAGCCCACCTACACCCGGTTCAGGTACACTGAGAAAATCTCATTTGAATAGAATTGAGTCATTCAGCTTCGTAGCGTCATTCACACCCTCAACCACTTATTCCAACCAGGATTTCAGAGGAGGCCTCCGCAATGTGGAAGAGACATCTTGACAGGGATGACAGCATAATTGTAGGTAAGCAGTGGTTGTCAGACTGTCAGCTTTTACTATGTTCTCTTGTTTTTTTAGGTGAACCGACAGAAGAAACTGGACTTGATTTGTCAGTGGCGAACTGTGACTATTAGAGCTGGACCTTCTTTTCAGTCCATAAACATCAAAACAGTCAAAAATAAAGAGGAATAAAGGACTTTTACAGTAATGCTAATTTCTGCAAGCCTCCAAGTGGATTTCCAATACAATGTTAACTATGATAACTAACGCTGGTGCATATGAACAATTCTAGATCTTAAAGTGCCATTTTTCAATATTTAACAACATCCTGTTTAAACTGCTTGTTTTTACAGTCAATGGTATATATAGGGATGATAAAAAACTTCAGCACTATTTCGACAGGTTTAGTTTTACATATGAAGGCAGAGAAATGTCAATTTTACCAGCATTTCTCAGTGATTTTAGTCCAGTTCGAATTCACCATGACAGCTGTTCTTACAGGCTGTGCACTTCCACATCAGTAAAGATTCCAGTGCCTTGTTCCTTTAATAAAACTAAAGACAGGTATAACCCCAGGTTATGTTAAACCAGTGTGAGATGGCATGTTGGTAAAATTGCTATCATATTCCATGGAAAAGGAGTTTCTAAGGCATGAAGGCACTTAAAGAAGCTTTCACTTGTGTTCTCTGGCTAAGATCAAGCCAATATATGCTGTCGTCCTCAAGTATACAATTCAGAACATAAAAATATGTAAGAATTACAGAAACAGTTTTATTTTATGCAGTGATGTTGACTGTTAGCTGTGAATTCCCAGGCTAATGACAATGCTAATGACCACATGTTCACTTAAGCAAGACAAATTGGTAGAGTAAGCAAAATATTGACTATATTAATCTTTTTCCCCAGTTTTCACCTCACTTTAGATGTATCCAATTCTACCCACTAGTTAGGACTCCCCCAGTCAAATGATACCACCAGCGCTAGGAGGGTGAGGCTTCCTCTGAGACCTGTGAAGTGCCACCGAATCTTTTCAAACTGCCACTAATGCAACATCATTGGACAGCTCAAAGGAAAGTGCTAACTGCCAGTTCTGTTATGTCAGCTAACAGACGTCTGAGCTGGCTAGCATCATGCTGGGTGATGTGGGGAAATGCGCAGGCCATCTTATCCACCCAAAGACAGTGAGGCCAATTGTGCTCTGTTGGACTCCCGGCTACAGATGGCTGTAGCATCACCAGGGAGTGAACTTGTTTTGACATGTTTTTTTAGTCTTTTCAGTGCATAAAATTAAGTAGCCACTCTTATCTCTGCCATTTATACCACCTTATTTTGTGTAATTTGGACATAAACATTGCGAATGTGGCAAACTGGCATTAATCCACCACCATATAGAAAACTAATGCCCATCTGAACAGTACTATTCTCAGTAAATTGATCCCTCTAATTGTAAACCAAAACATGTTTGGATGATTCCACTTCCACTTCTTTATTATATTGATAGTCAATCTAACACGTAAGGCCTTCTGTCCAGCTCCTGAAGGTCTAACCAATAAGAGAGCTAGTTTGGCTGTAACTGCCGATTTGCCACAAGAAAGAAAAATCCAGAAATGGTTAGGCCTTTTCTGAAGGCCTAGAAGGCCCTAAGGTTTCCCTCTGGGATTTATAGCAAAAAAAGTAAGACTGAGCACCGGGGTGAAATAAGAGTTTCCTTGAATAGTCCTGAGAGCTTGCAGCTACTGAGTGTCAGATGAATGTTTTCAGTTCATTTACACTTACAACCAAGTGTCTGGAGTCAGCAGAATCTTTCTATTCCCCACACTCTGCCTTGCAGTTTAGCAGTGCCTTTCTCGTTCTTTTCTCACCCATCATAGATCTGTTCTCAGGGCAGCTGCGCAGCTCCCTGCACTGTTCCGTCTGCTCCCACTACTCCAACACCTTCGATGTCTTCTGTGATCTGTCGCTGCCGATCCCGAAGGTAAAGAAGCTTCATCTTTTAGGCCCAGGCTGAAACATGCACATACCTGCTCTCATCTTTCTTTATCTCTGCTGTTTCAGAGGAGTGACTCCAGGGTAACTGTCACACTGAGAGAGTGTTTAGATCTGTTCTCGCAAGAAGAGAAACTGGAACAGGAGAATTCGCCTGTACGTACAGTGCTCTGTCTGCAAGTTCATCTGTATTCATCTGAAATGCTGTATATGTATGGTCACTTAGTGTTTTGTGTGCTTTTAGATGTGTGAAAGGTGTAATCGTCGCACAGAGAGCACGAAAAGGCTGACCATCCAGAGGTTCCCTAAAATCCTGGTCATACGTATCCTTCACATGTCCATGTGGTGGTGAAGATCACTAAACCTTAAAGGGCCTATGAACCTTAAAAGGTCAATTTTTCCTGTATTGTATTTGTTTTCCCTGGAGTCCATTTTTTTTCTGAAGTCCACCAAAAACAGTGGTAATTCATTTTTATATGAATATTTCCAGTCTGTCTTTATCCTTTAGAAAAAATTGGGTTGTTTTTGTTAATGTAAATGTAAGACAGGTATATATAAATGAGATCTGGTCTCACAGACTGTTCTGTATTGTGCCTCATTCAAAAAGCAGTCCTGGCTATAACACTCCTTATCACTTCAGTGTGAATGGGCTAGCTAAACTGCTAAATAGTCTAATACAATGGTACACAACTCCGGTCCTGGGGGCCAGTGTCCAGCAGAGTTGAGTGATTTACCTGCTCAAAAACACCTGATTTAACTCATCTGCTAATTTCCAGGTTTAGTGGGTCCGCTTGAGTAGGGGAGCCACCAAACTCTGCTGGACACTGGCCCTCTAAGACCAGACTTGTGCACCCCTGGTCTAATATATGTAAATATTAAAAAAGTGAATTCAATATGGCTAAACATTCTTGTTAACTTAACTAACTGCCTCAGACTTAAACCGGTTTACCATGACAAGGTTCTCATTCTGCAAAAGCACAGTACCAGTGTTGTTCCCTCTCAGTGATCTGGATTTAGGACCTTTCGGACCGGTTGATTGTGGTGGGTAGGGCCTAATGAATAGGCCTAAGTATGAAAGACACAAATAAAACTTACATTTTCTTTAAGCAATAACAGTAAAAAACAAATCAAATGGATGCATTTTTCCCCTTACCCTAAATGTACTCACATATATATGAAAACTCTTTTCCTCTGGCAGTTGAATCAGATGACATGTCTCTTTTGAAGACTTCTGAATATGTGTAACCAGGGAGGCATGAAAACAGGATGCAAGTGTGAATTTCTTCAGGTTTAAGGCAGCAAGCATAGCAGAGATTTCCTGACAAAAGAACAAGAAACAAAACCAAGACATCAGAGAAAACGAGTAGACTAGAAACTGAAAAACAGAAAACAAACCAAGAAACTAAACTGGAAGGACAGCAAAGTCAAATAACTTATTCAGGAAATACATAAAACAATGACACACAATGCACAGCAGGGACAAGGCAGATCAGAGGGGCTGAAATATACTGAACAGAACCAGACACAGCTGGGAGTAATAAAGAGAGGGTGGGGCTACAGACAAGCGACAGGTAAGGCAGATAACAAGGAGACAAGAACCAAATTTTGGTGCTAATAATATCATACAGATGTCAATTAAAAAGGACATAGCTAAAAGTCAAAGCAGCCATCTTGAAGCCTGTGTTTTGTCTGTACTTTTTGTCCATTTATGTTAGTCTTGTAGCTTCAGAGCAAACTAAAGAAGGAAACTTCAGACATCAAACAGGTCTTTTGTGGTCAGGAAATTTGTGTAAATTTGTTTTTTTGACTAACTTTCTCTTTACTCTTCTTAATGAAGACGAACTTTAACTCATATGAACCCTACAATTTTTTCTTGGTTATTTACCTTAAGACAGGGGTGCCCAATCCTGGTCCTGGAGAGTTTAGGTCCATCACACCAGGGCTCTAATACTCAGATGCCCCTGAATGCCTGGTGTTTGATTAGGGCTGGTAGAACTCCAGGACCAGGATCAGGCACCCCTGGCTTAATACATTATTCAGCAACTACTTTGAATCACTTGGTAACTGCTATGAATCACTTGGCTGTGAAACTAATATGTGAGTTGATAGTAGGAAACTGAAGTGTGGGCCTGTAGGCTTTAAGGCATTAAAAATCAGACAGCTAAAGTTTTTCCCTGACTATAATTTTTTCCACAGCTTTTTTAACAGTAACTGAGTCATTTTTAAATGTGAATGTGAACAGAGGTGTATAAATGTGTGTAGGTCCAGTGCTGTATGATCTATATGCTCTGTGTAACCACGCGGGCACAGTGAACATGGGACACTACACAGCTGCCTGTCGGGAGGAGGAGGGTTGGTGCTGCTATAATGATTCCTGGTGAGTGTGGCACTCTTTTTACACTTGCTGTGTGATGTGATTTTGCTATTAGATGGTATTTTTCACAGCTATGACATTGTAACTTTTGGGTACTACTTTGTAAAGGCACGCTCAGTGATGTGCCGAATTTAAAACATGCCTTTTTATGACAGATCTATAAAAACAAAACTGATGCTGTGCTCGCCTTCTCTTGCAGTGTCACCCAAATATCTGAAGACCAGCTTCAGTCCAGTCAGGCCTATGTTCTCTTCTACCAACTAAAAAACAGCACAACCACCAGGAAATGAGTCCATCACAGCAGACAGCACTGGTGAAGACTTTGGGGCTAGTAGTTCATGTGGCACATTCCAGCAAGAGCTTTTCTGCAAGAACCAGAGAGAAGTGAACTGTGGACCGAGTCAAGCTTCCTGAACAATACAAACAGAAACAAAGCATCTGATTCAACTTCTAGAACAAAAGTTATATATTTCAACTCAATCACCTCAAATATCAGTATAATGTTAATTATACTTATTAATTAATGAACTTTTTTAAAAGTTTGGTTAAAAATGTATATTTTCTACTAGACCACTGTCATTGCTTTTCTACCAAAAGTCAGTTTCTGCATTTTAGACCAGCAGTGACTCTTACTTGTTGTTGTTGTCATAATATACGTCTATTTTGGTGTTTATTTATATTTTTTATCAGTTAGTTGACAGTGTGGAAGCACACACAGTGTAATACAGACAGTGTTTTTGTTTTTCAATATAGTTGTTTGTATGAAACGCATTAAAAATAAATCCTTTGTTTATACATACATACATACATACATCATCTAAACCGATTATCCTTCTGGGTCGCGGTGGGGTGCTGGAGCCTATCCCAGCTGTCATTGGGCGGAAGGCAGGATACACCCTGGACAGGTCGCCAGTCCATCACAGGGCATCCTTTGTTTATGTTTTACATTTTGTTTATTTACATACATCTGACTTGTATTACAGAAACATCCTAACTCTGAAATCAGCTTCAGTTAGGACGGAATTTAGGACTGTAGCTATTATGAAAATTCGTCAGATAAAATATTACAGTGATGGTGGTGAATGATGAGGAGACAGAGCTGAAAGTGTGGCTGTTTATTAGGAGGAATAGCATTAGTGCTGCTGAGTGTTCCAACAGTTTGTCCTACCCATCGTGTTGCCCTACTGAGCCCGCACATATCATTACTATAGTGGAGTAACTTAACGTTTCAAACATTTTATTGTTTTTACTTTTAATTCAGTACAGAATCCGCTTAATATTATTACTTACTTCATGATGAGGTGATTTAAGCAATTAAATATCATAATTATTCTTTTAATGCTTTCTGTTTTCTGATAAGGAGATTTAAGCTAACACCTGACAAATTATCCTAACTTACCTATGCACTTCAGTGCTGGTAGCATTTTCTGACAGGGTAATATTGGCCATCAAAATATCTTACGTACAGTTCTATGTAGAGTGCTACCTAAGAATATGTGGTATGATTTTAAGATTTTAAGGCATTTCATGGCAGCACAATTCATCAGAACACAAGCTAAAGCGTTTGGTAAACTGAAACTGGGGAGCATCGATGCTCTGAAGAACAGCAGGGACCACTGACATACATAATCACCATTTTTTGCACTTTCGTTTTTTTACCCTTTTTACATTACATTTTAGCAATATTTTGATTATGTGTTTACGTTTCCACAGTGAAGGCTAGGTAACATGACAATTGATTGTCGATTGAGTAAGCTAAGATTTCCTAACCTAAGATAAAATACTATAAGATAAAAATTCCTAAATTAAGATAAGATTTGCTTCTGTAATACAAATTTGTGAAAAACCTAGCCCTAGAACTCTAATGTTAAACCCTGTATTTCTAGGGGTGGACAGATCAATATTGATGGTGATATTTTCGATCCCGATGTGATCTTTTGAAAATCTATTCACACTTGAAAATATCAAAACCATTTATTAGAGCAATAAAATATGTATAATATAGCACAGCATAGTATAGTAAAATACTTACGTAATTGTACTTTATTATTGTAATTAGGGTCAAAAGAAAATTCAGCTGACACTATGATTCTGCCATGAAAACAACCCTTTTATAAAAATGAACAGACAGAAAGACATAATGTGCAACAACCCCACAGGGATCACCACCAGCCACAGGTTTCAACATCATAGTGACCCCCCCTCCACACACACACACACACACACACACACACACACACACAATAACACAGACACACACACCTTAACTAAAAGCAGCAACATTAACAACAATAAACACCATAAGTAGTGCCGTTTTTAATTGGGGCGTGCTCCTCCCATGAGTCCCTTCCTGCAGCTCTCTGTGATGCCTCACATTATTTTACTTTTGTATTCTTTTAAAAGATTTGTACTTTACCAAAATAGTATTGCAGTTGAATACTTGACCTTTTACTTATTTACGTTTCATTTAAACATTCAACATACTTGTGTGAATTTTCATTTACAGGCCAGGTGATTTTTATCTCTTTCTCTTGCCAGTAAGTTCATTTCCTGTTTACTCTAATTTACCGTGTTCGTTAAAACATCCAACCAAATTAATATCAGTGTGAAATGAAACACAATAACCATACTTTCACTGAAGTATGATTTCTCTGCACTTGTTCCACCCTTATAGTATAGTATAGTATATTATTGTGTAGTGTAGTGTGTAGTTTTGGGCATGTTAAATGTTCCTTAAGCAGTAAACTGAATCTCTCTCTCTCTCTGGTTGTGTGTGTACTGGTTATCTTGGTAATTGATCTAAAAGAAACGCTGTGGTATCACTGAGACCTTCAAGATGTCGACGAAGTACTTTACTCAGGTAACTTTATCAAGAGTTTCTACTTTTATTCAAGAGCGGAACTACCCCTGCTGCTATTTACGAGGCGAGCGGTGCTGTCTGCTCTGACCGGCCTACAGAAAAAAGTTATTTGCAGTAGCGCCACCTGTTGGTCATGACTGTTTCTACATTTTGTGTGGTTAGTTCCCCCTCAGGCACAAATAATGGTTTATTCCGTTGCCAAGGCGCTCGGCCCAAGCTCCGCACAAACTCCGCTGAAGGCCAGCACGAGCCGTCTTCAATGTTGACAAACACGGCCAAGCTAACGGACTATTCCTAATTTTTCCTCAGAAATTACAGCTTTTTTACTGGACTTTGCTGACTAACTAAATGTGTATTTCGACTGCTGCGCACTGTTTCATACTCGTAACCTACACGGCTGTACTAGATAGCAAAAAAGCTAACGGTAACTTTTGCTAGCGAACGAGTTTGGCTACAAGTGGCGAACTGTGAGGAGGTGGCTAGCTAGCTAGCTTGCGTGCTAATTGCCCGAAGCTAATTCGGCTCAGTAATTTGCGTATTCGAAGCGGTATTTGAACACAGATATCAGCGTGTATGTTTTATAACTATGTCTGAGTAGGTTACGTTAATGTTAGCAACTTGGCTATCTCGCTCACACCGACGTTGTATTGTGCTTCATAACGGAACATCTCGAGTTCACTGCCGAATCCCTAACTTACTAGGAACTTAAACCAAATGTGTGACTCGGATGAGCAGCTGTTCGCTGTTAGTTAACGTAATTGTATGAAGGGAGAACCCTTGGACTTGATTTAGCGGATGTGGCATATGGTATGTCGAATCGTCGTCGCCGCTGCACCGGTGGCCTCTCCCATAAAGGAATTTGCGTTTTTCTGTGTGCTCCATAGAAGGAATGATGATGATGATTAGGAGCGTATATGGCTGCTGTATTTTGGTAACCAAATGTTGGAAGCCGTCTGAGGAGCTTTACTGTCACCAGCACAGTGAGGTCATTTGCAAGTGATGCGAGGACTGCTGTTCAGCTTCACTCGGCCATGGAGCAAACAGAGGTAAGAATTCTCAGTTTTATTATTACACTTCTCTATATAAGCTTCGACGATTTTCAGGCTAACCTACTTCATACAATGTGTAATAAAATTATATTTGTTTCAAGCAAAACACATTTAGCAGAACATGAAACGGCAATATGTGTGTGGAGAAAGCCTGGAGAAGAATTCCAGCTATGATAGTGGTAGCAAATGACTGCTGGCCCAGTTCTGGCCCACACCTGCTACTTTCATTTGAACCAAATTTAAATTGTAAACTATGATATTTTATAGTGTACCACAGGCCAACATGCGGCCTTAACTCTGCAGAAGTGGCCCAGATCTGCTTGAAGACATGTGGGACAAATATTACTGTTTTAATATGGGCTGCTTTTGGCTCATGTGCAGTTTGCCAGTGTCAGTGTATAGGCAGCACTGCCATATCTCTGCCAGAAGTGACCCAGATCTGTTTTAAGACATGGGCCAAATATGCATGTTTTAATGTGGGCCACTTTTGGCTCACATGCTGCTTGCCAGTTCCTACAATGGGCCAACAGTGCCATATGTTTGCCTAAAGTGGCCTGCATCTAAAGGCTAACTGGTGGAGAATGAGCAGTTTGTTAATTATGGCATTAAGTGCAGCTGCATTGTTTGACCGCCAGAGTTTGTAAACAGCTATCATCAATCAACACCCCACTTCAGCATGTTCATTAGTAAGCTGTACAGCAACTTCAGGCCTAGGTTTAAGGTTTGGTTTAGAGAATATGACATGTGGGTTGTCATTGTTATTGCAGTACAACAACATGGATACAGTCATTTTTCAACATTTTAGTATTTTGTTCAGAATATTGTGATGGTGTAGAGAAGTGTCATTACACCCATACAAAGGGTGCTGAAAAGCTCCGAGGTCGAAATGTCAAAGTCTGATGCTTTTTTTCGTACAGTGTTTATGGTAAGCTTGTGTTCATTGATGGGATCGTGGCATTTTAGATGCAAACCTGCACAAGTTTGCAAATAAATTTCTCAAACAAAAACTGTAACACCAGCCGCCTTTTGAAAGAATACTCTGTCAAAAAGAAAATTTCAATCTTGGAATGGTCGGTTTCAAATAAATGGCGCTTGGATCAACGTATTGTTTCATAACACGAACTTACCATACATTGCATACATAACATCAGTAAAGTTGATCTTTTTTTCACTTCGCATTGATTTTGAATGTTGTATTTTAATAATGGTGTATAAGGAGTTCCAGCCTTCCGCCCAGTGACGGCTGGGATAGGCTCCAGCACCCCCTGCGACCCAGAAGGATAAGCGGCTTAAAAAATTGTGTGTGTGCATAAGGAGTTTACAATTTCTTAAATTGTACTTTCTTCTCAATTACTTTACGCCGAGCAGTGTGAAGATGTTTTGGAGTTAACATATCAAATAACTGTGGCATCATTCTCTGCTCTGTCAGTTCCTGTGGACAGGCCAAAATTTCAGTATTGCAAATATAATACATTATTTTATAGTAAGCTATTGTTTTTTTTTTTTTTTAATTCTTTGTCAAGGAGAAAGCCGAGATGCAAGAGCTCTCTGTGCACTTGCAGGAGGACGGCTTGTCCCCTGAGGCCTCGGCGGATGAGCGGCAGCGTCACCTGTGGCGTTTGCTTCAGCGCAGTGAGGGCAGCTTGGCCGCGGCCACAGAGGAGCTGCAGGCGCTGCGCACACAGCAGGCCAGCGAGATGAGAGAGGTGAGCCTCCAGATGGCAGGCTGGGGGAGGTACTTTAAAGCATAGCTAATGATTTCCCCTTTCATCAACATTTTATCATGACTTTACAGTCTCTTAACAAAGACAATTTGTTGCCGTCAGTACCTGATCACATACCCTTTGTAAATAATGCTCTTTTTTTGTTGTCTTCTTATTGTTTGAGTTATGAGAACCCACAGTTGAATTTGGTACCTGGAATTTTCTTTCAGGTGGAGAATTATGTGGAGCACATTCGAAACATGCTGGAGGAGCGCGAATGTCTGACAGCTGAATATGAACGTGACAGTGAGCAGCTTCGTGCTGAGCTCGCACAGATGAAGCACCAGCAAGGTAAGCTTACTATGATAATCTTCTCATTAGTAATACCTCCTTAATAGGTATTCCTCCAAGATATTATCTACACCTGTCTACATCAGAAATTAGTCTTGTAAATTCAACATTGCTGTAGCAGTCTTATATGATATTATCCTAAATTTATGCCAATAAATCATTGCCTGTGTGTATCCCAGAGTGCCAGTGTAAAGAGGTGACGGAGATGCTGGAGCAAGAAGGTCTAGCTGAGATCAGTCATAGCAGCGCCAGTGAGCAGGTGGCCTACCTGCTTGTGGAGAGAGTTACCTTGTTGGAGAGGTTGGAGGCTGCAGAGAGGAAACTCGATACCCAGACCCTCACAGGCAACCTCAGGGAGGTCCATCTACAGGTACAACTCCAGAACTTGGTGCATGGAGATACCATATTGACAGACTTGTAATAGATTGTGCCCTCCATAGATGAAGTCTGTTTTTTAAAGGGCATATAACATGGAAAACCAAGATTTCCTGCAAAAACAAGCCGTTGTGAATTAATAGTAGTTATGACGTTAGAATCATAAACAAATATACATTTGGCTGCCCATTCAGCCTACAGCAGCTATTAGAGCAGAGGTGGCTGTAAATGATTAAATGCTGTGTTGTCAGGAAGCAAATGTATTATTGCAAACTTCCAAAAGATCCAAACATCCAAAAAGAGTGTGGCTGATTTTTATTTTTAACGACATCCCTGAAGATTTCAGTCTCATCTTAACGGTAGGGCTGAATGATTTGGGGAAAATTAGATGACTGAAAACTGAGTTCATGAGTGAAGTCTTTGGTGTGATAGTAACACAAGCTTGCTAGGTTAGTATTTTGACTGCATTCTCTTATGGGATTTAGGAGGAGCTAGACCACATCCGGCACACTCTGGAGGCGGAGCTAAAGCAGCAAAGGGAAACAATGCACCACACTAAAGAGAGCATAAACAAGGTGCAGGCAAGTTTGTATTTTATGTTTGGCCAATGCGAAAATGACTTTGTGTGACATAACCTTTATGACTTTACATCCCTGGTTTTCATCCCAAGGGACAGGAATCTCCAGCTCAGAGCCCCTGGAGGAAACTCTTTGGGGTGCGCAAGGCTACACAAAGGGCGCAGAGCCTTACTCCTGTATGTTCCTGGACCTGCCATATTTACTGTTCACTTGAGTTTTCATGGTGGGCAAGAATGTATAATCAGTTTAAGAAAGAGGAGTAAGTCATTTTCACTGTGCTTGAGACCTGCTTAGAGCAGTTTAGATTTTCCTCAGCAACCCCCATATGCACATCTCACTGACCAGATGGTCTTATCTCAAAAGAACAAAGTGAATCTTTGCAGCTTGTGGCATGACCACTCTAACACTGCAGTCTCCTTATGTCTAACCACAAGAACATGAATTTAAGAAGCTACTAATCAAGGAATGTTTTTACCTGTTTTGGGTATATTGGCCAATGGTGGCTGATAAAAGCTCTGTTCACAATAAAGCATGTTTCCCATTCAGCTTCACTCATACTCAGTGGGGCAGTTGCATGATGAGCACAAGCATGGACACTGGTTTGACTCCTAGCAAACACCACTTCTGCTAAGGCCAGAAAGATTTTCTGTTTGTGATCGTAAAAGTCTTTTTCTCCTGCAGGCCCACAGTGAGGAGCTGGCACAGGAGCGCAAAGAGAGGCAGAAGCTAGAGAGGGATCTGGAGGAGGCGTCCAGCAGACTCGCTATGGCTCATAAAGAGATTCGCAACCTGACCAATGAGCTAGATCTGGCTCGGAAAGCCCAGACCATTTCTGGTGAGTGACCAACCAACAGAAAGAAACGAGTGGTCGTCTATAGTTGTTTTAGTTCACTTATTTACTCTCACTCTCTGAATCTTTTATTCTAATGACTGATTGTATATCTTAAATGTCAAAAATGTGTGTCCAATTCAGGGCCTGACCTGCAGACAACAGGTGAAGAAGTGGCACGGCTGAAACAGGAAGTAGAAAAGCTGAAACAGTGTGGTAAAAACATATTAACTGTCTAAAACCTACCTATCTGGTATCATGTGATGTTTTAACCCCCTGATCCCCAGGTTGATTATTCAGTTATTAGTCGTGAAGCTTCTTATTCAGTAACTGCTATGAATTATTCAGTAACTACTATGAAACTAAGTTATAATTTACATATGTTATGAGAGTGTGCAGCTGATAATGGGGGCCCTCCTACAGGTGGTTTAAATTTCTAAACTGAATATATTTGGCAGATATGGTGGAGCTTCAGAAGGCAAAGGAACGCAATGAAAGACTTGACACAGAGATTCGGGTCCTGAGGGATAGAGTGCGCTCGTTGGACTCTGAGAGGAAGACTCTTTTGAAAATGGTGGGTTCCATCTGAGTGTTTTGAGATGTTGCTTTGAGACCATGTATTTCCGCAGTACACTTGTTTTTTTTTCTTAGTGAGAGTTTCACACAGAGATATTTTTTGTAAGTTCCTGACAGAAAGAGCATGTACCAAATCAGCAAAATGTTGGGCTTAATAATATAACTTCTTGTCTCTGCCACAGATTGAAAATTCTAAGACAAATTCTAATCATGGAGACAACATAGAGCATGATCCAACTCATTCTGCACAGGTAAATTAGCTGTAATGTAATTATAATAAAGTTTATTTTCACTAACAGTAAAAACCAATGGATTTAACTACTAACTGGTGCTCGGAGACACGCAGATTTAGTAGTTTACCCTTTTAAAGAAATAACCAGGAGATGTCTTTTTCAGGTTGATGGCAATGACAATAATCAAGAACTGCCAGATACAACACTAAATGATGAACAAGAACAACTTCATAAAAGGTATTTAACTTTTAGTTGTTTAAACTCTTAACGAAGTATCTATTCCTGTTTAAATTGGTCTTCTGCTTTGATAATGTTTTGAATTTCTCAATGCTATTGCAATTTTATTTGCTTTTATTTTGTGTCTCAAATTGCCTTTTTGAAATCATATGAATATAAGTCATACATCAGTCTCATTTCATTTTTACTCTGATTAGGCAAATCAGTATTAAGCTCTTACCAATCTGAACTGTGCTGCATGAGCTTACATGGTCACTCAGATAGCAACACAGTATATCCAGCAATAAAGGAAATCTCATGCATTTTTATATAGTGACAGAGAAAACGTAGCATACAGAAAGCTTTACACGCTGATACATTTTACTACAGACAGCATAAACGTGACCACGCTGTAACTCCTCTGGTGGCAGATTTAAGCAAGTGAAAGGACACATTAACCCTATTTGGATTTGATTAGTTTATCAGGATAACTCCTGTAAAAGTGTTGGATCAGAGATCAGTGATAAAACTCTTGCATCCAGATGGCAGAGCAAGTTTCTAGTGGGTTGTATTTTTTTTTTTTTCATCGAAATTTAACATCATATAAGAACTGACAGTAATACAGCTAATCATTATTTCTAAAGAGCTGTTTAAAGAACTTTGCAAAAAACATGATGATTGGTGCGCATGTGAACATAAAGTAAAAACAATGCTTTATATCTGCCCCTTCATCCTGCATCCTCGTTCTCATTGATTTTATTTTCTTTATTTCTCTTTATTTCCACCCCCAGACCAAAGTAAATAGTTGAGTATTTCTTCAGAAGCATCCATTTTTACATTCTTTGCGATTTGGATAGTGTTTCATATTAGGGGTGGGCCTCTGATATCTGCACTAGGAGGCCAAATACTGTTTGCAAGTAGCAGTGTTCAGATTTTTTTTTTCAAATGTGAGGTGAGACTAAAATGAATAATGCGAAGTTTCATGAAACACTGTAGGTAATTCAGTCTGTAATTTTCTCAGGGGAATAGGGAGAAAAAAATCACCAACATGGCCAATCGTCAGGGCAGTAAAATAAAAGAGTAACACCTGGAAAAGAGGAAATTATCTCATGTAAATTTAATCAATTAAATCAATTAATCAAATAAATTGAATCTTAATAAACCTAAATTAGATCTAAATTAAATAAATCTGTAATAAACAAAACAGGATTTTACTTGACTGTTCACATTTCCATTACTTGTCATTATATATACCATCTGAGATATCATGAAATATATATTTTTCTTATTACAGAGAGCATGTGATTCTACAAGCTTTTTGTATTTGATTCTGCATTACATAGAGGAAGTGTCCCACCCCACTCAAACACACAGGCCCACTCAGCCACCCTGCATACCATTACGGAATAAATACGTCCACTCACCCAACCTTCATACTTTCACAGTCGCAGCTGCCGTTTCACTTACACAGACATCTCAGATGGACAGGGCAATGTAAAACAGCAATGTGACGGCACATTTTGGAAACATATATTGCCAGCAAGACGTTTGATTTGATAGAGTTAAACTGGTAATCAAGTTATCAAATTGTTGAGAAACGTTTAAAATTTAGCTTGTCCACATTCAGCTATTCCATCCAATGCTTTTTCAGCTCCATCCAGTGCATTTCAGTGCAGAGTATTTACACTTCAGATGACATACACAGAATGTCCACATGTTCACAGTGTGTGTGTATGGATACAGGTGTCGGAGAGAGTCTGAAGATAAGGACTGTCGTCTGCGGGAGCTGCAGAGGAGGCTGCAGAAACAGCAGCAGGAGTATGAGGAGCTGGTAGAGAGGAATGAAGAGCTAGAGGCACTGCTGGGAGAGACACAGAATAAGGCTAAAGAGGAACGAGAACTTCATGAGTGTGAAGTGGAGGGCTTGCAAAGGAAGGTCAGACTTCTCTATACTGTGAAAACCTGCTTTTCTAGATGTATTTTTTATATGAAGGTGTTAACATTTCATTTAAAGGTTGTAATTTTAATCTAATCCACTTTTTTCTTTCATTTGGCTCTGACTGAAAAGTAAAATCAAGTTTATTGCCTTCGCAGGTTAAAAATATGGAGGTTGAGCTAAATTTAAAGATGCCTGTGAAAAAGGAGAATCAGACGAAAGAAGCAGTGCCTGAGGTAACCAGCCTGTGGTTGCTCTCAGTTTTAGTGTTTGTGTGTGTTAGTTAAAGGTGTGTTTTAATGTATTATAATACATTTATTTCAAAGCACAAAGATAGTGGTATTCAGGAGAGGCTGACATTTCTGGAGAGTCGTCTTGCTGAGGAGAAGGACTGGAGAAAACAGTTAGAGGTGGACTTATCTGTAGCTCAGTCTTCCCTTAAGAAAGAGAAACAGGTAACACACTTGGGATCGATATGTAGAAGCAAGGAATTTTTACTTTATACTGTCAATCATTTAAAGAGGTGTCGTTGTTAAAGTGCTTTTAATCAATTCAGGAGGACCCTGATGAAGTATATTGATATTATGGACTCCTCATCCTCAGACAATGCTCAGAGACCATGAGGAGCTGAAGAGATTGCGCTTAGAGGTGCAGAGCTTGCAGGCTGCTTGCCAGCAAGAGAAATCCCTTAACAAGAATCTCACACAGATTAAAGGAGAAAAAGGAATTCTGGAAGAAAAGGTGATAACATCAGTGTTGACTAATGACAGATTACTCAGTAAATGTTGGCTTTATTTGAAGAAAATTATTGTAACTGATGTGGATACCATTTGTTCATTGTAATTTCTTAAGCATTTCAAATGCACATAGTTAGTCTGTCATTTATTTGTGTCATTTAACAGGTGGCCCAGTTGGAGCGTGCTCAGACGCGACTCCAGGACGACCTGGCACAGCATACAGAGAACAGCAGAGTGCAGGAGGATCTGCGAGAGAGCAAGGAGCAGGTGACACAGCTTAAGGCTCTAGCTGAACAGCTGAGATCAGAGCTGTCTACACTGGAGAAAGAACACAGCACTCTGAGGTAAGGAACTCTTCAGAATATAATAAGCTGTTACTTCAAAGGATCATATTACATTATACAGTATACAGATCAGGTCACTTTGTTGTCATGGAGGTTGCTGGGCATTTATTGCCTAGCTACAGTATTTAGTGTTTTGAGTAAACTGCTTACAGGACCTCATATTCGTGAAATCTAGATTTTTAGTTCTTTCAGAACCTGTACTGTATTTTTTGTCAAAGCTACTGTAGACTGATCAGAGATGGTAATACAGTGGTAGATTAACTGTACTCTGTGTAGGGATGAGCTGGTGGAGAAGCGCAGGCAGGTAATGGAGCTGCAGACTGAGTTGAGCGTCAGAGCCCACGATAGGCTGCAGGCTGAAGGTCAGACAGAGCGGCTCAGCCTGGAACTCCAACGCGTAAAGGAGCAGCTACAGGCCACAAGTCAGGAAAAAGCGTCTGACCCTAATCCTAAACCACCTGCAGGAGACAAAGGGCTCAGCCAGGTAAGACTCTAACATGCTGCCTGAGCTGAAAAGAATGTCAAGTTGCCTATCCTATATGGAATTTATTACACATTATCACCCTTTTGAGCTAGGAATGCGTGATGATATTGGATTCATATCGGTAAGGGCAGATACATTGCCATTCACAAACATTGGCATTCCTGGCTAACATGAGCAAAGCAGGCTTTAAAATACATTTATTACTGCTGATCCTTTTGATCTTTCATTTAAAATATTAACAAAAAACTTTTATTTGAAGTACAGTGATTGGAAAAAAAAAGACTAAATCTTATCAGGAAATAAATATTTTTCTCGATTCTGTGTGTGCCATAATTGTTGGCTCCCCTTCATTTTATACTTTGTGCAGCCTATGGGGTTTAGGTCAGGGGACTCGGGTGGCTATCGCAAAACCTTGCTTCTGTGGTCAGTGAACCATTTTTTGTGTTGATTTTGAGGCATGCTTTGGATTATCGTCCTGCTGGAAGATCCAAATTATGGCACACTTTAAGCTTCTTGGCTGAGGCAGTCAAGTTTTGATTTTATTTCTGCTAAATGGACTATGTGATACCATGTGTGATACCATGTACTTAAATAAGTTATCCAGGGCTACAATATCACAGATCCACCACCGTACTTCTCAGTGGGGATGAGGTACCCTTTTGCATGGCTGTCTTTGTGTCCACGCCAAACTCACCTCTGGTGAGTGGTTTGTTGCCAAAAACCTCTGTTTGGGTCTGACTGTAGAACACGGCCCCACAGAAAGGTCCAGTAACGTTTGGCAAACTGTAGGTGTTCGAGTTTGTTGGTTCTTGACGGCAGAGGCTTTCTCCTGGTAGCCCCCAAACAACTTGTGGTTATATAGGTGGTGTTTTAAATGTGGTCTGTCCCCAAGATGTAACTGATTTCTGTAGTTCTTCATCTCCAATCCTTGGAGATTATTTGTCAACTCAAACCTAACATCTCCGGTTGTTTTAAACTTCTTAATTATTGCACTGACAGTAGAAATGGGCATTTTCAACTGTTTAGATATTCTCTTGTAGCCATTTCCTGATTTGTGCAGCTCAACAACCTTTTGTCGTACATCATTGCTGTATTCTCTGGTCTTTCTTATAATGATGGATGACGGATCACTCAGCGCGACGCTAGTCAGCGCAGGCGTCTGTTAGCTGACGTAACAGAACTGGCAGTTGGCACTTTCCTCCGAGCGCGTTCGGCTGTTCAGTGACGTTGCGTGAGCGGCAGTTTGAAAAGAAAGCGGTGGCTGGCTTCACAGGTCTCGGAGGAAGCCTGTGTTAGCTTTCACCCTCCTAGCGTTGATAGCATCGTGTGATTGGGGGAGTCCTAACTAGCGGGTGGAATTGGAGACGACTAAATTGGGGAGAAAAATCGGGTAAAAAAAAAAAAAAGGCATTAGACAAATGTTCAGACTTATATGTTCAGATTGATATTTGATGTTGTATTTATTGTATGCCGGATGTCTGTTACATTTTTCAAATGTCTGCGTTTAATCTAGAGAGCAGCTATAAAATGTAAACATTCACCACCAGTTTCTTATTGCTAACATAACACATAGTTATAGCCTAAGTTTGTACATTTTATTAGCGTTTATGTATTGGCACTGGTACATATGTATGTGGAAAATATGGGTTGTTGGCATTGGCCCACAAATCCCGTAGTGTATACCTGATTATAGCATACAGTAATTGATTTTTCCTGCATTTATTTTTCCACACTCATCAAACATTTATCCGATTGTGTGGAAGGCTGTGCTGTAGGTGCATCGATGATACCATGATACATTGATCTGAAGGTGACAATTCAATATGCACTCAATTTTTACCAAAGCAAAATTCTCTGGCTGTTTTTAAACATATTGTACAAGACTCGAGACTGCGACCAAATTTTTTCAGAGTGCGTGAATTAAAATTTCACATGGTTGCATTTGTCCAAGTGCATGATGATCATTAGGCTTTTAGGTGCCCCTCTGGCACAGGTACTGCATTAGCCATTGTGGTTGAAAGTACTACTTCTTTTCTTCACTGGTACAGTCGGTCTGCCAAAATTATACTCCCCCTTATTTGTGGAGTGCAAGGTCTGATTCAAATCAAATTGAATCGTCATAATGTCATATAAAGCATATGTCTCTAAGTTCAACAGTGAGGATTTTGTCAGGGGGTAGAATTTTGGCAATGCTGTTTTGACACCTTAGAGTACAAAAAAAAACAATAAAAACATGCATGTTGTTATGCTTTGCTTTTATTTGATAACATTGTGATGTTTTCTTTTAAAATTATATAATAAAAGATGACCTATTTTGTCAGCCACTGCTTGCGGCAGACAAACAATAGCCACGTTTACATGCAGCCTAATAATCAGTTAATAATCCGACTAATAGCTCAATCGGAATAGAATACGTCCATGCATACACCTCAATCGGAATAGACTAGTCCAATTGAGGCCATTCGGAATACAATTTCTATCGGATTGAACGAGGTGGGTAATCCAGTAAATAATCCATTAAATAGAAGATTAATGGCCATGTAAATGCCTGTATCCGATTACATTACGAAAGTTTAGAATGTTCAACATGGCGGGAGCAGAAACTGGTCTGCAGAGAAGACGGTGGTGGGATGGGCATTCAGCTTATGTGTCTCAGAACACAACGTCTTCCTCTCGCCCTTCTTTGATAAGTACATGTGAAGTATGTTTTTCTGCCATAATTTTAAATCAGTTAAAAACACAAGCTCACCAACTGAAAACTCATCACACTCTGACGTGATGATCGCTGTCATGGTAACATTTACACTAAGTGGTTCTCTACTCATGCATTCTGTATTCAATTGAATTGGCAAAAATCAAAGACAAGATCAAAATATTGCACAAATATCAAGTCTCGAGTTACTGTCAATCTTTATATTAATGCAAAACTAGGGTATGGAAATGAAGACAGCTATTCATCAACATGCAAGGATTAATATGCAAGAAAAAAAAAAGTTGTGACCAAATTGTGTGCTGGAGCAACCAACTGAGAAAGTTGGTAGCATTAGTGTGATCAGTGGAAAAGTTACTTTGGACCCCTGTTGTATGCAATGTTTTTTTTTTTTTTTGTCTCTATTCCACTCTATTCTCCCTCCAGTCGTGTATATTCAGGTCATTTTAAAAATAATTCTGTCTTGTCCCAAAATGATCAAAATAGATTACTCGTGGTTGAATTTGAGATTTTATAATGCATTAAAATATTTTGTAAAGAATTGTAATGATCACAAATAATTGTCGTGAGGTCTGTGGTTTTGTATATGACACTGTATGATATTTTATCTCAGAATTTTCAGTTGGTTACTTGTACATGACATTTCAGTTTGTAGTTGTTCTTGGCTGTATAACTGGTGCCTGTTGATGAGCTGCTGTGTAATCTGTGTACTGATATATGCTGCACCCCCAGGTGGCATGTGTGAGGTCAGAGATGAGCAAACTGCATGCCACCCTGGAAGAGGAAAGACAGCTGGCCACCCAGCACCAGCTGGCCCTGCAGGCTCAGATCAGCGAGGCCCAGGCTCGGGCCAAGGTCAGCCATGCCATTCATAAAAAAACACACCCAATCTCTTACAGGGCATATACTGGGTGGCCCTGGGTTGCCTAACCTCTTGTGTTTTATATATACAAGTTTGTACTTAATCTTAGCAGTCAGTGTAACCACTTTGTGTGCATGTCCTCAGGCTCAAGACTCTCTCCTACAGCAGAAGGGCGAGGAGAGTAAGCAGCTAAAGCAGGACCTTCAAAGGACCCAGCATCTCTTTACTTCAGCTGAGCGGGAGCTGCGCTACGAGAGGGAGAAAAACCTTGACCTAAAAAGACACAATGCACTTTTAGACCAAGAGAAGATGAAGGTATTTCAGAAAGGAATTAATGATGTAGATTGTATGGACAGTTGTGCCTGATTGTTCACTTAAAGATATTTAACCCATTTGTGCCCCAAATTTCTGTCATTTTGCACTTGTTGATGTATATTTGATATCAAACAGGGTCAATACTGATTTTCCCTAAAGCCATGAAACTCATTCTATACATTTGTATTCTTTCATATTTGAATATTTAAAAAGGTGTAGAATTTTTAACAAAAGAGAACGAATAGCATACACTGTGGCAACTTTAGTTGCCAGTGGGCTCAGTTCAGTTAACATTTGTCTGAAACATTCTTGCCAAGAAACTGAACTTTTTATTGAAACTATGCCCTGAAATTTCATGTTATTTTCTCCCCGTGGCCAAATCACACAAAGATAATGACTTTTAAAGCCATATAATCATATTTTTAAAATGTTTTTTTCCTCAACCAGTTAGACAGTGCTGCCTCTGGCCTGTTGCGGTGAGTATTACCAGTCCTATGCTCTTTAGCTGTGTGCAGAGCTCAAGCAGACCCTGGCTAAACTGGCCCAGGTGGAGGCCAGTGCAGAAGGGCAGGCAGCAGAGTTGGAGCATCTGCAGCAGAGATCCAGAGAGTTGGAGCTGGAGCTGTCCAGGAGCAGCCAGAACAGGCAGACTAGCTGCAGCCTCAAAGAGGAGCTCAATGCTGAGAGAGCCCGCGTCATATCTGCCGACAAAAAGGTTAGTGTTGAGGGCTAAAGCTCTTGTTTATGTATGCCCATCAAGCTTAGACTAATGTTTATAGTGAATTTAAATGCCTTGCAGGTTCAAGAAGGTTTGATGTAAACATCTGAAGGTAGATGTCGGCTGTGGTATGTTCAAGCATGGATAATGTTTTTTTATTATTTTGAATGACAAGGTTGGGCTACAATTCCAGTTAATTTAACAGTATTTCAGATATAAATCTACAATCAAGGCGCTATTTTCAGCAATCAGGTGATGGTTTATGGTTTTAAAATCAAGCTGGAAGTCATTTTCTCACAAACAAAGCCTGCCAAAATCGCGTACAATTGCATTGGGTTTGCAATATAATCGTAATTGAACACAGTTTTACCTATAATTCTGCTTTGTAATTGATAAAAGATGTGTGGTTGGCCTGAACAGCATTTTACAGGCTTCTAATACTCGTTGTTATTTCTGAACAATTTCTTGAATACTCATTATCAAAATAACCCTTAAAAACAACAATATTTACATTTCATAATTAGCCATAATTTTAAGTATGCCTGTTCTTGAAATTCAAATGATATCCAGTACACTGTGTGTGCTGTGTGTTGCTCTGATAGAATTTATGATTGATGCCTTCTTACTTGTACATATCGTTTGAGTCACTGTTGTTATTAATTAAGTTTCATTTGGATAGTTTGGTGTTTTTTTTTATCTTGGAAAGTAGCACTGAGTGTGACACGCAGGGCAAGCTGAGCTCAATCATAACCACACTGTGTTTAGTCATGCTGGCTAGAGTGGCTAAAGTTAACTTAACCCCTGCGTCAGACTCTTTTGCCTGAGAGCTTCCATGACAGCAACAGCGCCAGTGTTCCTCTTCTCATCCACAGTGACAACTCGCCACAGTAAAGAGGTTTGAGGCTCTAAGCTATCCTTTTTAGTGTCGCTCTCACCAAAGCATAACGGTACTTAGATAGGTAAAGATGAACTTGTGAATACTATGTGGAGAACCAAATGCCAATGTTACAAACAAATACTCAAGTATTCAAATTTTTTGGGCTAGCCCTAAAAAGGTGTTGCTGCAAAATATCTGTCATGCTGCTTTATAAGTTTTATATGGAAAAAATAAATGAATATGGCAAAGCTGTCTGATACCTACATACCTTGCTACTATGTTTGACTGGAGGTGTTGGAGCTTCAGCAGCAGTTGAAGAACGCTCTGCATCAATTACGTCTGGAGGAAGCCAGGGCAGGAGAGACCAGCAAGCTGGAGAGAGATACCAGGGACATGTCCGATAACCTGTCCGCCCTCCGAGCCAAACTGCAGGAGGAGCAGCTCCAGAGGTGAGCTCCCATGACGCACCATAAAAGAGGACGTGTATGAGACGAGTTAACCTCACTCACCTCACAACCTCACGAAAACAGACAGAGCAGCCAAATTTCATCCAAACTGAGAGTTATTAGAGTCAAGGATGAGTTATTATGCAAGATAATGAGAAGTTTATTCAGAGCCCTATTGCTATGTTGGAGGTTCTTTAGTTCTTAGCAAGCTCACCAATTTCTTCTCACCTTATACTGATAGAAAGTTGCTGGAGCAGAGGGAAGAGGAGCTGCAGCAGCAGGTACGCTCTCTACGTATAAAGGAGGCCAACCTCAGCCGCACTAACTCTGAGCTCTCCCACCGCTCCCAGCAGCTGAATACACGGCTAGAGGTGCTGGAGAACGAGCTGACCTCCACCAGAGAGCAGGTAGGTATTCAGCTCTTCAGAGTGAAGGACACTGTTAAGTTTTCTCAAGCTTTTCCAGGCTCAAGGCCACCACTCTGTAGTTCTGTTGGAAATGGAGGCTTAAATGGGCATTTAACAGGCTGGGTAGTGTAAATCCTAGGTACTTGATGTGATTTATTTAAGTCACAGTCTTTATGCTGCATCTGACATCTCCTGCAGCAAAGGCTCAGTCAGAAGAGCTGCCACGAGCTGGAGGAGCAGCTCATGTCTGCCCAGCAGGAGTCAGAGAGATTGCAGCAAGAGCTGCAGCAGGTCCTCCACCAACTCGACACTAACATCAGGTAAACTCCATAACCATAATCTTGCATTAAACAGATTTGGTTATTTTCTAATTCCAGGTTATGGTCCTATATTTGTAAAGATGTATTGTAACAATGTCTATTGAATAAGCACTGCAAAGGTTTTACCGAATTGGAAAGATATTCAGTGGCTGCTAAGTGAAGTTAGAAGGCTCATTTTGAATTATTTTATGTTTTAGGAGATACAATGAAAAGCAGTCTCTACATAAGACCAAGCTGCGCAGAGCAAAGCAGCTGTTCATGAAGGCAACCACCCAGCGAGACCTGCGGATCCAGAAGCTGGAGAATGATCTGGCTCTTGCAACGAGTCTGTCAGAGAAAGTAAGTTGTGTCTAATTCTAAGCATTAAGGCTTTTACACATTGAGTGTGATTTATTAGTACCGTTTATTTGGACGACAATAAAGTAATTAGAGCGTGTTTATAAATGGTATCTTGTACACCAAAACATTTTTTGGACGGTGAAAATGAGACATTATTTTATTCATACTTGGTTCAATTTTTGAGAGCAGGCGATGTGAACTTACTGACAAATTACTCTTGTCTCTGGTGTTGGCATGGTGACGACTAAGCTGGCAGATCAGTGGTGTTCCAGCAATAAAACTTTTTGAGAAACAAAAAAGGATACTGCTTTGCCACAGACAGCACTTCCAAAAGTAGCTCAAATGGGGCTCAAACTGGGCTATGGACATCCGAGTTATATGTGTAAGCACTGATAAAGTTTCAGCTCCAGGCTGAAGCAAAATGGAGAGTAGCCTGCCCATTGTCGTTGGTTCATTTTGTGAGGATATCTTTTTGCTTTTTAAGACATTCTGTCCGTTGCTTCTTTTCTTTCACAGTGTAAACAACACAAATTGCAAAAAAAAAAAAATCATGTTACATCTGGTGTGTATATTTTTGATGCATAAAATAGGGTCCGAATATTACACGTTTTCACATTGTTTATTCACATTGCGTTTGGTGTGTAACGGCCTTTAAATTTTGAAGTGCAACATCCAAACCTTGCTTCTAACTGCCTTTGCGATGGTCTGGAAAGGAAAAAGACTGGATTAGGACTGTGACAGAGGAGAATGATCAGCTCCTGCTAGAGAGGCGAGAGTTGCTCAGGAGGATGACTGAGGCTGAGGAGATGGGTAACAATGGAATGAGAACCGCAACTACCATACAGCAAAGGTATGGATATTTCCTCTTATACTGCTTTGCAACTAAGAAAAACACCTAAAGACCCATGTTAATGCCCCCTCTGTGTCTTAGGGTGAAGTTTCTAGAGGTGGAGAATAAACAGCTTCAGGAGAAAACACTGAAGCTGGCCAATCAAATTGGAGTTCTCGAGCGTGCACTGAGAAATCTTCAGTCAGTGTGTACTGTTGAGGTAAAGATGAATTTATTTAAATTTATCTGCATGATTTTCTGACTAGTTGTTCAGTAGTAAAATAGATGTGTTTGTATTAATTTTTTGCTTATAAATGTTTCTATCACAGGAGGTAAAGAAAATCTTTCCTTCTGGAACACACACTGATGGCCTGTTGCGAACGTCAACTCCAAGGTACACTCTTACCCTTAGAATTGACTGCTTCTGGTATAATATTTAGACTTCATTGTGATCTTTAGACTTTATAAATGTTTAATAACGTAAGCACAAATTGCACCATTCTGTGTTTTAAAATCTTGATGTAGTCCGAAGCCAGGGCTGTGTGACTCGTGGGGACTATTGGATGCCATCCGCAGAGTTAAAGTGGGAGAGCATGTAAAGAGCTTGGAGTCATCTCTCTCCCTGCCCGCCTCCCAGCCTTCAGAGATTGGCTATCTAAATGTAAGCTCCCCCATGGCTCCCAGCGCCACACTGGACCAAGAGGAGGATCACAGTGCCGCAAGTGAAGACACCTGAGGAAACTGCACCAGCTATTATTACAGAGATCGCCAGTCATCCTCAGATTCATAGTCAAGTCTAATGAATGGTTAAATCACTGGGTCAAAAGGTGCCTACGCTCATTACAGTTGAGTGAACTCAAGAATTTTGTCAAAGTAGTCTTTATTCCTGCCATTAGGAGTCATATAATGACATATAGCTGTGATACAATTTCACTGTGGAACTGAGGTGAGTAAATTTGATATGCGTGGCATAAGAAGACTTGCAGCAGCCTTGCCACACTTGCCCTCTGGCCATTTGATGTACTAGATGAAAATTCTGATTCCATACAGTGCTGTTACCTGGAAATTGAAGCTAATTGGTAGCCAGATTATATTTATCAACCTTTCTAAGAGAGGTGGTGCATTACAGCTTAAACACTGACACTGTGATTGAAACAATATTTTTAATATTTTTTTTTTTTTTGGTAATCAACTATATTGCCCATGCTTACTCAGGGTTATTACTGCTGAATTGAGTTTGTCTTTGCCACTCATATTCATTACAGCAGAAATCTCCATTCTAGTCTTTGAAGACCCTCAGGCAGTCAGTTTTCTTCTATTCAAGCTACCCACACACCTGAACCATGTAGTCAAAATTGCATAGCCTCTGATGTCCTGACTTTGGTTTGGTAGGTGCTGAGAAAGTTCAAAGAAATGTGATTCTGTAGGACCAAAGTGAGAGCCTCAGAAGTATAGCATGGAGATGAAGTAACTCCAGGAAACTAGTTATATGCCTTTTGCTGCTCTGCCCCCTACAGACTGCAGACTAGAGGAATAAGCAAGCTGGACTGATGTCTAAGGCAGAGACAGAACCGAATGTTTGAGGTTGTGAGATATCTGCAAGCAATATAATTCAATGGATGTCAAGGCCAAAGCAGAATGTACAGCCTCATAAAAGCTGGGGAAACTATGAGGTACATTTTCTGTAACATAGCGGTTATATGCTATGTGTGTGTATATATATATATATATATATATATATATATATATATATATATATATATATATATATATATATATATATATATAATTATAATTTTTATTTTTTGATATTGACAATCCAGAAAGGGAGAAATGATACAAAACAGGGCTTAGCTGGAACACTTTTATTTGGTCAGATTTTTTTTTTTGTTTCCTGTTTACATCAGAAAAACACTATTGCCTTTTGGGGTATGTAGTTTAAATCAAGCACATTTGTGTCCTGGCTAGATGTGGTAAAAGGTATAAATGCCACCAGACTACAAATGTAATTAAATTGTCTGAAATGTTTTTACAAGGTAAATCTATGTATGTATCTACATTATGCCAAGATGCTCCTTTTTTTAAGGACATTAACTGGGATTAATGTTCAAAAACTAAAGGCTTCTTTAGGATCATAACATCTTTTAAGCAGTTTAAAGCAGACATTTTAACATTACGATATCTTATTTCATCGTTAGCAATATTCTCTAGTCCAAAGAAGATCTCAATCTCAGATCAGTACAGAGTTGGTGGATGTTTTCGACCTGAATTCCTAGCCTTGGTCCTGCCTCATGGTCTTGACTACTACAGCAGTAGAAATTTACTATTTCTGCAGGTGAGTGATGCTTTTTGCTAATCAGAAGTGACCCCACTTAAAGTGGCTTGACACTTCACCAGTTCACCTTTGAACATTTTAGACACTTCAGGAGACTTTTGAGATTAATTTAACCCACACAGTTGTCAGCATTAGGATGTAATAATTCATTTTATTTTAAAACTCTGAAAGACCCATGTCTGTCTTATTGCACTAAAGAGTCAATGACAGAAAAGTCATGTGGAGTATTGTATAAAATCATCTACAGTCTTACTAATATGAACAGCCTTACAGTGTTGTTTGTTATATACAGAATGATGTCTGCTGCATTTTAAGCAGAATCATAAATATTGGGGGTTTTATTGTGTCATATTTTGTACAAATTCATATATTATACATAATTTCCTTTTGATAGTTATCTGGTACCTGCACATGAACACTAACCACCTATTGCATAAAATAGGACTTATAGAGTGAAATCTGTCTGAATTTAAAAGGATGTTTGATATAAAGGAGTGATTGTTGTAATATACATACGTTATAGCTATTTGCAGTATGAAATCAGTAACCTGCATGTTTTGACTGACAAAATGACAAATGGCGATGTGATTTCTGAACTGCTGCTGATCAGCTTTATTTTAGTGTGATGTCCTTTTCACAGTTTATATAAGCACCATGTGAAAACTCCATGAACAATTGGAACAACAGTTTACATGTAACATGAACAAAAATATTTATTTTCTTATTAAACAAGTATATTTTCATTGTTGTATAATTTGTGTTTTTTCAGAAGCTCACGCATTTGATCGTTATATATTTAGTTTGAATTTCTAAAAACGATAGCAGAAGTCACAAAACTGAACTCCTAATATGCATAATTTTAGCTTTGATCACCATATGAGAGATATGGGTATTAACCCATGTATATGCAGGTATTAACAAACTATGAAGAAATGCTGAGATGTAAAATTCTCCAGATAGTCGTTTTCTGTCTGCAGATGCTTTCATGGCAAGGAATTGCAAATTGTGGATTTTGTAACAAAACCTACTTTTTAAGAGAGAGTTGCTTCTGTAGTTTGCAGAAGTCCAGCATTTGCTGGAATACAGAACATGTGATTAAGTGTTTTTAGTTTGTTACAGATGCCACAAATGCGCCAGATTGTAAAGGGTGATCATGCAGGCCCAAACATTTGATCATAAGCTGTACAGCAAGGGTTCCCGAAGTCAGTGCTTGGGACCCCATGTTCTGCACATTGTTGCATTTTCCCTATTCTAACACACCTGAAGGACTTGTTAATTAGTTCATGAGCCAAATCAGATATGCTGGATGAGAGGAAAACACAAAAAATGTACATGGTGTAGGACATCTGGACTGACTTTGGGGACCCTTTATATAATGTAACATTAAAAACAACAGCAGACACGACTCCTGTGACAACTGCTACCTTTCACCTAGCCAGTCAAACGCAGCTGCCAGCACTGATCACAAGACAGAACTAAATAAACTTCTTCTGTATGTGTCATTTAAAAAGGAGCTTTCACCAGCTGACAAGCATTCTTTTAAATTCGATTAATTTCAAAAAACCATGTGGGCACATATATAACAGTCTGAGTTTATTAAACAAGATAAAGATACAAAGTGTCCTCAACATTGATATTTTCTAAATTCATTTTGCTGTATTGTCTGTGCATATTGAGCCAAATCTTGAAGACCACAATGCAAGACAAATGAAGAAAAAAAAGTAATAATTTCTAGACATATATAACAATGCCATACATATGTTAACAGTTAATTAATAACGATTACGGTCAGAGAATTCCATGCGGAAAAATAAAAAAGGCTTACTGAATACTGAAAACATCAACATGGGGGAATAAAAGGAAACACAATTGTCATTCAGTGAGAGTAAAATTAAGGCTTACAAATAAATGATGGATATTAAAAACAATCAGTACTTACAGAAAAAATTATTAATAACTGGAAATACAGATACAAAAATGAACAAAGTACAGTATCTAAACCTTTTAATTTGCACTATTAATGAATACATAGTATACTTTTATAGTAAATGTACACATTGTTTGATTTAGGGAGATTTAGCAAGTAAATACATTGGGTCAGCTCAACATGTATTGTTTCCAGGCAAGTGGTCAACTGGAGTCTAATATTACAGGCCCAGTCAGGGTGTACTGGGTTAGAGCTAAATGGCATAAATTAAGCACTGTTAATCTACTACTACTAATGTAGAAAAAATGGAGATTAAAATCAATCTCTACCAATCTGCAAAAACCTAACCGCCCAAAATGTTCTGATCAGGGCACTGATATGTAAACATGCTCGAGTTCCATCATATAGCTTCTGTTGGATTTTTATAACACATAATGAGAACATTCTTCCTAGACGTCTGAGTGTCTTAGGCTCAAACCGTTATTCAATAGAGACTTATTATAATGAGGGAAAGTTGTACAACTCTGGTTTGCACTCTGAGTTACAATTAAGGGAAAGGTAACTGTAACAGACAGGAATTGAAACATCAGTTATCTGCTGAGGTTTTTAAACATTTCTTAATGTAAGCACCAACAGATAAAATGAAAGCAACATTGGGTTAACTGAAAGTAAAACATTGCTCACATTTACAGACTATTAAAAAATCATTTGTATGAATCAGTAAACCATTACTGTACAAATCATTATTTAGGGCAATGTATATGGGACATATCAGGGAGCAACAACATATGGTCCTATAAAAATAAGAACAACAATAACAGTAATAATAAAAACAATTCAACATAATTTCTGGCAGTTTTTTAAATGTTCATCAATGAAACAGTATGAGCTTAACAAGTGACTGGTATGGTATGACTGACTGAAGACAAACAATAATGGAAGTGACGTAGCTGCAGTGTTGTTTAACAACACAAAAAAATGACACGCTGACAATTCAAAAGACTAGTTATGCACTGAATTAGTTAATGCAATATTAAAAAAACCTTTTGGTCTGGTGTAGTTGTTTTTTTTTCAGAATTAACAGAGCTATACATTTAAAGATGTGTTTAAACAAAATTACACACGTGTGTAGAACGTCATTACCAGTAAGCACCTGCACATTCATTTACCAACAGGCTGTTTGGGCCCACCTTCAGGGGAATTTCTGCAAAATACTGAATACTAATAACTTGTACTCCACACTAACTATACCGCACACAAAAACAATAAAATATACTAAAATCTAAACATGAAACTGTTGTAACCCACCTCGCCCTATTTGCTGCCATTACTGCGAATATTTGGATTATGTCTGTGAGGCCACATGGAACGTAAGGCTAGACACAAAGCACTAGAGAACCAAAAGGTCCACTCATTTTACTTTCAGTGAAACAGTGCTAAACGTTAAATAAAAAATTTAGAAATTAGTAGTACCACTATTTTCAGAGAGGGGGGAAATTCTGTATAGAAATGTAACATTTTCACAACAAATGTAGATTCTAATTAAGCATACACAATAGTTGACAGAGAGGCAGTACTGTTCTTGCTGGGACTTTAAATAGCATCCCTAGTGACTGCTGCAGCACAACACAGTGGTACATGTCTAAACCAAATTGCAGTGTCTGGCAGTAATTTTTTTACATTCAAAATATGTTTCCTAAGTTGCTTGTTTAAGTGACAGATTCCCTTTTAATACTGTTACAGTTTTTTTAGATGTGTTTTTCTACATTACAATTTTAATACTTTATATTTCAAAGTACATTGCTGAATTAGGTGCTTGGTCTTTAAAGCCACAATAAAGAAAGATCTGTTGAGCTATTTATGTGTACATCAGAACATTACTGCACTGTGAGCAAAGAAAGGGAGCAAAGAAAAATAGCTTGGAAAGCTTAACAGAGTACGTAACATCACAGCTTGGCCAGGGCATGTGGTTCTGGTTATGACATTTCACACTTGACTAGCACCGCTGTGTCATTACATTGCTTCATTAAAACAGACAATGCAATAATGCAATTAGTATGATCGTCAAGTGCTGAACAATTTGGGGAAGAAAGTTTGCCCTACAAAAAAATAGGATTAACCTTATAGAAAAGAGAGTAGAGGAAATCAAACTGATTTCTATGACATTGCACAAATATATATATGTAAGTACATCTGTGATGTAATTAATGCAAGCAGTTATTTTAGAGAGCATCCATTTACATCAACGCTCTTTTATTTGCACAATTTCTATGGAGTTTCCAGAGCCTCAGAGTCCTTTCAATTTAAATGTCTTTTGAGACAATAGAAAAATAAATGGGCTCGTAACACACATAAGATCAGGCTCACTAGATCTACAGACCATGGGAGCTAGCTTTTTAGAATTTAACATTTAAAATGTGGACATTATTTGGAAAATGGAGCTTATAATATCACTAGGCATCCTGTAGGTAATATTGATAATTTATGCAAATATTTGATGCTTTCCTGTTTATAGCTACAGACTTATACAAAAGTTTGGGAATCTCTGGTCATGTTTTGTTTTTACTTAGTAAATCGACAAGTTCATACATCCTCCACAGCACACGTGTCAGGCTTCAGTCCTTGCAGGCCAAAACACTGCAGCCATCAGCACTCTGCCTCATTAAACACACCTGATTCAGCTCATCAGCTAAATAGCAAGGCCTTCATGAATTCAGGGTGCACTCGAAGGTCCCCAATTTGACATCCCGCTCTACAGAGTACTTGTGTAACATTTTTCTGCACATTTTAGTGCACAGTTTGTACTTATTATTTACATATCTTTGTGAAAATAAGTTCACACATCCTCTACAGGGAACAAATTCTGCACATTTTAGTGCACAATTTGTTTTTATTTAGTGAACTTATTCTAAAAAATAAAACACATTTTCCCTCAATATGTTTAATTTAGTAAATAAATAGAAACTGTGTACTAAAATGTGCAGAACTTTGCGTTCTAAAAAGGTTAACTTACTTTCACAAAAAACAAAATTATTTTAGCAAGAGTGCCCAACCTTTTGCAAAAGACTGTATACTCAAACATATTCGCGCCCACACTTTGTCATAAATTTCTTGGTTTCCTCCCAGGATCCACATATCCTCTGAACTGTCCTACCCAAACCAGTACTCATCACAATGATGCTGCATCTAACCAAGATTCATACATTACTTCACATTTTTTTCCAAGGTCTGATATCTGTTAATCAAGGATTACACAAGTTTAAAGTGGAGGATTTGTCATGTCCACACTAAAACTAAACACGCTACCCTGTAAAACGAGATGGTGCTCATAACTAAAAATGGAGATGGAAAACGACAAACAAAAGAGCCACTATACTTTAATAATCATAGTTAGCCCCAAAGCTAAAGCCTGACTTCCCCTTGGAAAACTTCGAACTTTTGAGCTAACCCCGAAACTGGAAAGTGCTTTAAGTTTATCTTTGGATGTCTCCCTAACACACCCTTGATAATCTGAGAACAAGCAAGTAGGAAACAGCCTGTTGTTCTATTCTTGGGATGCATGTTTAGATTCCCATTTAGACTGGTGTCTGGTGCTGACTCACCTTGGACACCAGGTGATGAGATGTAGCCAGTCAAGCAGCTACATCAATTTGTACTAAATGGCTAAAATATAGAAGAATATGGCAGACACAGTGTCCTTTGAGAACCGGGGTGCTGCATATTCCTTTTCTGTCTTCTTATTCTCAATAGAAGAGCAGCCTGGCACACAAAAGACAAAACAAAAAAAACAACCTTTTTGAAAGGAAGAGGAGGTAAAGAGAAGAGCAGAGGGAAGCTCAGATGAGAGATACGCGTATGGGGATACTGGGAGATTCTGTTCTCTGTGGAGAATGGTGGCTAACAAGATGCTCAACCACCGTGTGTTTGGACATGTGCTTCATAAGGTAGGTCTCCTAAAAACAAGAACAAACAAGAAATGTGTATATTGAGATTTGATTAGAACATTAGCACAACAGCTGAATGAACTTGGTAATGAATCAAAGTTTACTGGTTAAAGGTGCAGTTTGTAGTTTTTCATAGTGATTCTAGATCTGTAATCATGTAATTTTTAAAAGCATCACGGAAACACTGATGCAGCATATTATCATGCACTGGATCTCACTAGTTTCTTTGTCTTTTTTGTTCACATTTTCTAGTCCTGAAAGAAGCCCTGCTCAGCCAGAATGGAGCTGGATGGGAGCAGTTGGGAGAGAAGGAAGCAAAGTGTTTCACTTCAGTTGCAAAGATAGGTGCTGCCACAAATGTCAAACTCCACCCTTAAGCACAGGTATGCTTTATATTAAACAGTAGTCTTTAAAAGCATCAAAATTTGTTCTTGCTACTTGCTTTGGAAGTATCATTCATTTTGGCAATGTGAGGCATACTGCAGTGCTGTCAACATTTTATAATTACAATTTATTGCTTGAGGATGTTTAAGCTCATTATGATGTAAGGTTTAGCCTTGGTCGGAAGTAGGTAGAAATGCTGGTACTCACCGATGTGTACGCGCGGCCACACATACTGCAGCAATAAGCTTTAGCGTTCTTCACAGCGTGTGCTGACAGGTGGATCTGTAGGGAGGCCGAATCTGTGTAGGCACGGTAGCAGTTCGGACACTTGTATGGTTTGTCTTTATTGTGCTGCCTCTGATGGGACTAAGAAATATGAGAGAAGTTACAGTGATGCGATATGGAACTTAAGGTGAATATTAACCTGTCAAATGGTGCTGGAAAAAGTAATGGAGCAACTGCTCACAACCTTAAGCGCAGGTTCCCAAGTCTGATCTTGGAGTACCTGCTGCCCTGCACATGTTAGTGTTTTCCCAGTACCCACCACACCTACTTCAAGTCATGTAGGGCTTGTTAATGAGCTGATTAGGTGAGTCAGGTGTGTTGGGAGCACTGGAAACATTAAAACGTGCAGGGCAGGGGATACTACAGGACCAGGGTTGGGAACCACAGATCTAAAGTATGGCACCTTGACTGGAGTCAAGTAGTGGAGGTAGTGTCATGGTTTGGGCAAATGCAGCTGCTAGTAGACCTGTATTGCTGTATTAGTGATGTGACAGGGAAGATACAGATCATCTGATAATGTCTTAAGTTTGAGACTTAAGCAGTTATAAGTTATCAAACAAATGCATTATACAACACTATGCAGTGTAGTGTTCTTAATGATTTGATTATGGCAATATTCTAAACAATAATCATATGCCTTATTCCGCTTTAGTATGGAACTAATGTTGGAATAAATATATTGTAAGAATACAGTATTAGTCAGTACTACTGTCTTACCAGTCAGTCACACTGTGATCTCTTTTTGTTATACTCACCTGTAAATTTGAGAGCTGTGTAAATGCTTTTTCACATCCAGGTTGGGCGCATTTATATGGTCTATCCCCAGTATGAATCCTACAAATAAATAACAAATAATCATAAACACACGAGTTCAATTTTCCACTGGGTTCTGCACTTTGCATTGCATTGGGTAAAATATGGTGCTGGATGTGGTTGAATGGGTTTCATCAAAGGCTCTGACCTTGTGTGCTGTTGCAGGTGAGACAGCTGGCGGAAGGAGTTCTCACAGTAGGAGCAGTGATAAGGCTTTATCCCTAAGTGAATCCGGAGGTGCTGCGCTAGGTATGAAGCGTTGGCAAAAGATTTTGAACAGTGAGGACACTTATGGGGTTTGGCCTCTGTGTGGGACTTGGAATGAATCTGCATCTCTGACTTGTTGAAGAAGGTGAGTGGACAAACTTTACACCTGCACAGAATACAAACATCCAAGTATTAAAATAGTACGGTACATTCTGGAGAACACTGCCACCAACTTGATCTCAGGCTCATATCTATTTGAATGGAAAGATGTCTGTAAACCTGACACTAATAACCAGGCTCAGGGTTCGAAAGGTTTTGGAAGTCACTGGTTAAAACTGACAAAACACACAGAAATAGTCGGTGGTGTTTGTCTCAGATTATGCATATGTTTTTTATTCTGGCAATTACACATGCACATATCTCCACAACAAATGGCTCTTTCTCCCACTTAGGTCTTTAGCAACACAGTGACAGGCTGTATTTGTTGAAGGGTGGGCCTTTCCGTAATGCAGCATTTTGACGGTTACAAGCTCTCTCATTTGTATTTCAACCAGTCTTATTGTTATAATGTCTCCATGTAACAAATATGTATCATATAAACATTACAGAACATAAAGCTTTGCTCAAGATGACATAACACTGACAAAGATTCATTTACTTTTTTGACTAATTAATGCAGTCCTTCTGTAAATTCATACTTATTATGGAGGTCTAATACAGACACTAAAGGTCTTATAACCTTGAATAGACCTTAAATATTCAAACCTGTAGGTTTTCCCCTCTTTGGCGATGGTGACTGACTGGTCAGGGCCTGAGGCCAAGATGGGGTAGGGCACCACCAGCAAGGGACCGGTGTTGTTCTCTGCTTTGATCTTCTTACGGCCACGCGGGGCTTTCGGCTGTGGCCCCAGCATCCCTGCCAAGCTCCCACTTTTCACCTGATCCATGCCAGGAGCGCTGGCCAGGCCTGAGATCACATTCAGGGAGGGTGCTCCTCCCAGCCGGTTCTGACTGCTAGACGTCGGGGTGGTGGGGGTCATGGCCTCAGAAGTGTTGTGACTGTCGGCGCGAGAAGTGGCTACCAGGCCTGTGTTTGAACAAGTGGAATGCAGTTATGTTCCTTTTTTATTTGATTCCCTTAAAACCTAAAGGCCTGTTTGTGGGTCCACAATTTAACTACATAACTGCCATGTTAGTTTCAAAGTATTTAGCATCATATTATTTACCAAATAATTCAGCATAATGACTGAATAAAAAGCCATTATATTAATAACAGAATAATAAACCTGCAGTTTAGGGGCAATAATACCCAATATTCATAATCAAAAATTTGGATGTAATGACTATAATGGCTATAAAGGGCTGAGCTTCCCCAAGAGGCCTTTGTTGTTTTCCCAAAACCAGTACAGTCACACTTTATGCTAGACAGACTGATATTACAATATTTTTAATACATACTGTTATGTTGCAAATATTTTGGAAATAGAAAATTTAAAGAGAGTACCAAAAATGCCAATGTTTAATCCAAAGAAAAGTAAAAAGGCTTACAAAGGTAGCACTCTTTTCAGGAGTCGGAGCCAGATATACACAAGTGTCTTGTTTTGTGTTTTTGTTTTGTTTTACCTGAACGATGGTTCACTCTAGCAGCCTGGTCAACAGCTTGACGCATATGCCAGTCTTCCCATAATCCTTTAGCTTTCACAGCTGACTTGTCATCCATGTTCAGCTCTAGATCATCAAATACAAACGTATTGCTCATTACAATTCCCTTTAATGCAGCTTAACCCACTGTATAACAGTGTTTTCTATAAAAATGGACAACAGTACAGTGCATAGCTATAAAGAACCACAGCAGCTACCCGGAAACCTGATACTTATGTCTATTTTTAGAGATAAGAGATTGTCTTTAACAGTGTATTGTTTTGACAAGTACCTGCCACGGTGCTGGAGGCGGGGCGGGCGTGAAGGGCAGTGTCCGGCTGGGAGGAGTTGTGGGCCTGCAGCCCCGGCACCTGCTGCAGCTTAGGGATGGACATCACATGCTGGCCAGCATCTGAGGGCGGTGAGGCCACCAGCAGGGTCTGCTGAGAGGGAACAGTGGAGGATGGCAAATGCGGAGGTCTGATCTTTTCTGCCATCAGCTGCTCTTTGATCTTGTTGATAAGAACCAGGTTATCCAGCTGTAAGAATCATTCGTTATGCTCAACTGGGGACATTGACATTACTTGGTATGAGCGGTCTATGGTCACCATATAGCAGAACTTCGTAGCAATGGTGCATGTGTATGCAACTTGTAATGGATAAATTTAAATAGAAATAAAATTTACATTGCCCTATATTTTATGGAAGCAGTAAATAAGAAATCAGATGACTGGCTAAAATAAGACAAGTTCCCCACAACCAGACATTTCTGGTATTTAGTACATAATGTACAAATTAGGGTTTATTTTATTACACTACTGTGGCTCCCACTAGTGGCGATATTTCTGAAAAATTATTGTTTCAGTAACTGGACAGGATAAAAACTCATTTATATTCAATAGGCAGACTGTCACACACGTTAGTCTGATGTGTGAATATCAGTGCTTGTTTTAAAAGAGAGGCGTAAGGTGAACTCACCTGACCAGGCATGGAGGGAGGTGGTGGCCAGAAATAAGGATTATTGAATCGAGGCTCCGCCATCCCTTCAGTGAAAGCAAACCAGATCATTTTAAAACAGGTTAAAAATCACAATGAGAACAGCATAATAATGGTTAATACATAATACACTAGTTTTAGTAGGTACTGTAATAGAATTGTTGTTTAAAAATGCCTTTGCCAATTAAAGCATTATAACTACTATGTATAAGCCATCTGTGTGCTATTCTTAAAGAACAACACCAGTAATGTTATATAAACATGTCTTTGCCATGTAAAGCATGATAACAACTAAGGCTGTAACGATTTCAATACACTACTGAGAGGTCTAAATCATTATTGGTTGAAACGTTGTATCGCCTATTAGAGCTGTCAGACAGGCTTAGAAATTAACATTGAATTTTGTTCTTGCTTATGTTTCCATTTTTAAAATATATATGAACGTTAAATATATTATTTTTAAAGCTGCAAAAAAAGAAAAAAATTTGGATACATAATTACAGTAATCAGCATTTTTAAGTAAGTGTTATATGTCCTACGCCAACAACTGTGTGCTTCCAAAATTTCCCAAACGTCACAAGATAGGAATAGCACTTAGCCAAGCAGCTAAACTAGCAGCTTCCTTTGCTACCTTATTTGTGTAACATTACTTGATTATTAAAGGGGAATTTCTCTGATTTTTCAAAATCTCTGTATATTTCAGTTGTTAAGATGTAAACAAAGTCAGTCAGAGTGTTTTTGTTACTGGGATTTCTTTGCAGTGGAGCTGACAGAAACCAGGGGATGCAATGTCTATATTTTATTTACTATTCAAAATAACCAGTGAACCTACATATGTCTTCTGAGTTTTTATATGTAATGCTGATAAGGGCAAAACGGTGGTAAATCTGAAAAGGAAAAAAAAAAAAAAAAGTTTCCTGGGCAACTATTTTGCATTAGAACTCCGTGCATGTACTTCTCCGCCATTAAAAATGTGTTTTAGCTTTCTGATAAGGCTTTGGCCTGTCGTAAAAGAAATAATTTCATGTATTTTAAGTGAGGGAGCTTTAAGATGCATTAAACTCTTTGGATGTCTGGTTCCCATCACCACCATCAGCAAGATTCTCTAGAATGGAGCATTTCACATCAGGCCACTCTGAATGACTATGTTTATATCGTGTATCTTGTATCAAGAAATGTTGTCTGGGGAATTCCCCTTTAACTTACCACTGAACAAAGTGTCTACAACCCTGTTTCCAAAAAAAGTTGGGATGTTGTGCAAAATGGAATGATGTGACAATCATTTAAACCGTATGTATTTAATTAAAAATAGTACAAAGAGAACATATCAGATGCTAAAACTGAGAAATTTTGTTGTTTTTTGAAAAATATTTGCACATTTTGAATTTGATGGCAGCAACACATTTCAGAAAGGATGGGACGGGGCATTTTTACCACTGTGCTGCATCACCTCCTCTTTTAACAACTCTTTGTAAGCGTTTGGGAAATGAGGAGACAAACTGCTGCAGTCTTGCTTGATATAGGATTTCAGCTGCTGAGTTTGGGGTCTCCTTTGTCGTATTTTTCATTTCATAACACGCTGAATGTTTTCAATAGGTGACAGGTCTGGACTGCAGGAAGGCGAGTTTAGCACCTGGACTCTTAATACAGAGAAATGCTGTTGTAATACATGCAGAATGTGGTTTGACATTGTCTTGCTAAAAATAAGCAAAATCTTTCCTGAAAAGACATCATCTGGATGGCAGCATATGTTGCTCCTGAACATGTATATATCGTTCAGCATTAATGGTGCCCTCACAGATGTTCCTGAGCCCATGCATTGATTTCCACTACAGAACTGTGTTCTGATTTTAATGCAGTGCTACCTGAGGGCCCAAAGATCACGGCCTGTCAGTAGTGGTTTTTGGCCTTGTCCCTTGCATACAGAGATCTCTCTGGATTCTCTGAAACCTTTAATGATATTATGTACCATAGATGATGAAATCTATGCTATTTTATGTTGAAAAACGTTATTCTTGAAATGTTGCACTATTTGATCGTGCAATCTTTAACAGAGTGGCAAACCCCTCCCCATCTTTACTTCTGAAAGACTCAGCCTCTCTGGGATGCTGTTTTTTTTTTTTTTTACCCAATCATGTTACTGATCTGTTGCCAGTTAACCTAATTAGTTGTTTTTTTAAGCATTACACAACTTCACGTCTTTTGTTGCCCCATTCCAACTTTTCTGACACATGATGCTGGCATCGCATTAACAATGGGCATATATTTTTCAAAAAACAATAAAAAAGGTCTCTGTGAATTATTTCACATTATCGCATTCTGTTTTTATTTACATTTTGTACAGTGTCCCAACTTTTTTGGAAACTGGGTTGTACATGTGGAGTGTTGTGTACACTCTAAAAGTTTTGTCATCTGAAGCCAACCTGTTAGCCATGTTCAGCTTAAAAACAACGCATCAGTTTGTCCAGATTAATATGCTAAATTTGTGTTTGTTTGAGCTCAACCAATATGTGCAATACATAGAAAAATATAGCCATTTAATAAGTCATAATAATGAGAAAGTTTTCCATAACTGTTATTAATACTTAAGGATAACTTTAATTTGTGTCTCATAAGTTTGACTTGCTATCTCAAAATAATGAGACCCTCTCTCTTAATTGACTTAGTATCCCATAATTATGATTTGCTCTCTCATAACAATGAGATTCTATCTGTTATTACTTCTATTTCATAATTATGACTTAACATTTCGTTAATATGACTTTGCATCTAAATCTAAAATATCTTAAATTCACTTAAACCGTAAATCCACTGCTATCTTCAATGCACTGGGATCCTAAATCTCCTGTTACCTTAAATTCAGTAGTATCTTTAATACACTGTTACCTTAAAACCAGTTCCCTTAAATCCACTTCTACCTTAAGGTCATTGGTATTTTAAATCTACCGATACCTTAAATTCACTGCCATCTTAAATCCACTGCCTCCTTAAGTCTACTGCTACCATTAATCCATTATTTGTGCTGATACTGCTGTGCATTAGGCTGTGTGTACTGTGTATGAGTGTCTGTGTGAGAGATGTGGCAGTTAGATGTGAATGTCCCGAGCATTCTGCCATTCATCCTGCAAAATTTGTTCTAGCTCAAAAACTGCAGGAAGAGAAACATTAATTTTAGCGCATAATAATAACAACAAGAAGGAGATTATGAAGAACAGTAACTTGGCTTTTCCAAGCCAATTTAGGAATGAGATGCCATGTCATAAATATTTGTTACTAAGTCATAATTGTGGTAAACTTTCTCATCATTATTTACTTACCAAAATGCTATATATTTTTATATATATATAAAATCAGATAAAATCTTCACCTCAGAGGCTAAAATCATATGGAACCATAAATATGCGTACTGTGACCGTAACTCAGTGTCAATGCCACTGTCCCCAAAGTGTCAACGCCAGAAATGTCCACTTAATAAATTAAGCTCACCAAATATCTATAAATGAACGTTTTTTCCCTTGACAGGGACACAAAAGTTGCAGAACTTTTTCGTTCTTTCCTGCTACCAGTTCATATCCATCGTTCAGAAAAGGCTGGAGAGTGAAGTTCACGCAGCACACTGCACTCCACACGAGGCTAAAGTCAGCTTCTTTCTAATTTTCCCGTTCCACCTTAAATGGTGCAGCAGTTACATTGTGGCGTCTCGGACGCATTATAACTGTGACTCAGGCGCCAGAATGTAACTGCTGCACCATTTAAGGTGGAACGGGGAAATCAGAACAAGAAGCTGGAGAATAGGAAGCCAACTTCAGCCTCGTGCACGCCACACACATTAACACGGCTTCAACAAAACGTTTCAGACAAAAGAACAAAAAAAGAAACAACTAAAATGGCAGCCTGTCTTTATTTTCATAAGGAAGGGCGCCATATTCTGCGGAGCCCAAATTTGCCCCTCGGTTTGTGTTGGACGGGGATGGAGCAGGCAGAAAACCGCAGGACCTGACTGTGGTGTATGTGTGGGAATGTGGCTGTTTGTTTATGAAGAAGAATTGCACCTTTGAATTGCCCGGCCCCTCTGGAAAAAAAACCTGACACTTCCTACAACAATCCTGCCGTGCAAAAACACTCGTACGGCAGCTACTCGCAGCTCGGCTCCATCATTTCCCACACTGTCTCTCTCTGCAGCGGCGAGGTGGCGAATTTCCTCACAAAAAAACCCTTTCACTGCAAAAACCATCAGCCGCGTTCGCTTTAATGATTTTTGGGGAGATTTTTAACCTCCCGCGTACATTAAACACCACCGATACGGGCTTTGCAGGCATGCACTGCCACTAAATATTCGCGTCGCGTCGGCAAGAAGGAGTAAAAACGTGTTGGACAGACCTTTTATTCCGGCTGCAGCTTTTTTCCCTTCGCAGAATAAAAAGCTAAAAGCGCTTGATGTTCTTTCTATGCGCTTCTAGCTTTCACCGCTTCCGGGTCGCCGTTCGTTCACTTCTGGGTGTTTTTTTTTTCACGAGGCTCAAGTTGGCTTCCTATTCGCCAGCGTCTTGTTCCAGTTTTCCCGTTCCACCTTAAATGATGCAGCAGTTGCGTTCTGGCGCCTCGGGCGACAGAGTGTAACTGCTGGACCATTTAAGGTGGAACGGGAAAATTCGAACAAGACGCTGGCGAATCAGAAGCTGATTCAGTTTCGTCTCTCTCTCTCTCTCTCTCTCTCTCTCTCTCTCTCTCTCACATATGAAGTCCAGAATCACGAAGCAGTTTATTATTTTTTATATCATGGTCCTTCAAACAGGGCAAGAAAATCACTGCTCTGACGCTAAATATACTGCAGTTAGAGCCTGGAGTGCTTGGGTTTTACCTAATGGTCGAAATATGCGCAGATAATGCTAAAATGAGAGCAGCAGTGAGTAGTAAAAAGGAAGAGAGAGTTAGGATGATCTCTCTGCACATGTCTAGGAAATGCAAGATACATCTAACTTCGTGAAAAATACACACTGAAGAGCTCAAAACTGTGAAACATTTGCTTCGCGAACGTGCCTGATGTTCCACTCGCCGCTAGATGTCGCTGTTCGTCTTGATAAATTATGACGCCTGCAATGGGGACGCTTTAAAGGGCCCAGATTTTACGCTTGTTTTTGTTTCTACTCATAACATTTATGTGGTTTTAACAAACCTATTTTACACGGCCATTTCCAGGATAAACCTCTCTATCCCTCAAGGCCTCAACAAACATGAATTTTAGTGTTTACAAGAGTCCAGTTCCGAGACCACAAATTAACAGTCTTAGTTTTAAAACCATTTGACACAGTTTTGTATCAGGAAGGTCAGAAATAGCTCTCTCTAATTAATGTTTGTAGGCTATGCATTATTTAAGGTTAGATTTTACGATATACACTCACTGAGCACTTGCACCTGTACACTCACTGAGCACTTACACCTGTACACCTACTCATTCATGCAGTTATCTGATCAGTCAGTCGTGTAGTAGCAGTACAGTGCATAAATTATACAGACCTGCAGCTTCAAATAATGTACACATCAACCATCAGAATGCCAGGCTGGTTTGAGTATTTCTGAAACTGCTAATCTACTGGGATTTCACACACAACAGTCTCTAGAGTTTAATCAGAATGGTGCAATAAAGAAAAAAACATCCAGTTTTGTGGACAGAAATGCCTTATTGATGAGAAAGGTCACCAGAGATTGGCCAGACTGGTTTGATCTGACAGGCTGTGGTAACTCAGATAATCACTCTGTACATTTGTGGTGAGTAAAAAAGCATCTCGGAATGCACAACAAGTCAAACCTTGAGGTGGATGGGCTACAACAGCAGAAGACCACGATGGGTTCCACTTCTGTCAGCCAACACAGAAAGCTGAGGCTGCAGTGGGCACAGGCTCACCAAAACTGAACAGTTGATAACTGGAACACATAGCCTGGTCTGATGAATCTCAATTTCTGCTGAGGCACGCAGATGGTAGGGTCAAAATTTGGCACCAACAGCATAAATCCATGGACCCTACCTGCCGTGTGTCAACAGTCCAGGCTGGTGGAGGTGGTGTAATGGTGTGGGGAATGTTTTCTTGTCACACTTTGGGCTTGTTATTACCAATCAATCGATGCCACTGTCTTTTTGAGTATTGTTGTTGACCATGGGCATCCCCTAATGGCCACAATTTACCCATCTTCTAAGGATTTCCAGCATGATAATGCACCATGTCACAAAGCAAAATCTACCCAGTATTAGTTTGGTGTTCCTAATAAAGTGCTTGGTGAATGTATATTATGAAACAATATTTTTTCTGTATATCATGTATAACTTACAATAGTGAATGCACAATGAAGTACATTTTTGTTCTTTTCTTCTTAATTTTTAATATTCTGAAAATATCTTCATCTGGTCTCTGCCTTGACGTGTGTCCAGGTCTCAGTCTTGACTTGGCTTGAAGTGAGTTCAATTGCGTGTATAATTGATGGTATCTTGCGACCCAAACATAATTTTTCAGATGCAACATTACTTTATTCACCATCTGTTTGAGTTTTGCAAACTTTTGCTGGCAGTGTGAACTCATTGACCAGTCATCTGCCAGGAATCTGCTCTGCTTTATCACAAATTGTGCCAGCATCTTCAAAAACCAGCTCAAACTGAGTTACTGAGTCTGAGCTGTGTGTTAAAGCTCGTATAAAGTTCCAGCTCCTGAATGAAGCAGTGAAACTCTCACTTTCATGTAAAGGTCATTTGAATTACACAAGCTGTTTTTTGTTACTGTGCCTTGAAGAGTGATATGTGTGAATAACCTCTTTTCTGATTGGCTTATAACTTCAACATGAATGGGCTGGGCCAAGGTGTTGCACCCTGAATAGGTGGATACATGTTGGTTATGTGACATCACAAAAACAATGAATTCAAAATATGCTGTTTTTACATGTTCATTTTCATAGATGGATAGTACAGACTAGTGAAGGCATGGTAAATTTTGAAGTTTTAACAATGTTTACATATTACATCAAACTCTTTATTTCAAAGTGAGCAAAAGGAGTTTTTCAGGATATGAGCCCTTAAAGAAACTGAAGTTTATTCACATTTCATTTAATACTTACTAGTGGATTATTTCTAAATGAACAAACAAAATATTGTAAGTAGGCTAATATGACTATATAAAACACTGTATTATATGACCATGTAACTCACTGTCTTGTACTAGCTGACTTCTCAATATCTGAATTCACCAATGTAATGAGTTTCTGTTGCGCATACAGAGGAACTGAAGGGTTGTAGGCAGTACCTTAAAGACTTCCTCTGTGACAAGCCTAGCCTAAGCTTAGCCTACCATCCCAGCCCAACATGCACATTGGTCGGTTGACGTGTTTTCCTGTCTTGCTTTTCTGAGAGCTCCTTTCACATTTCTGCCACATAACGTTTCAGATTGTCAAGGTGCAGTTCACTGTTTTCGTGGAGGGTCACAACTGCAGATGCACGTGTCTGGACTTATAATGTAGACAAGCAAAGTGAAATAATTTCAGATCTCTTGGTTATTTACTTTTATTTGTTTGCTTGTTTTAATAACAGTGAATCAAATGTGATTGCAGTCCACGTTCCTGTTCATGGTCACTGGAAATTTAAAAATTGTCTGACCATGACCACGTCTCCAATAGTTTATGTTTTGGTAAGTAACCTAATGCTTCACTAACCTAACTCTTCACTAGCTGTTATTTTTGACAAATTCAATTCAATTAGTTAATTTTACAGATTGGCGGTAGTAGATCTACAACAGTAGAACTGTATATTAAAAAAACCTCACAAGATAGTCTCAGTACTAGTTAGTTAGTTAATGCATTCTTACTATAGATATTTTAACCCCTCCTCGCTTTAGACAAAGATGTTCCTGAGTATACATCGTCTAATTCTATATTAACTACAATGACAGCCTAAGAGCTTCACAACTAAAACATTAGAGCAACTCTCTAAAACATTTGATAACAACTATATGATATACTGTTATGTAGCGACCACTCTCTCTTGTCATTTTTAGATTTCTTCAGCATTCTTACATATGCTGTTATCTCAGTCATACTGGGCCCTACATATTAGTTTTACAGTAGTTATTGAGTAATCCATAGTAGTCACTGTATAAAAAGCCTAAAGATTTATAACCAGACAGTTAGCTTGGAGTTTAAGGGGTTAATTTCTGATTATATCAAACCAGAATATACTCTTGATGAATCACTGTCAGTACAACTTTGCAGTCATCATGTTTCCCCGACAGGCATTTTTGAAAGCTAAAATCTTTTGCCTTGTTCAAAACTAATGTTCGTTTTTAGTCATTTATCATTTTCATCATGTATTTCAATTTGTGATGAAAGGTCTTTTAGGAACCTTATTATTCACCCTCAGAAATAGACCTGTACCTTTCAGGGTACAAATGCTGTCACTGTGGTTGTACCCTTTTTAATACCTTTTGTAAAAAATACATAAAAAATACCCTATTCTGTTATAGTTACAGTTTTTGAGTTGCATTAACTTCATACACTCTGTCTTGACCCCAAGATTCTTATATTATTTCAGTTACTTAAACATGATGTCATAAAAAGGTACAAATATTCAACTTTCCTCTGAGAAAGTATGTATGTATGTATTTTTTGTTCAACTCCACGTTGTATCATATGAAACTGGTGAAATATTATGTCTAAAGCTGTAAATTGTAGTTTTTAGTGTAATTATGGCAGCATTTTTACATAAACATTGTATTTTCTGTTTTTGCTTCTATTTCTATAATTCCATACAGTCATCCTTAAACAAATCACTTCGAAAGGTAATTTTGAACCCAGTGTATAGCACATCCACTACTTACTGACTGTGAATTTCCTAGAAGAACCTTGGCATAATAAAGTGATTCTTCTATATTATGTGCTATGACAAAACTTACAACTGCAGCAGAGTGAATATATCATAGATTATGATGTGTGTGGACACCTATAAGAGCTTGTTGCACATCCCATTCCAAAACCATGGGCATTAATATAGCCCCACTTTTACAACTGTAACAGCCTGCACTCGTTTGGGAAGACTTTCCAAGATATTTTGGAATGTGTCTGTGGGAATTTATGCCTATTCAGTCACATTTGTGAGGTCAGGCACTGATTTTGGACAAGAGGCTTGGCTCGCAATCGATGTTCCAATTTATCCAGTCCATGTTCGATGGGGTTGAGGTCAGGGCTCTGTGCAGGCTGCTGGAGTTGCTCCACACTTGTCAAACCTCACTTTCTGCACAGGGACACAGTCATGCTGGAACAGTAAAGTGCCTTCCCCAAACAGTTGCCACAACATTGGAAGCATATAATTCTCTGAAATGTGCTGTAGCATTAACATTTCTTTCCACTGGGACTAAAGTGTCAAGCCCACACTGTAAAAAACAGCCCCAGACTATTATCCCTTTTCCACCAATCTTTACTGTTGTCACTGTGCAGTCTGGTAGGTAGTGTTCTCCTGGCCCAGATTCGTCTTTTAGACTGCCAGATAGTGAGGCGTGATTAATGACTCCAGAAGACACGTTTCCGCTGCTTCCCATTTAACAGGCTTATGTTTAGGCTTGTGCGCAGCTGCTTGGCCATGAAAACCCATTTCTGAAGTTCTTGACGCAAAGTTCTTGTCCTGGTATTGCTTCCAGAGGCAGTTTGAAACTCTGTAGTGTGTAACTCAACAGAGGACAAATCATTTTTTACTGACTATATGCTTCAGCACTTAGTGGCCCCACTCTGTGTGCTTTGTGTGGTCTTTCACTTCGTGGCTGAGCTGTTGGTGCTCTTAGATATTAGCACTTACAGTTGACAGAGGCAGATCTAGCAGGGCAGAAATGATCTGTGACAAAGATGGTATCCTATGGTGTTTAAAATTACTGAGCTCTTCAGTCTTACCCATTTTACGGCCAGTGTTTTTCTGTGGAGACTGACTGGCTCTGTGCTTTATTTTCTACGCTTCTTAGTAAGGATTGTGGCAGAAACATCTTAAGTCAGTAATTAGGAGGGATGTCCCGCCTAGTGTATATAATGTGTCTTTTAGTGTTGGGCTACTTTCTTAATGTGCTGATGAGTTGTGTGTGCTGATTGTACTGCAGGCACTGGCTCTGATTGCAGTCTCTCTGTGCCAGACTGGACACGACTCGGAATGTCAAAGGCCAATGGATGGACACCCTGGGAAATCAGGAAAATGTCCACCAGGTAAACAAAATGGCTTGCTTTGGACATTGTAATATTAAAGATGACATATATAAAATTATTGCATAATACCTCATTTATATAAACACATTTTCAGTTTATCAGAATAAAATTGATTTTAGGCATTTGTGCCTCCCAAAGCCCAAAGTTTAAAAATGTCAGGTGGTGCAACCGTCCAACCATATATTCAGATTTGTTAAACTGTTAAAAAGGATCATTTAGTCATATAAAATTCTAAATAAAGCATAACATGTTTCAAACATAAAAATCACAACTTGTTGTAATGTGTTCCACTTTAAAAGTTTTCAACTCTTTGAAAAACTTATGTGTGTCAATTCTTTTCCTCCCCTTGAACTCGAGCCAATATCCTGTTGAAGTGCTTGGCTGTCCTTTTCAGTGTCCTCAAAACCCTCAAAAAGGGTTTTGTATGCCATAGTAGAACCACTTTTTTATGTTTGAAAAAGAGATTTGCAAGTGTGAAAAAGCTTATGAAGGTTCTATACCAATTTAATGTTTTTCCCTAGGACATTTACATTATGTGCAGGTCTTTGAAACAGTAAAACGGTTCTTCCCACTCAGTTTTGGTTTCTCTAAAGAACTGTTCACTAGAACCTTTGTGGCATGTTTTTTTCAAGTGTGTGTTAATAATGCAATGTCATGATTTGTCTCATAAATGCATAAAAGGATTAGGAAATGTCTGTGATTCAAACTTTAGCAACTGCTGCACCAACCATACAAACCACATAGGAAAGGGTTGACTTAAGTATTTCTTATATTTGAAATTATTTACAAGATTAACTAAATAAAAATGCATGCACTTCAGTTTTGTGTTCCTAGTGTTTTGGAATAGCTCTTGTACTCCACATGTAGGAAAACATTGCATTTGATAAATCTGTTGTATTTCTGTTCATTCAGGCTGTCACACTGTAGGATCATCATCAAAAGATACTATCTGCAAGAAATGTGGCCCAGAGACTTACATAGATGCAGACAGTGCACTAACAACATGTCATACTTGTAGATCTTGTGATGCTGGGAGTGAGTAAAACACTATAAAATGTCATATTAATTGCAGTTATGTTAGATGTTATATAGATGTTATAAATTGGCATAAAGGTTTTTAACGATCTCTCTTGGTTTTACAGCTAATAAGATTGTTAAGAGTGAATGCACACCTCAGAAGAACCGAGTATGTGGCTGCAAAGATGGCTTTTACAGAACATCCAACTCGGAGGATGATTTTTTCTGTAAGGATTGTAAAAAGTGCACAAACTGCAGCTTGTGTAAGTAACAAAAAGTAAAAAGACATAAAACATTTCTTATGACTGAACTTAGAATGTCAAATAAATTAGATGTGCTCTTCATATGGCATTTTTGTTGTCACTGTAACTAAAACCAAGCCAATTTCAGAGAGGAACACGATCTTCATTCTTTAATCGCTCTATAACTCATTTGTCAAGCTTTGTGTGATAAACTGCAAAAGGTCTGAAATCCAATCCATGCAAAATTAAGGCAGTTATTATCACACGGTAACATTTTTGTCACTGTCTCAGGATTTCCATTTCTTATGGTCCTACAGGCCCTGATTGTAAAGATAAATGCGAAAACGTGTCTTGCCAGCACGGCCAGTACTTGGATTCGAAGGGGAAATGCCAGCCATGTCCCAAGTAAGAGACATCATGGAATTGTTCTGTAAATTTCTCCTCATCCTCATTGCCTACTTCTGGTTTTGTCAAAGGCCTTTATCTTCTAAAGAAGGGTTGACTGAGATATCCAAAATATGTTGACCAGGTAAACAAAATGTCTGGGCACTGGGGAGTTGATTTAAACTAGGCTTAATTCAGAGATTATTCTTTTGTGAGTATCATGGGCAGCAGCATATTTTGCTGGATGTTTAGGTCATTACTTTTCAGTTTCAAGTCAACTAATCCTGGATTAAGAATCTTGAGAGCCTTAACCACTTCAAAAGTTTATAAAAATGTTTCAGATTCTGTTCAAAGTGGAATCTTGAAGCATATAGGTTAGTGGGTTGTGGGTTTCCTGTATACAGAAGCAAGAATTTCCTGCCATTTTACAAAGTTCTGCAAATCAGCTCTCTTGAACAAATGTCACAGTCATGTGTGTATGTGCAGTACACATACAGTGACCTGTTTATTAGGTACACCAACTCTGTTGCTGTGCCTAATAGGTTATCATACCACTTACGGTCAATTTTTGAGTCATGATGGTTAGACTGATTCAGTTAACAAAGTCATTAAAATGTGTTATTACTGTAATAATGTTTATTTATTTGAAAAATTTAAGGTCAAGTTTAAGTCACCACTTTTGTGCTCAGTAATCGACTGACTGACTGTACTGGAATCGTAAGCTTAGGCTGTGTAAACAGAGTTTTTAAGGACAAGTGTGTGATAGACTTTTAACATATATCTATAAAATACTTTCATGAATCAGTTTATTTAAATATAATTGAAACAAACATAGCTCACACAAAAGTGAAAGTGAATGGGCCTGTTATTAGCTAAGCATCTCCTTTTCATCAAAGACTGCTTAGTCTGTGACGGGGGGTGCGTATGTCAACAAAGGCTTTTGATCGTTTTATTGAGTTTTCCTGCCCCTGTAGCCAGCTCCTCTCATATACGATGCAGATCAAATTCACATGCATTACATCACATGCTTTAGCTTTATGTATATTTTGTACATTTTTTGCATATATACCTGCTTTATCAGAAATGCATAAAATCATAACATGTTTCAAAATATGGCAACTTTAAAAGTTTTCAACTCACTGAAGAACTTGTTGGTGTAAATTTTGATTTCCTCAAATGCCATGCATCACAGCCATCAACAAAGGACTTTTATTGTGACATGCTTTTAAAAAGAGTGGGCAGAAGATTGCATTATAAACAAGACCCCTAGTGAGTGTAATTTTTGAGTCATGATGGTTAGGCTGATTCAGTTCACCCACTCATTAAAATGTGTTATTTGTATAATAATATTTATTTATTTGAAACATTTATGTAGAAACTTGAGTCTATACACAGAGAAGGATTTATAGAGGTGTCAAAGTACAAAGACTAAATTATTTATTTTTATTAATGTGTGGTTGCGCCACCTGGGTTCAGTATAAGAATTGATTTATACTCTAATAACACTATGATACAAATATCACTATGTTGGATGGATTGATGGATACTGAATGTTCATTTTGCTGCTCTACAGTTAGAGACCATTGTCTAACTGCTGCCATGCATCATTTGTTTTAGTCAAAAATAGTGGCCAGTTTCTGACCTCAGAGCCATTCTTGGCTGGATGAGTTTCACTTTCAACCCCACAGTGACACGTGTCCAAAACCTCAGCAACACTGCTGTGCCTGGTACATTCTTACCAGCACCACACACACTACCATGATACTACAATAACACTACCAAGTTAGTTTCACTGCTGTACAGTGTTCCACCACCAAAATAATATTTGGTCAACAGCAATCCTGTCAGGAACTGACCAATGATTAAATAGGGTAGAGGGTGGCTGACCAATTGTGCAGCAACAGATTGGCTACACTGTGTAACAGTCCAACTATACAGTGGATCTGTGAGATGTACTGAGGTAAAATGTATTTCATAAAGTGGCCAATGAGTGGAAGTACAAAGTAGATGTTTAAACTAAAGTAGATGATAAGAGCTCATACAACTACATTAATATATATCAACAAAATATATGAACTCAACCTGGCCAGTTGTCATAAGTCATTCATGAAACAGGCCAGTATAACACAATACAACACAACACAAAAACCACCAATATCAACAAACATCAGTCCATTTACAAATCACCATCAGTCAACTAACATCAACAAACATCAGTCAGTTAAAATGTATGTCATACATAAGTTCAGTCGACTTACTTCAATAAACTTCGATCAATTAACTATTTATCATCAGTCAATTAACACCATTTTACATCAACAAACATTGGTCAATTAACCCCAATTAAAATTAGCAAACAGTCAATTAACATCCCATTGTCAGTAAACAAACACCAAGTAACATCAACACACATTAGTCAATAAACATGTCGTCGTCATCATCAGTAAACAAACACCAATTAACATGAACACACAGTCAGTTAACAAGTCATCAGTCAACTACCATCAGCAAATATCAATGAACATGAGTCAGTTAACACCAATGAACATCAAAAAACATTAGTCATTTGACAATAAATCATCAGTCAAATAACACAAATTAATCAACAAATAGTAGTAAGTTACCATTGATTGACTAACATCAATAAATTTCAGTCAAGTAACTAAGTAATTAGGTCATCATCAGTCAACTAATATCAACTAACAAACTTTAGTCCCCTAACAAGTTACTGTCAGTTAACTGCCATCAACTAACATCAACCAGTATAAACAAACATTAGCTAACATCATCAAATTCAGTCAGTTAATGTCAACAAACATCAGTCAAATAACAAGGCCACATCAGATAACATCATCAAACTGTCAATAAACAAGTTACCATCAGTCAACTAACTTTTGAGTACAAACGTGCCGGAATGATTGGATTAAGCTTAAAATTTGATTTATATTAAAACCCATCAGACAACTTTAGAGTAATAAATAAAGTGGCCACTGAGAACATATTTATCTGGAAAAAAGTTGTTAAAATACACTGTACGTTCAAATTTTACCCTTCTTATTTTTTCAGTAACCAATGCAGTCACGAGTCCTGTAAGTCTTTCTGTATAAAAGGTAAGAGATAACACACATTTTATTAATACATTTCAGGAATTTCACATATGATCACATCTATTTGTGCTGTAGGGAGAACTGGAAGGCTCAGTAGGAGAGCCTGATATATCAAAATGTTTGCACTTATGTGTGTATATTATATGTACATATACATGAAGTCGAATATACTGCAGCCTGTGTGTTTCCATATCCCCATGTTACCATATAGTATGTAATATTTAAGAAGTTTTCCATTATAATATGAATGATGTCATGGCTTGTTTAGACGAGTCTGGAAATTCGAGGTTGGAGCTTGTGATCATTCTGCCCATTCTGCTGCTACTGCTGGTGCCTCCTGCTGTCCTCCTCATTTGCTGGGCCTGTGGGAAGAGAATGTCTTGCAGCTTGGTGTGTAAACAGAACAGAATTTTACACACCGAACGTAATGGAATCCTACCACATGTGCAAATACCTGGTAACTATATATATATTTTTGCTGATGTTGAAGTGGACTATTGGAAAGTTGGTGTTTAGGGGATGTATGGGTTTATTTGTATACATTGAATAAATTGTTATTATGGCCAATATGTGTGGTTGGTATATTGTCATTTTTGTAGGCAGAGATCCTAATTTCTATATTTCTTATTATTTGCAGTTCAGCGTCATGTACACGTTCAGATGCCACCGGTTTGTATCCCCTAATACATTTCATCCACCTCTGTTTCAGTGTCCTTGACATTTGAAAATGATGTTTATTTCTCTGTGTTTTAGATCCTAAATGTTGAACCTTCCCGAGATACAGAGACAAGACAAGCACCAAGATATCACGACATGGTCGAGGGCAACATCGCAACTCCACTTATTGGAAATGGAGACTCAAAAGGCATAGTAATTATATTTCATTATTTAGGAGTTTTTTTGTGCTAAGCAATTATGTTGTGAGGAATGTATCACAATGGGTCATATCTAAACCTCTGTTCCACTCATTTTTTCCTTTTTTATAATTTTTTTTTTAACTTAAAGCCCAGCTGTCCTTCACATTGTATGATTATTTCATTATCAACTACTGGACTACCAGTAGAACTTGGAGACTAATAAGATGACAACAGTGTCCACTATGGTCTGATGGACACTTTAACCAATTGGTTGGTTAAGGTTAAGATTTTATTAAGATTACTATTAAGACTTATTTATATAGCGCTTTTTAAAGTGGACATTGTCACGAAACTGTTACAAAAAACGGCACAGCTACTGTGTAGTGAATGTAGATAACGTTTACTCTCAATCTCTAAATGTATGTTTCTCATGAATCTTTTTTGCGTATCAAATTGAGAAAATGTACGAGAAAACACAGTCTTTCCTGTCAGCTCAGAGCTTTATCCTAATTACAATCAGGTGGGTGTTTATGAGGGTGTCAGCTAAGCTTGAGGCACAGTGATGAAAGCGATAGGAGGACTACAGAAAAGCTGATCCATCAGATAGGACAAATCGTGTTGTTCTGTCCTATGTCTCTCACACTTCCTGTAGCCTCTGTACACGGTTCAACTATCATCGTTAAATTAACTTCCACAAAAACGTGTAAGCTTAATCTTAACAAACAGGCCTCATACATCATCTGTAGGAGTTCTTTTAACATGGCAGGGCATTATTAATACAATTTTACTGTGATGCCATAACTTGTATACTTTCATAGGTGTAACATGATATTGGGAGAAAAGAAAAAGTAATTGTAAATTATAATGATAATTTACTAGTCATTTAAAATGGCTTGAGTTACATTTCTCCCAGGTTACCTATATGGTCAGATATATTCTGTACATATTGATTTAGATTCAGCACACAAACTCTAACAGTCTGCTGGGAGACAGCAAGTTACAAAACATATTTTATCTCAGAGGAATCTGATTTGAAATATTCAGGGTTTGCACAACCGCTGTTATGCACTGTGGTGAAACATCAGTCTGTGGGCCTGTTGTGGAGAAAACTAAAGAAGGCAAAAATGATAATGATTGTAATGGTCTTCATCTACAATGCTGCCCTTTTAATGCCTTAAACCCCAAGATAGTTATGTAGTTAATAACTCTTTTTTATAATCAAGTACTGAATAGTTCATAGTAGTTAGTCAATAATAAGATCAATATGTACTGTTTAAGTGGTTAAAAGTACTTAAAATTGCAGTCTTCTAAAAACAATATAATAACTAAAATACCACTGTTATAACATATAACCAATAGCATTGAGTTAAGAAACAACATTTAATAAAAAAGCCATCTAGCACAGTCTTGCTTGCCCACGGTGTATTAGTCCTTGTTCATTTGCTTGTTTTTTTTTATGTTGAGAAGGCTCATTTGAAAATTCCTCGAAAAGTCCGGATGTCCACAGGCATTTATTGAAATAAGGTGATTCATCTTAGAAGTATATTCATGTGTTCTTGGAAAAGAAAAGCACTGGTACTACTGTCTTCTAAAAGCATTTGAATATAATCCTACAATGAATCACCTTGTTTCAGTAAGTGTCTGTAGTCTGCCTGACTTTTTGTATTGGTGATGAATTAGAGTTGCCTGTTTATCTAACAAGAATCTTAACAACAGAATCTTGTTCGTGCATGGCCTCGCCAATAATGCTTGCCAGTGCTTGCCAGAGCTGACTAACACCTTAGTTATAGGCAAAGGTCACACTCATCTGGAGAAACAAAAAATGTTTTCAAGGGAGAATATTACAGACAGGAGTTTTAAAGAATGCTATCACTGAAAATGAGCATCTGCACTGAAACAACGGTTGTAGACGGGACATTTTCTAAAACTCCCTGAGTAATTTGTTTTCGGTTCCTTCATTTTTTCTTTCCATTCTTTCTGTAGTCTTTGGTTATTAAATAGAATGGCAGTATTGTCTCAGTGCTTTTGTTGCTGGACATAAAAGAAAACAGGGAATAGTGATTTTTATTACTTTGAAGATCCCAGACTTTTCCTGAGGTCCTCTTATGACATTTGTGTGGTTTATGAATCACAGTTAACCATTTTCCAACCTCTCTTTATTTCTTAGAATGAAATAAGCTGTTTTTGTTACTGTGCATTTAAATGACTAATATATGCAAACAACTGTTGTGATTGGCTGCCTCATTCAAAAAACGGGCCAGGCTGAAACACTCCTTGTAACTTCAACATGAATCGACAGGGTTAGACATTTAAAGACATTCATAATATTCATATTCTTAATATGGGCACCTTAAATTGTATCACTGCAGTCATGCAATGATAAATGGTTTTCACATAATTGGAGAAGGAGCTCTTCTGTCCATAATTGAGCTATTTTTATTTATAAATTGGTTTGTAAGTTTGATGTGTGTTGACTGATCTGGTAAAGAAGTGATATAACATTGTAAAGTTGGAGTTTAAAACAAAACATCATTCAGCTGCTGGCATCCAGTGGCCTACATAAGGCCAGAGGACACAGAGGACTCCAACCCAGCAAGCACCACCCAAGACCAACATGTACAGAACTTACAGAGAAAGAACTGATAAACCAAATCAACCAGTGTGAATGAGGAGTCTAACACAGATGGCACCCCAACCAAACATTTGGGTTTGTTGGTGTTTGTTGCCTCAGCGCTCTATGAACTAGAAAGTTCACACTTATCAAGCTGCCCTTTGAAACATTACCACACTGTCTTGCCTTATTAAATCTAACCTGGGCTTTAACCACTTTGCCACACATGTCCTTCTGGCCTACAGACTGCACTTCTGTAAACACGCATCCTCTTTCTCCAGGATGGAACAAGTACGAGGCGCAGAAAGAGACCTGGCCGGCTGCAATGCTGTATACCATCATCAAAGAGGTCCCCGTGCGGCGCTGGAAGGAGTTCTTGCGGCTGCTCTCGGTTTCTGATGATCAGATGGAGAGAGTGGAGCTGGAGGCCGGACCCTCGTATCTAGAGCGGCAGTACCAGATGCTGAGACTGTGGAGCCAAAGGAGCGAGGTGGACCTGGAGAACATCTACTCTACACTACACTACATGGACCTGTCAGGCTGTGCCCAGGAACTGCAGAAGAAACTGCAGCAGCTACAGGAGGTTCTGAAGGTCGACATGGGCACGACCTAAATAGATAAACCTGCAGTTACTGTTTTTCAGTTTCACTCCAGGTCCTGACCTCTCAATGCTTAAGTGTTCTCAAGAGTGTACATGTCCAAGGTTAAGTTTGGTTGAGTTTATTGAACGGTTAACAGAAAGCACTGGACTTCATTCAACATGTGTCAGTTTACTAAGGAAGTTAAATGATGGCGACCCAAATTAGTCACGGGTACAATTATTTTGTGTAAATGACTTGAAAAACTACAGTGTACTGTAAGAGCAAAATGACTAAGTAACAATCCAGTGTAGCTCATACTTTATTTTTTAAAGAAATCTTGAATTATATTTTAAGGAATGTCTGAAATTGTATAGTTAGTTGTGTTAGATTATAATCACATTTTGATTGTAATCATGTTTCCAACAATTATAAGTTGCATCACAGCGTAACTGATGTAAGAACTATGTAACAGTATGTAACTACGGTACATTATACTTAACATTATTATACTTATGTATGGAGTAACATACAATTAAATCTAAAAGAGATGGTAAGGGTGAAGCTGTGGAGGCACGCGCCTGGTAGTTGCCAGTCATTTATGATATTGCAGTGTTCCAGGTGTTAATGTTTGTCCACAAAATCCACATATTTCTGAAATGATTAAGAGTTACCAGGATTATGCATCTGCCGCCACAGACGGTGAGCCGTGGGTGAAGTACAGTATTTGACATTTCAAAAAGTCATGCCAGCACATTTTGTGCTTATACCACAAGTTGTCATTCACATTTCTTGTCTTGCCTTTTGTATTTTTGTGTTTTTGTATTGATACTACAAGGTCCGGTTACAGCACACAGGCTGTGCTTTTATTTTTATTTGTCTGTAATAGAACTGTTTGTGTCCATGTATATTTGTGTGTGTGTGTATGTGTGTGTGTGTGTGTGTGTAAGAGTGAACAAGGCTCATATCTACTTAGTGTACTCAAGTCCGCAGTGTCGGAGTCCCCAGGACACATAATGCAAAAGTCCCCACATGAAGGACAGCTGTGGATACTGGGCAGTGTGGTTACAGCTAGGAGCACGAAAGGAAATCCCCACCCCTCCTTCTGTGAAGATTAATATCATGTACATGAACCTTTGCTCTTCGTAGGCACATTTCCCTCCGAGCTCACCACAAGAGCAGCGCAGGACGTCAGTGAAGCACGTAAACTGAAGGGGAGCTGTTTTCCATCAGCCTCTTTGATCTGACGTTCGGCCTGGAGTTGTGCTGTAGGTCTCAGTGACTCACTTGACAACATTTCCCCTTCTCTGTTGCTTTTTTTTGGTTTCACACGTATGAGGTGCTGCAGTTTGTGATTACTTCAGCGTGTTAATACGCCCATTCGAAACGCATTTTTTTCCATCTTATTTTCTTAAATTATATTTACCTGTGTTTTTTTATGTTATAGACTGAAAAAACGGTCTTTGAAAATGTTCTCATTAAAAATGAAGTACCAAGTCCTCTTCACTTCAAGACTGTTTTCGTTCTTCAGCACTGAGGTGGTTTGTCGTTTCCATAGCAACTACAAGACACACGAGCGTGTGGATAGTTTCCAACTGGTAGCCACTCGGACCTAAGCTCGCTAGGTTAATGGTCCAGTTTAGTAAAACAAATCAACTTTAAATAACGTTACTTGCTATACTTATTTGCTTTTGATACAGCAAGCAGACAAAACTGGTGTTGAAGTGTCCCAGGGTGGTTTCTTCTAGAGAACTAACGTTAGGAAATCCAATGAACAGGTGAGCGTCAGAGAAACTGTAGCTAAGGTGGCTAACTGGCTTTTACCCATAGATTTGTAAACACTCGGGTCTCTCTCGTGTTCATTATTTTCTCCGCGGTAGCCGAAAGTTCCTATCGAGTTTCTACCATGGGAACAGCATATTGTGTTTCTGTTTGGGTCTCCTTAAGAACACAGACAAGAATGCGTGTGTTTTTGTGTTTTTAAATACATTTTACCCATTACTTTCAGTGAAGAATGAGTTTACCTGTGTTTCTTTCGTCTCAGACCGTCAGTCGGACCGACAGACTTAAAACCTGTTAGCTCCATAACATACAAGGCTGTTTTACTGTAGTACAGCAGAAAAGCCCGAGGAAGAAGTAAGTTAAGTCAACACCTTCTGTAACTTTAACATGGTGTTGTCTGAGATGCTGTTTGTCTGCTACTGCTCTTTATTTCCTACTGAACTGCTGCCCTGTGACTTTTTAAAGGGGGGAGAACAGGGGAGACATTTATTTAGGCTACTGTTTTTTAACCCTCTGTTAAAAAAGGTATTCTAAAGCAGGCTTTTGGGGCATGGATTTAAACTCCATCATTTTTTTCACAATTTCTACATAATTAAATGGTTAAGATGTAAAGAAAGTTACTCAGAGTGATGTAATGTGAAATGCTTTGTTCTTGAGAAACTTACTGAGTCAGAATTGTTCACAGTGATAGGAGTGTGAACGTGTGAAGAGTTTAATGCCTCTAAAAGCTCCCTCGCAGAAAGGTATTACACAAGGTGGGTGAGTTTTGTGATAAGGTTTTGACATAAAACGCCCTTTTAATCCATTTATTTTAATCCATTCACAGTGTAGGGGAACATACAGGGCGTTGTTAGGCAAAAATGTCCCAAAAAACACTTATTTTTTTTAGATTTTCCACTATTTGACCATCATAAACTTTACATATAAACACTTAGAGGACGTGTAGGTTTACTAGTCATTTTGGATAATAAATGCCAATATTTGTGTTTTAGGCAGTCATATTGCCACCACTGTAAAGAAATCGGAGTGTAACTTTCTCTACCACTAACCATTTAACATCAAACCACTCTAAATGACTTTGTTTACATCTTAATGACCAAATTATGCAAAAAATTTGAAAAATTGGTGGAATTTCCCTTTAAGCCTGATCCTTTACTGAACTGTAATTTTAATAGTAAATTCCTATTGTAAAGCCTTTTTAGTCTTGGTTAAAATGAACCCAGGTCTGCGAAACAAGCCCATTATGTATAGATAGATAGATGTACTTTATTGATCCCCAAGGAGAAATCTGGAGGCTACAGAAACGAAAAAACAAACAAAAAAAAAAAACAGACCACATAATAAATACACAAATTGCGCATACTGTACAGTTTTACAGTTGTGCTAGAACGTTTGTGTATCTGTGATGAAAATGTGATCAGATCCTCATCTCAAGTCATGAGAATTGATAAAAATAATAATAAAAGAAATAACACAAAGTATATAATTTTCCATTAATTTATTAAACAAAGTGATCCAACATTAAATGTCTTTGTTGGCAAAAGTATGTTAACCTCTGCTTTCAATGTTGTTTCCCCTTGAGCAGCAAAGACCAATTGTTTCCTGTAACTGTTAATCAGTCCTGCACATTGACTTGGAGAAATTTTGGCCCATTCCTGTTTACACAACTGCTTCAACTCAGAGATGATGGTGGACTTTTCTCGCTCCATGCTTCTGGTCCTGCCAACATTGACTCTGCCGTTCCAAAGCATTTTTTTTGCTTTGATTGGCTGCTGTGTTTAGCACAGTTGTCTTGCTGCAAGACTCATCTTCTGTAGTGCTTCAGTTCAGAGATGGATGCCTTACACTCTCTTGTACAATTTCCATAACGCACAATACTGTCAGTTGCTTCTAATTCAATCACCCATCAAAAAGGTACTTACATAAATGCACCATATTCAATTGCAATTATATTTAAGATGCATTGATTCTGTACACCCTGTCTTAACTCCCGGCTATGGGCCCCGTTCCCCTGGGAAAGTGTGTGTAGTGTACCTTTAAACCCAGGTAATGTAGACAGTTGAGGTCCAGTCTTTGAGGGTATATTTTGCTGCTGTAGTACCGAAACCTTGTATTTCCATTTTTTGTCGTTTTTCAGTTTTTGACGTAATTTAAAAAAACTACTGTCCTTTATATTGTGTGTAACTTTCAAGGTGAATGGACCAAAAGAAACAGCCCAAAATTACTTGGAAAAAAATCTGGTTCCATTGACTTGCATTAAAAGTGAAGTATGTTTTTCCATTCTTCTATTAACGTATCAAGTTTTTGATTCGACAGCATCAAGTACCATGGTGAACAAAAATGTACTTGTACAGTGCCCTTCTTTCTGACAGTGACTGATTGGACATAATTATCTCCTATACCAACCTGGTAAATCTAGAGGTTTGTATACTTTTGCCATCAAATTTAATATCGGATCACTTTGTTCAATAAATGGATGAAAACTTTACAACTGTTTTTGTTATTTGTTTTATTGGCTTCATTTGTTGATGAAGATCTGATCACATTTTAGATCAGAATTATGTAGAAATTCTGAGAATTCTAAAGCGTTTACTAACTTGCATAAACAAGGCAAAGTGCAGAAGACAACAATAATTGACATTCACATTCTGTGGTATCTGGAATATGTAAACAGTAATACATGCAAAAAGCATTAGCAAGTGCAAAAAAAAAAAATAATAATGTATGCAAATTTTTACTAAAGTCCTTAATAGTAAATGAGTGGTCTGCAAATGCTTCATTTAAACCTGTATTATTTTGACAGAGGTGATGCCATGTGAACATTACAACAGCATAAAGCACAATGCAGAAAAAAGAGACGGATGCCCTCCAGCAGGGTTTAGGAGCTCTGGAGCTGTGCAGACAGGGAGACAAAATCATCTGGACTGGAGATGTTGGGAGAGCAGCAGCTCTGTATACTAGAGCATTTGGGAGTCATGCGGGATCAACTATGGCGCATATGCGCAGCTTGGATAAGTCCTGTTTGGACCAGGTGATTTCTGGTCTGGAGGCCTGGCTTGATGGACATGAGGTGTCACAGAACTCAATGGAGGGCCTTAACAAAGGGCTTGCTGCAGTGTTCCTGTCAACTTTGTGCCCCAATAATGTTTCTGCCTCTCTGTTTAAAATGGAGTCAGTCTTGCTTGGGACTGGCCAGGGCTCAGATGAGATCTTTGCTCGATGTTCAGCTCTTCTGGAGGGAAAAAGAATGCCTCGTGCTGAGGGTCCTACGCGTTTAATTTTGGAGCTGACTCGAGCTCTTGCCTGCTTGCTTTCTGATCCGTCTAACCACAAAGGTCCTCGGCTCTATCTGCAGGCTTTCCTTGGAAATAGATCAGAGACAGTACGACTGGTCAAGGGTCGGCAAGTGGAGCACGTGCCTCGAATAGTCAAAGCTTTTTTTGAGCAGATGTCGCACAAATTCCCCATTCTTCATGATGGATGCAAATTGGAAAGGACTACAAACTGTAAACAAAAGCCTGATGAACTATCTCCCTTGGAATCGGTTGAGTTTCTGGTTGCTATTTCACCTGAAAACATTTTGGTGAGGGAGCTTCAAGCAGCTGTCTTGTTTTCTCTTAATAAATTTGAGGAAAGTGCTGAGACTTTGTCGTTGGCTTTGAGGTTGGCTGAATCAAGTGACACAAAGTCAAATCTGGACTTGGCTGCACAGGGAATGGCACCAGAGAGGGAAGCTAGTTTGTTAGTCGCCAGAGCGGCTGCCTATTTTTCCACTGGTGGACGGGCAAAGGAAGCTTGTTCAGACCTTGGTGAAGGGTTTGCCGTTCATCCAGCGACAGCCAGGTTGCAGTTCCAGAGACTTTTCTCCGAAAGTGGGGCAGGAGTGGCGGCCCGCATCCAGCTGCGGCAGCAGGCCGAGAGAGGTCTGTCCAGCTTCAGGGAGACGGTATTAGTCAGGCCTGACTTGCGTTCCTCTGAGGGATTGGAGTTATTGGACCCTGTCATCGCTCAGCTGCGAGCTCTATGCCACTTAGAGCCTGATGGAGGGGGCAGGGAGCTGCGGGTGCGGCTGGCAGACTGCCTGCTCCTCCGTGGTGAGTTTAGAGAGGCCCTGTCTATCAGCAGCCAACTAGCCGCTGCTGCCCCGACCCAGCAGAGCTACCAAAACACAGTGCAGGTGCTGCGAGGCTTTGCCCGTCTGCTCTGTGAGGACCATAAAGGAGCTCTGGAAGATTTCCAGGCTGTAATCGAGCACAATGCTCCTCACCCTCCGAGTTGTGTCCGTGCGCTCTGTGGCAGGGGGCTGTTGCGGATGATGGCTGGCTCACACTACCTGACCGCTTTGGATTATGTCACAGCAAGCCGGCTCCAGCATCAGGACACAGCGCTGACCGTGAGGTGTCTGGTGCCGTGGAACTACCGAGGGCTCCTGTGCACCGTGCTCCTGGAGCAGGGAAGGGCTATGCTAGAAGAAGTTGTAGAGCAAAGTAACAGTTCAGGTACCAGTGCAGGCCAGGATCATCAACTGAGCAATGAACAGCCCTCTACGCAGACAAAAGAGAGTTACGGCATCAACAGGGAAGGGTACTGTATCACTGCATACTAGCGGTGTAAAAGGATATATTTGAATATTATTATAATCAATTCTATTCAGTGCTCTATAATATTGATCAAATTATATAATTATAATCCAGCTTTCCAGAATCAGTGCAGCTGAATCATCACCTTCAGACAAATGCATCCCAATGGACTCTGTCTTCCTAGGAACTGGGGCTCAGATGAGATCTTTGCTCGATGTTCCTCTCTTCTCGAAGGGAAAAGAATGCCTCGTCTGAGCACTAAACACTTGAGTTAACCTGAGCTCTCACTTGCTTGTTTTCAGATCTGTCTAACACCAAAGGCCCTCTGCTCTATCTGCAAGCATTTCTTGGTAATAGAGCAGAGGCAGTAAGACTTGTCAACAATGCATTCAGATGAATTTGGTGATTCAACTGCTTTTGATTTTGGAATCGTATTATAATTGTTTTTACTCCAAGTGTGTAAACGGTTCCTTCTATGATGTGTGTATTCAGTGTATTTTTAAAGCTAATTCTGAGTCATGGTGAAATCTGACATTTCATGATGCCCTAAAATGTTTTGTGAATAACTGTAATAGAGTTGAATGAATTTGTGGACAGATTTTTACAGAGATATTAGTACTTATGCACCCAGACAAGTGAAACAGTTCTGGTTCAAATCTGTTTTAATGTCTTTTTCATATCATCCTACTTTTATTCAGAGTATCAGAATGATCTAGACCTTCCAGTTCCTCCCAAAGCTGCAAGTAATCTGGCATATGGTCTAGACAAGAGGAAGTATTATTTATGCCAGTGTTACCATCGCACTGGCGCCCATGAGCTTTTTCACACTTACTCAGACAGGTTTTCCTGTCACTTTGCTTTCGACAAGTGCAAGAGTCAACATAATCAGTATACTGTCAATGTGTAAGCGTCATGTACTTGAAAAAAAAGTGCCTTCAAAGGATTATAAGAAAAGCACGAGGAGTGTGAAGTTTTGCATGATAAATTAGATGTAGGAACTTCCAGTGAAGCCCCATTGTTGTTCTCAAGACAGATATATACTTCCTTATACTCCAGTGCCCCATCAGTAAGCACCTCAACAGCCATAATGAATTCTTAATAGTAGACTAGGAATACATTGCATGTAGTGTTGTTAACCAACACCATAACTCATCTTGTTCAACTAATATGACAAATGTAGTGTGCCTGTATTATGAATGGAACCTGTGCAACATGGAGATGCAAAGGGTGACCAAGGAAAAGTGTGCTCACAAGAATTTTAGCTTGTGTTAGTTTAGAAATCCCACCTGTAGCTATTTTAACCTCTTAAACTCCAGGCTTCTTATTGAGCTATTAATCCTAAGATATCTTATTTAGTTACTACATACTGAGTTACTTTAATGGAACTTTTGTATGAGTTGTGTAGTTACAAGAGAGGAATAAAAGTCGAGTTGGAACCACCTTCTGTTCTTTGGAATTTAGGGCTTAAATTATATAAAATGATTACATTTTATCTCTTTTAGCTCTTTGTGGAAAACCTTTCTTGTTATTTCTTTATGATTCAGAATGGCTGTAGGTGTGCATGCTCTCGCAGTTCTCCTGATGGAGTTGCAGCCAGGTGTAGATGCAGCCCAGATCCTCGCAGCAGATGCTTTGTACAAGCTGGACCGCGTTGAGGAGGCATACCGTCTTCTTCTGTGCATGGAGCACTCGTCCCCACGCTCACCAGTCCTCATCCGGCTGGCTCTGCTTCAGCTGCATCGTGGTTTCCTGTACGATGCCAACCAGGTACCTTCTAGATCTCTCCTGGAACCCATCAATTGTCTTCAAATAATTCAGCATATGGTTACAACAATTATCATCTCTCTGATCTTTTTGTGTGGTGTGGTTTACAGCTGCTGAAGAAACTTATCCATTGTGGGGACACTAGCTGCCTACGCCCTCTGCTTTCGGTGGCAGCTCTAAAAGACAAGGCACTCCTGGAGAAACACTGTCACAACGCATCCAAACGCATTCTGGACAGCCAACAGGAAGAAAGTGGCATCAGAGAGGCTGTGGCCTATCTGTCCATTGCCATTATGGCTTCAGGTATATATGAGATGGATAAATGATATAAAAAACAAGTCTCTAGGTTAATTTGTGACTCAAAGAGTAAATAACCACAGTAGTTACCATGAACTAGGGATCCGTTTTTGTCAGACATGACCAATGGTGTCAGTGGAAGAAATTATTTGTTAGTCTGACTGGGAAAGGCTGCTCTGCGGTATTCAGAGGAAGTTGAGTCTACTGATAGTAAATCTGCGTCACATACAGTACTTCCTGTATTGTTACTTTAGAAAACCTGTTTACAATGATATCCAGGAAGGTGTATTTGCTTTTTTTTATTAATGATATTCATAATTTGCAAAATCTCTTTTATAGCAAACACAATGCTAAAATAATCACTGTTTTCAAGGTGATTATTTTAAACCAACTCTGATCCTTTAGGTGGTGAAGCAATTGACTCATTGTTGGAGAGAGCAAGATGCTATGCTCTACTGGGCCAGAGGAAGACTGCCATTTTTGACTTTACTTCTATCCTTAAAGAACACCCAAACCACGTGCAAGCCTTGTGTGGGAGAGGGTTTACCTATCTCATGCTAAACCAACAGAAGGTATGGTATCGGAGCAAGGCCACTGAGGCTTTTAGACATATCATAAGATCTGTATCTGATTTATGTTTTGAGTGTTGGCTTATCAAGCTGACCAACAACACAACAGAAGCAATTATTTGAGAGCTTTTAGGCAGCACTGCCCCCTGTAGTTGTTAATGCAAATTACTTCAACTTACCTTTGTCTGGTTAAATTAAGTGTTTGATTCTAAATATTAGTAGCTCATGTCGATGAGAAAAAGAGTTAGGTTAGACGTGTTATATTTTTTTCATGTTTTTAATTGTACTGAACTGATATTAGTACTTTCATTTCAATTGTTTTCAGGAATCCACGCAAGACATACTGGCAGCTCTTCAGGTTGATGCAGAAAAGGTCACACAGAGTATCCTGTCCCTGAAAGACAAGGCCCAAAAACTTATTTGTGAATGGCTTCAGCAGCACTGCCATGCCAGTCTTTCCACAGTTCTGTCAAATAACCCTGTACCCTGTCGAGAGGAGTGTCTCAGAGAAGCCTTTCTTACTAGCGGAGCGCTTATGAAAACTGACTATAGGGATCCGAGGTGGCACCTCCTCTACATAGACACCCTGCTTGCTCAAGGTGAAGTTTCTGTCTTACTTCAACACTCTTCTCTCCATTCTTCTGCCATAAACATTATCATGGCTGTAGATGAGACAGAACCTCTAACTCTTTGGAACTGTCTCAGGGGAGGTGAAGGCAGCAGGTGTGCATCTTCGGCAGGTCTTTGGGCAGGAGCCTCGTGATGCAGCGGCCCAGGCCCGGCGGGGAGTGGTGGAGAGCTGGCAGCAGAACTACAGACTGGCAGCCAAATGTTTGAGTGTTGTGTCTGAGAAAGAGCCCTCGGTACTAGACTTCCTCCTGGCTCTCATGCAAACCCAGCAACGAAGACGCCTGGCACAGGTAAGATTTTCGTCAGTGGTCAGCTTCTGACCACAGGTTCTGTGGTGATGTATTTCAGATGTATTTGACAGCGCTTACTGGTTTGATTATTTTGATTCAGAATTATTTGACTAGAGGACCTATTCATACAGCAGTGGAATACAGACCATAAAAACAATAAACAAAGACTTTTAGCCTGAGAATTTTCTTTTGGCCAAAAATTTGTGCTTTATTCAATATTATTAGAATCAATTATTATCAATTCTAAAATTCTAATACCACTGCAGTTATCTAACCACCTTCAGATTAAAAGTGGGCATTTTGACTAATTACAGATAATTAATTATCTGGAAGAATTAATGAAGAAATATTTGGTATAAGCTATGATTTTATCTCATTTAATGGGTGTTCTTAGGAACAGTGTGAAGCGGAGTGCCTAAAACATCCTTACTCATAGTAAAATTACTGTAACGCACAGGATTAAGTGCTGTTTTGCTTTTATAAAACAATGACATAATAAAATATGATGCCATGATGATGACAGTCATTTTTAATAAGCAGTGTAAGTTGTAATTAATTACAATTCTTCCACCAAAAAGATGGTGTTTATAGTTTATTTAGAGTAGCCTATTGTTGCCAAACAACCATGGACTGCTAAAAGCAGGACAAAAACTTTCAGTCGCCCATCATTGTATGTTGCAGTCATTAATATGAACCCTCTCAGTACTTGGTTAACCACTGCAATTTGATTTTCCTCCAGTCAGTGGCGCATCTGTTTGTGTTTGATAATACAGAGAAGTAATAAACTAAAATACTGATTTTGTAGCAAAAGAAAATGTTGAATGAGCACATAACATTGTTCCATGCAGCATGTTTTTCTTGCTTATAATAACTCGGGTTATTCAAACATAAATTCAATAAGGAAATCAATGTTTTACTTATTATTTTCACCTGACTACCTGTAATGCAGCTTATTGATCGCCTAAAAAGTGATTTATCTTGGTATTTGTACACCCATAATTGTCATGGTGAAGCTCAGTGTCTAGATAAAGTATTCTCCTCTCTTTCCCCTTCCAGGCAGCATCTCAGGAGGCCAGCGGTGTCTCTGAGAGTGGACAGTGGGAGCGTGCCCTAACTTTGCTGACGGTTGCTGTGCAAGCAGTGGGTGGCACAAAGCTCCAGCACCTGCGGCAGCGTGCGGCATGCCTAGCCCACCTCGGCCTCCACGAGCGGGCAGTATCAGACCTGGACCAGGTCATCTGCTTGCACAGTCCGGACAGCAGCGAAGAACCTGCGGTGTGGGCTGAGGACCTGTGTCGACGTGGCCGCAGCCTGCTGCTCTGCTCCCGCGATGAACTTGCTCTGCATGACTTCTCTCAGGCCCTGGAGCTGCACCCGGAGCAGGCGCTGCTGTGTGTGGACGCTGGCCCAGGCAGGCCCCGCCTGGCCGAAGTCTTCTTGCGATTTGCCTTGCGCCATTATGGAGAGCAGCAGCTGGACAAGGCCTGGTACCTGATAGAGAGTGGCCTGAAAGTGGACAGCAGCCACACAGAGCTGCGGCGACTAAGGGCCAGAGTAAAGCGGGAGGTCTCTGGTCCATGTATTGTACACTAAACAGCAGTATTGAGATACAGATGGAGCTTATGAATAAGCTAACCAACAGTTTGCGTCAGTAACAGATTACCAACTGTGGCTGTAGGGCATGGGTCGAGGGGCCTTGACTTAGCCTAGATTTATAATAGCTTATTTTATTAAGATGTAGTGAGTTGATATAACTTGAGCCAATGAAAGAACAGCTTTAGAATTTGAAATACATTTGGACATGTTATTGATGTGTATGTCTGAATTTATAACAAGCAAGTGAAATGTTCGGTTGGGTCCTAACTGTAAGCCTGAGCTAATGAGTGACAGTTAACATAAGTAGTTAATGATAGAATATGATGCTAGTCGTATGGTGCATATGGTGGGTAAGGACTGGGTGTTGTGGAAAGGGGGTCCCATGGAGCACAGGGGCCCAGGATTTATTAATCCACCCTTGATTTGTGTTGTTTGTAAAATTCTCAGTTTCCCAATCAGGTCCTCATGAACCCACAAACAGTCCATAATTTTGCTTTGTCCCAGCTCCCAGCACAGTTGTTCCAGGTACTCAGTTTTGACCGTTTAATTCAGATGTGTTGGAAGATGAGACAGAGCCAAACTGTATGGAGGTCCCTGAGGACTGGAATCAAAACAAACTAACTACTGCAATCATTTGCAAGTTGTATCAGTCCGTACCCATTTACCTTGTTCACACTTTACCCCTATTTGGCCTCTGATTTATCATGGTAGGAATGAATATATGGCGTTATATGGGAATACAGATGAATAGTTCTATCATATTATAGCAAAGCGCTCTAATGGGATAAATGACATCCTCATTTATGTTCATAAAACCGAACATTACATTTTAAATTTAGCATTCTATTCAATGCGCTACAGAGCAGACAGACATGCTGTGTAGGGTTTCAGATCTTGTTTGATATTCACTTCCAAATTTTAGTTCATTATTAATGTCATAAAATGATCATTCATCTAAATACATGAAACACATACCTATATCTCACAACAGCTGTAAAGATTTGATTTGCTTTCAAAAATATGATCTACAGGTCTAAATAATATTAGAAACTAAAATGTTCTGATGCAATATGTCACAAACAGACAGTTAATAAAATCACAAAGTGAAAAAGGCCTACTGTGATGATTTTCGGGAACAAACTTAATTCAGTGCTGTCTCATATGAGTCTGAGTTACAGGATAAAGTAATGGCGCTGGTTTAATTACAGTACACATGTTGCACCTGGAGCACAGAGTTAATTTAATTCCTTAGCTGTAAACCTTTCCTATTTTAGTCGCACTGTAAATGACTACTATTTATGCTCAAACTGTTCTGCACTGCTTATTCTCTCTGTTGCAGGCTGTCTGCTATTTTCGCTTCATTGTTCTGGACTTGCATATTTCTTGGAATTTGTTCCCACTGAAGTTTCAGTATTTACTTAATCCTGTTTAATCAGCCTAATCTGACACTTGAGTGGTATTTGGTTGGTGCAAACACTGTAATTTACTGAAATACAGCACAGAGAGAGGGGGAATTCAAACACAGTCACACCAGTGCAGGCTCAGGTTCTCCTGACAGTGTCACTAAAGAGCGTTGAGCCGCTGTCCGTGCTCTGAATGGCATCAGCATCAGCAGTTACTCCCACGGGTTTGGTCATGTGCCAAGGACAAAGTTAAGCTCCCAACATCACTCTTAATGAAGAGGAGAAGAGGAAGAGTGGGGGCGGCAGAACATAAGGCAGCATGAACGACGGAAAGCTGAGAAAAGAGCGATGGAGCGCGGTGGAGATCGGACTCTCCGTGCTGCTTTTGGCAGTCAGCTGTGCGTTAGCGGGACTCAGCGCCATTTACGTGGCCACAGTGAAAGGTGAGCGCGTTTCACACGAGGACAGTTGCTAAGCTAACAAAAATACCACACGTTTAGAAGATAGAAATGTAACAAGACACGCCCTCATTATTAATATTACATATTTATTCGACGTATTTCACTTTTTTCTGAGTAGAAGTTAATGTTGTATGTGTTTTATTGAGCCCTGTCCTCACAAAACGGTTTTAATTATTGTTTAATTTCTCCAAAAGGTCAATTTGGCAGTGCAAGAGTGCTGAGGAGTGTAGAGTCCTCAGAGGGTAAGCCTTTAAGCCCACAGGTCAGAAAAACACTATAATATTTAGCCCAGTGATTCTGGAGGTCCACAGTTGAGAAACACAGGAGGCCCACTTCCCCGCACATTTGAGTTAGTTCCCTTCCACTTTAATTGAATACTGAGCTGTTGAGTTGGATCAGGTGTGTTGGAAACAGGGAAAACACTAAACACTGCACAAGGAAACCCTGCTGTGGTCCATTGCACTACAGCAAGGGTGTCCAGTCTTATCCGCAAAGAGCCAAAGTGGCTGCAAGTTTTCACTCTAAACAAGCTGAAGCACACCTGACTTGTTGGTCTTAGTCTTCAAATGTTTCATCAGGTGACCTCCTGCTTTGTTGAAGAGAAAACCTGCAGTCAAATCGGCCCTCCGCGGATAAGACTGGACACCCCTGCGCTACAGAGTTTGGTGCTCTTCTGCAGATTCAGATAATGAAGGACTTGATCATCATTATCTAATCATGTGACTCAAGTGCAGGAGAACTGTGCAGTGCAGGACTTCACCTGGGAAACACTGGCTGTGTCCAAAAACACCACCACCCACTACTGTATTATTTAGTGAATGCCCGACTGTTGGTGGTGTCCTTTTTTGGCCTTTATAGTACAGTAACGTGGTTTTGGACACTGCCCCTGACTTAGCCTTTGGGAAATATGCCAGTTTGTCTCAAGTTCAGTATAAATATTCAACAGCCCATAATCTGGAAGTGGACTGTTTCCACTTGTTTAATGTTGATGAGCCTTTCATTAGATTTTCCTCAACTGTAATCTGCTGTTTCATCATCAGTGCTGCCAACAGAGGCTACAATAGCACGGCTGACACAGCTGAATTCTAGCAGCACACAGCCAACAGGCCCCCCCCTGGACTGATGTGCACAAAAACAACTCTACAATAGCACATTACAATCTGGCATTATTCTCTTCAGTGTGAATGGACAAGTTCATAAAGACAAAAATATGGAAAACCCTGATATTGAGTTTACTGCTTTGCATTTCTAATCCCTTACGTAAAAGATACATAGTTTTCCATAACACAAATGTCCAGATATTTTTTTTTGCATAATCTAGAGCAGTTATTTTGTGTGCACAGGATGTCAGAGCTACAGAAATGTCTGTACCACCCCTTCCTGTGTTACTTCGGGTAAGTGAAGTTTAATTGCTCACCTGCTGATTCTAGTTAGCATTTCTAACTTTTTTTTTTTTTTTTGCACAGTAAAACCATAATTGTTCACACAATCTTACAGAGTTAGACAGAATCCTGAGATCAGTTTTAAACCTATAGGCAGTGTTTCCCACACACAGGCTAGATTCAGTACAATTATATTGACAGCCACACAAGTATATTTTGTCCCATTTTATTAATATCCAATTTCCATTTTGTCCTATTTTAACAAATTCCAGTTAGAAGATATTTTATGCTGTTACAAATAAACGGGTACAGTGCTTCACATCTAAATCCAAAGGAAATGGAAAGTTTAACATTCAATTACTCAAATACCTGATTAAGTAAACAATTGCTGTGATGAGACTGGACATCCTTATACTCACATAACCTCTCCCACCCCCTCAAGGTGCTCCGCCCCAGGTTTCGACTACTGATCTATAGGCTAATGAATACAACCAAGCCGGCAGTAGCGTAACATTAACCTTAGTTGTCGAACAGAATCACAAAGAAAATAGTGATTCTATCGCCATTCAGCACAAAATGGACATCAGAGATAAGTTTTTTGTCCTTTCTATGAGAGAAAAGAAGCCAAACTAAGGTAAAATATCTAGATAGCCAGCTGCCTCACTAACGTCAGCCTTTAGTTTGTTCTTATCTGGTGAGTCATTTCTGTGAGTAATCAATTCTCTCCATTTTAGTGGTGATTTGAAGACAGTAACAGTTACTCAGTTGCAATAAATGTTTGATTTCCTAGCAGTAATTCTGTTTAAGAACATCAAGACAATTCAAACAGCCTGTCCCTAAAAATACACCCTAAAGCAGTTGTAATTTCCAAATTGTAATTGTAAATTGTTAAAAGTTCCTCCCACCTTCAAGATACATCACCAGGAGATAATTCTCCTAGTCTGTAGACCAAAATTCTAAATGCGGGACCACTGCAAGATGCAAGTCAGCTTGTTTTTAATGTAAGAAGAGTTACATTTTGTGTTTTACTCATAGTGATTAAACTGTGATATGTTGCTTACTCCACTATTGTAGTGCAGATCTATATACTCAATGTTTACTCTCTGTTTTAGCTGCACGACTTCTTCAAAACATGGACCAAGGTGTGGAGCCGTGCCAGAACTTTTATAGATACGCTTGTGGCGGCTGGTTGGACCGTCACGTGGTCCCAGAGACCAGCTCTCGCTACAGTGTCTTTGACATCCTCAGAGATGAACTGGAAACCATACTTAAAGGTAAGGGCTGCTATTATATGGTCCAGAGTCTCTTGCTATCACTGTGATTAACCTGCTCAGAGACATCAAGATTAAGATTAAGAACAACTTTAATATCAACTCATTCATATTGTTGCTGTCTGAATCACAGTTTATCTCCTTACAGGAGCAGCAAAAACAAAATCAACTTTTAGTGTAACAAGATTTTATCCTAAGTCATTTTGGATCATTTCTGTTGGTCTGTTCCTTAAGAAATTTTGATGCAGTAGAAAGGGCAGTGGAAATTACATTGTCATATTATGTAAAATATAAAGGAAAACAAAAATGGAGGTACAAGGTTGCAATATGTTTACAGTGGAACAAAACTGTTCCTCCAGAGCGTTGGTGCCACATAAAGATAGAGCAATAACTTTACAGAGAAAAAAACATTCTTAACTTTTAATGTAAGATAAAATAAGGTTTTGTCGTAGGTCATGTTGCTGTTGGTCTGTTCCTCATGAAATGCTGACACAGTAGGAAGTGCAGTGGAAATGATATTTTCAAATTATGTAAAATAAAAAAGGTTAAAATTAAAAGAAATGGTAGAGGTACAAGGTTTTGTTTTGTTTGTGATGTTCGCAGTGGAACAGAACACATGATATGACAGTATTTCATGACCAGAAATGATGTATGTAGATTATATTTTTCTCTTGTAGGTGTTTTGGAGGTAGAAAGTGAGCTGGATCGTGAGGCTTTTCAAAAGGCAAAGGTTCTGTATACGTCCTGCATGAATGAGAGTGAGTTGATACTGTGGTATGATGCAAACTAAAGTATTTGCTAATTCACTAATGATATAGTAATTATGATTATAATAATAAAAATGGACCATGATTTTGTAGCGTGCATGTTCTACTGCTCTGTGCTGTCTTTTGTGGTGTTCTGTTCAGGTTTAATTGAGAAGCGAGGTTCTCGGCCTTTGCTGGCCCTCATTGATTATGTTGGGGGCTGGCCTGTTGCCTCCGACGACTGGAATGCTACAGCAGGTCACTTCATCCACCTTCATCATTTGTGTACTGTATTAGACCCTAAAGGTGCACGTGAACAGTGTAGTAAGGAAGGAATGAATATGTCTTGAGTTAGATAATAGGTTTAATATGCATTGGTAAAAATAATTGCGTAAATTTGTTGTGTGCATTAATCCTGATTATACACAGTTACATTAAGATGTATGTTCTCTGACTGCCATTTAACTCTTGCTTATGAAAAGACTATGAGTGGAGTCTGGAGGACACATTGGCTATGTTCATCTCCCATTTCCACAAAAGGGTACTGTTTGACCTGTTTGTGTGGACGGATGATCGGGATTCAAACCAGCATGTCCTCTATGTACGTTAGACTGAAATTATTCTCCATAATTGGATTCTTGGATTCTTTTTAACTGTAATTACTTTGCAGAGATAATCAGTGTCCTGTTCTACATTGCTTATGACAGATTGATCAACCAGGACAAGGGTTACCAACTCGAGATTACTATTTCAGCGAGGAAGGGGAATATAAAATGGTACTAGACCTTACAAGCAGCAAAAAAGTATTTATTTTTATTACCACATAGTGCAATGCATGTGTAGGTTATGTATATTAGTTCTGCTTGCATATACTTTATACATGTCTAACAGGTGCGTGAGGCATACCTTCAGTTCATGATATCGGTCATGCAGATGACACGTGAGGCCAGAAACTTGACAAGTGATGAGGCCAGGGTTCGAAAGGATGCATTGCAAGTGATGCAGCTGGAGACGGACATTGCAAATGTAATAGACAAATACAGCCATATTCAAATAGGGTTAAACTTTTTAAAGGGGAATTCCACCTAATTTTCAAAATGTCTGCATAATTAAATGATTACAATGTAAACAAAATCATGCAAAGTGGTCTGATGTGGAAAAAAGTTTCTAGAGAAACTTATCAAGTATTGTTTACAGTGGTAGAGGTGAGGAACCAGATGTCCCAAAGCATTTACTACCTCTAAAAGCTACCTCCCAGGAAGATATTGCATTAAATGGTTCATGTTTTATGATTGTTTTCAGATAAAGTTTTGACCTAAAATATACTGTAAAACCCATTAATGGCAATGAGATACATTTAGGGCTTTGCAAGAAAAAAGGTCCACAAAGAAAACGTGTGTTTTCAAAATTTAAAACTGTTATACCATTATCAGCATAAATCATGTGTAAATTTACTAGTTGTTTTGCATTGTAAATAAAATATTATTTAAACTGTTTTCAGTTATAGACATCATGATCCCTGGTTCCTTTTACCACTACTATAACAAAATATGAGTTAGTAAGTTTTTCTACAATTAACTGTTTCACTCCAAACAGTTCAATTATGCAGACATTTTGACAAATCAGTGGAGTTTCCATTTAACATAAGGACAGCTTTCCATTTTGAAGCTGGATTGTATTGTTAACAGTTATAATCAGCTTTACTTTTTAAGCTGAATTGTACTGAACATGTCTGCATGGATGCAGCTGCCCTTGTTTTTCTCAGGTGACCAGCCCAGCTCAGGAGAGACAGGATGTTACTCTTCTCTATAACAAGATGACGCTACTTGATTTACACAGAACATTCCCTCTAAATGTAAGTACTCTGATGCTCTTTTCCATTGTTTTTTCGGTAGGACGTGCAAGGTAGATGTTTCTTTTCCTCTGCAGGGGTTCAACTGGACACGTTTTGTGCTTGGTGTCCTGGCAGAAGTGTTCATAAAAGTTCAGCCTGATGAGGAGGTTGTGGTGTACTGCACACCATACTTGCAGAGGCTTGGTGAGGTGCTTGCCAGATACAGCAACAGGTGAGACCTCTAACAACATCTGTTAACGTGGATAGGGCCGCCCACTGCTCCGGGCAAGTGTGCTCACTGCCCCTTCGTGCTCACTGCCCCCTAGTGCTCACTGCCCCCTAGTGCAGAGGTGAAATTTCCCCATGGTGGGACTAATAAGGGTCACTTAATCTTAGCTTAATGTCTGTCAGCCCTTGCTAGGGGTGGCTCTATACCACCTTTTCATGTCCAATACCGCAACCTTGAGTTTCTGCAGATACCGATACCAATCTTTTCCCTCTCTTAAACAGCTAAGCTGTTAATAATATATTTGTCTGGATGCACTTTGCTTCATCTAGCCATCTAAATAATATCATGCTCAAACTGTGAAACACATATTTTACTCCCCTAAAGGAAGAAATACGTAGTCCACAACATGACTCTGCTGTTTCATTTTGTTTAAACTGTTTTCACACACAGTATTTTTGATTGGTCAGCAGAATTCAGACATTCAAAATAAAATTTGAAGAGCAACTTTTAGTGTTAAAGCATTTGCACAATGTAGCCTATACCTCAGTGACAGCAAAAAACAAGCTGCAGAGTAAACCATAACTTATAACATTTTATAAAAATAATAGCGTTTCCAGTATAAAATGTGCAGTGGAACACAGTACGGTGGACATGGCATCTTAAGGCACTCACAACTGAAACTTTGAACTATTACATTTCATATCAAGTTAGCTGCATGACTCCCTGACATGACCATGCTGCTGAGAGGCCTCATTCATGTCCAAGCTACTGTTCACATTACACATGCTGCTCATTTGTCTCAGGACTAGGGCTGTCAAAATTGGCCAAAAATGAGTCCTCAGGAGCACTGAAAGGAATCGGCACCTAACAACACTGCAACTACGGCATTTAGAAAAGGTTTGAGAAAGGTGTAAATCTTTCTCAAACCTTTTTTTGAGAAAAAAAAGAGTGTGAATTTGAGGAGGAACTGAATCAGATGCATTTGGGTGCATGTGTTCAAGAACAAGCTCTGTGTGCGGAAGTGAATTCATGTAATCATTGTTTTATCTCACAGATCTCTCCGCTGTTTGTTCTGGATAGCTCTGTTTAAAGAAATCAGAGCAAACAAACATAATACTCATTAAGTCTCATCTGTTTATTTACTATCTGGTATCAACAAGAGGAGGACGGAAGCTCTTGGGGAGTTTTTCACCCTAGGCTTATCAGAGTACTGAATATGGAATTGTAGAGAGCTGCTTTGTGACAAAGTCTGTTGTAAAAAGTGAATTGAATTTAATAGGGAATTGGAAATATGGGATATGGGCAACGTGGGCTGATGCCAGCATCCGATATTTTTTGCATACAAATGCGCTGATACATAAACATCTATAAAATTGGGACGGCGTCTACCTGGATTGCCATTATGGAAGAATGAAATTGTTGTTCTATAGGATTACAAACTCAAACTCAAATTCAAATACAAATTCATTCAATCAGTACAATGCAGACATTTTATTACAGCAGCCCAGCGTCGCCTCCAGAGTACAATAATAATCAAATATCAGTTAAAAAGCAGTCAAATCTAAATGTCTGTTTGATCCTGATATGATTCTGATATCATTTTACATCCCTACAATATAATGAATTGTTCTTTCCGGTTCTGCAGGACTTTGAGGAACTATCTAACCTGGCACCTCATCACAGACAAAGTCAGCAGCCTGAGCCGTCGCTTTAAGGATGCCAGGGCACAGTATAGAAAAGTGAGTGACAGCACAGTACTGGAAGGTAGTAATACCAACATGCTCTGTGTTTGACTGAAACAAAGCCCTGTTGTCTGCACTAGGCCTTGTACAGAAACACATTAGTGGATGCACGTTGGAGAGACTGTGTTCGCTACGTCCAGAACTCTATGGAGAATGCTGTCGGAGCTCTGTATGTCCAGCAGACATTTGCAGGGGAAAGCAAACGCATGGTAACCAACTCAATGCACATCCAGGCGGGGATGCTCATTACTGATCCTGGAGATCTACCACCTAGCTCCACTTCTAATCTAACACACCTGAACCAAGTAATGAAGTCTTTCAAGGGGCATCTGAATATTAGAGCCAGGTATGTTGGATCTGATCTCTCCCTGGAGTGTGTGGCTGTAGGGATTAGATCTCCAGGACCATGATTGGGCACCTCTGATTTAAGGTGAGTCTTTACACTTCTGGAGCAAATGCTCTATTTTCTGTTTGATAGGTCCGTGAGCTCATCAGTAGAATTCAGGAGGCTTTCGTAGAGACGCTGGAAGAGCTGAACTGGATGGATGATAAGTCCAAGCGTATGGCGAGAGATAAGGCAAGATAACACCACAAAAAGGCAGTATTTTTTGTGCTATATAGTAGGAGAATTCATATTATTTTCTTTAAAAAGAAAACTGAAGGAAGTAGTTCAAACATACCTATTGCAAGCAGTTGTGATGACTGATGTTCTGTAGAGCTAAACCTGATACTAATTTGTGTTTTAGGCCATGGCTATAAAAGATCAGATTGGTTACCCTGATTTTATTCTGGAGGAGGAGAATGACAGACTTGATCTGGAATATAAACATGTACTAAGGAAACAACTCCTGCTATTTCTTCTCTATCCCACACAGTCTTATATGAGAATCTGACTTATTCTTATTAAAAACGTATTTTAATCTTATTTATTTTCAAAATGATGTATATTCTCTCTGTGAATACAGCTTAACTTCAGCAAGGATGCATACTTTGAGAACATGTTGAAAAATGTACGTGCAGCTGCTCAGAAGAGCCTGAGGAAACTGAGGGAACCAGTAGACACAGATTTGTGAGTTTATCCCTAATTTGGCATGTATTGGAGGGTCTTTACTATAAACTTTGTATGAAGATTTCCTGTCCATCAATAAGGGATTTTCTAACAGCTGTTGTTTGAGGAGCGTCAGACACCACCTGTGATTGCTATTGTGTACATTGCTCTGACAGTTGGATGATTGGAGCAGCAGTGGTGAACGCCTTCTACTCACCCAACAGAAACCAGATTGGTAAGGACTTGTGGATTAGAGGCTATATTCCATATTTTTTCTTGAATTTTATGGTTTTTTGTATGTCTTTGCATTAAGTATGTGCATGTGGTGATTTATCTATTAAAAAGATGGTCATAATTCATTTTTACAAAAGCATTTTCCAGCCTTTTTTATCCCTTTGAACCAGGATAGTCAAATAGTGGCTCATGGGCCAGATCCAGCCCCAACCCTTTCCTAATGTTTTTTTTTTTTCAGTTTCAGTTTTCAGTTATGTTTAATTTCTAAAAGGATAAAGTATTGAACACTGTTCTACCACCACTAACTGTTGCAACGTGTGAGCACATATAGGGATATTGTAGCATTATTTAGCATTCTAGCATTATCTACTATAGAAAAGAGTTTCTTTTTTCACAAGATAGGAGCCCTGGTGCAGAATGTGTTACAGAGGCTAGTTTATGTGAGCTGTGGCTGATAGCTGTGATCCTCTTTTATAATAGCAACTATTGCAGATCAGACAGGTTGGCTTAGAATTTCAGAGTGGTTGCGTAGTACAGACTTTGATTCATGCCATCAGTTTTCCTCCCCAGAGATAATGCTAATTTCTAGCAACAACACATTAACAATGTGTATATTCACTGTTTCACTAGGCTTAATATCACTTATGGCAGCTTTTTAGACATCATAATGTGAAGCATACAAGAGGTTTCTGGTCTGACGAGCTTTTGCTCTCTGTGAATTTTTGTTATTTTATTTTTAGGACCGAGATATCGAAAATGACCTCAGTTTTGATGGGCTTGTTCAAAAAGCAGCTTAGCAAGTTTAGACACCAAAAAAAAAACTGAAATCTTAGACACTTTTTGGATGTCTAGATCTTTTGGAAAGCTGCAAAGATGCATTTGTTTTCTGACAGTCAGGAACATTTTACCCCACATCCTCACCTAATAATGCTTTTTTTGTGAATGGGCGGCTAAACCGTTGTAGGTTTTGTAGGTAACGGGCAGCCATATGTACATATATGAATGGTTGTCACAGCATAACCAGGATGAATTCAGAAATTCTTTGCAGCTCAGTGTCTAAATTGACTAATGAGTGAATGGTATGTTTTGAATCTATTTACGTTGTCTGTCAAATTCATTTATTTCAAAACGCCAAGAAAGTGCAGTTTCCTGTTATATAAACTGTATTTGTGCGGCATTGCACTGATCAGTAGACGGTTCAGTCCGTCAGATTTCACAAATTATAAATTAATATTTATAAAAATATTATAACTGTCTCTCTTTTTAACCACCCTGGCCTGGTCTGTCTTGTTGTCTGTGTCCTACAGTGTTTCCTGCTGGGATTCTACAGCCTCCCTTCTACAGCAAGGATCAGCTGCAGGCCCTCAACTTCGGAGGGATCGGGATGGTTATTGGTCATGAAATCACTCATGGTTTTGATGATAATGGTATGTCATACTTAAAATGTGAATCCAATCTAGCAGGCTTTAAAAATACCATAGCTCATCTGTAACATGTCTAATGCAGGACGGAAGTTTGACAAAGATGGAAACATGCTGAATTGGTGGAGTAATTTCTCTGCTGAACACTTCAGGGCCCAGTCACAGTGTATGGTGCAGCAGTATGGGAATTTTTCGTGGGACCTTGCAGGGGGGCAGAATGTAAGTTTACAAGAATCCTATCATGAGTTTTGGGTTTCTGTTTGCTTCTTGTAACTCAGGTAGTCAGCTAGCACAGTGAGTCTGAAACTTTTCTTTTAAAGGAAAAATTCATGTTGTAGTTCTTGGGTAATTGTAAATATAAACCTTCTCTGTGGCAGGTGTGCGGCATCAGTACGTTGGGAGAAAATATTGCAGATAATGGAGGAGTACGCCAGGCATACAAGGTACATGCACATTCATTCATGAGGCCTCTATATGATTTCTTAGATACAGTTACAATTAAATTTTCCCTGCAGGCCTATAAGAAATGGCGTGAAGCAGAGGGAGAGGAGCCCTACTTACCTGGTCTGGATCTGAACAATGAGCAACTCTTCTTCCTGAACTTTGCACAGGTCAGAGCTGTGTCAACCCTGCAATTTATCTAAATAATCAGTTTAATGAGAAAATATGCTGACACTGTTGTGACATTACAACCATATTGATTTAAAAACAGGCTGGTTAGTTTCCATATATGAATGTAAGTTTCAAAACTTGCAATGTTTACATACTTCATGGAACTCTTATTTAAAAAAAGCAGGATTTTTTAAAATTATTTTTCAGCAGTTATTGACCCTTTCATATTTAACAGTGCAGTAGACCTTAGACACAGCATGCAGTAATACCTTACTGTGATGGATCAACATGATAGAGCATTTTTATTTGAATTGCCAGTGCCGTAACCAGAGCGAATTATTTCAGGTTTGGTGTGGCACGTATCGGCCAGAGTATGCCAGCCAGTCCATCAGGACAGATTCCCACAGCCCCCTGAACTACAGGTAAACAACTGCTGCTTTTCTCATCTGCTGAACTCTCACATAGTCCAGTTCATCCTCTATCACTGCCACTGCTGTCTGTTTCTGTTCTCAGAGTCCTGGGATCCTTGCAGAACTTTGATGCCTTTTCTGAAGCTTTTCACTGCAAACCAGGTAGTCCAATGAATCCACATGTGAAGTGTCGAGTATGGTAGGCTTTTCTGATAGTCATCAGTAGGAACACAGTATTAGATGCTGGCCTGTTTGATTTATTTTTTATTGTTGGTGTGGCTATAGCACAAGACAAACAAAACTTATTTTAATTTATTAATTTAAATATGTATTTTTTTATGCTACGAAGTGGTTTCCTTTATTTAACCCCTAAACTTCAATAGGGGGAATCTCCATTGTACCTGTTTTATTAAAAAAAAAGACCTGCAACACTTACATACCGCAGTTATAAATGAGGCCACTGTGACACAAATGTGGTGGTAGCAAAAAATGCCTAGAATTAGTTTAGGCTTAGGGCTCCAGAAGTTAAAGGGGCACTCCAGCCAAAATGAAAAATGTAACTATCGCTACATCTGTTGTAAACATGCCTGCCCGCCTCCTACAGCTGTAGTCTCAAGACTGAGATTTTAGGGTTTAAAGGAAAGAAAACCCCCGGTCTGATGATGTAGCTTGAAGGTGGGAAGCACTCATGCAAAACTATACGTGTTTTGGGGCAGATACATGAAGGTGAGCTGTTTGTCCGCCTCCCCCACTAGCTGGCAAATGCAAGTATTGTACAGCAGTGCATTTCTTTATAGACATATTTATATGCTGGGTATTAGTGAGAGAACACTAGTGGATGCAAAAAAAAAATATCACAAAAATGAGGCTGAAGGATGGAATACTGATGGAATGCTTCACCACAGAATTCTGAATAACACAACGAATAACATTAAATGCTAGTTTTAGGCCATGATGCCCATTTATTGATGTTAAAGACCAAAACAATACAGAAGTGTTAAGTGTTGTTATTCACTGACAGTAGGTGGGTATTGGGTAGGTTTTCATGTTTTTAAGATGCTGTAACAAGTTTGGATCCTTACATGAGAGGTTTTTCAAAATGTTTACTTGTTTTTGACGAAGTCCACTGCAAGCCCCATGAAGTGCATTGCACATCTCTACTGTCTGAATAAAAACTGAATAAACTGGTATTTAATTAATGGGGTGCTCCCGGCTGCACCTTTTAAAATGAGCACTGTTATTTATTGTTTTGTGATCTACATTTTCACGTTTTAACCTGAGCTTGTAGTGGACTGTTTCACTGTGCAGAAAATGTATATTAAAGAACTTGTATATGGTATTGTCATTGCTAATATTATGCTTATCACTATCAAATACACGTTAATAGTCTATTGATGAATTGTTTTAAGTGACAGAAATATAATGTAATGAACATATTGTGTTGTGCCAATTACTTTAAGGCTGTATACAGTAACTGTGCCAACATGCATATTAATAAATTGCAGTGTTTGTCATACAGAGATAAATGCTTTTTTTAAAAAAAAATAATTTGTCCTCTTTAGGCCATCTTCATTTTGCATTACTTATATTAATGCACTGTTTATGAACCATGATTTGAAAGTAGAACAGTCTGCTAAATAGCAGGACCAGGGCTGCGCCCAAAACCGCATTCTACCATACTGCTAAATGCACTACTATTGGAGTTACTGTTTTGATGTGCTATGGCTGCAGAACCGCAGCGAAGTGCCTTCAGTAGTATAGTATTTATAGTATAGTAGTACATGGTTTTGGACGCAGCCTATCTAGTAGGTTAGTATGTGGTTTTGGATGCAGCCCATCGCCCACATAGCAAATATGTTTTGGCCCAGATCTGCTGAATCAAGTTCAGAATCAAATTGCACACTGGGTCCAAAGTAGATAGATTATGTATAATAAAATGTTAAAGCAACAAAATATGACCTGAGTGTAAGAACCAGTAACAGTGTCCTAAAATAGAAAAATCACAACAAATGTGAAAGTTATGTAAAGATAATTTTAATTGATGCAAGTTTATTAGTTTAATGCCTTCTGTACTGTACAGTACTTATCTGTAACTGCTGTTTTTCTGAACTGTGGAATAAAAAGGCTGCCTGAAGTTTCACAGCTTTTGTTATAAGTAAGTTATAAGTGAAGTAAAAAGGCTTTAAAATAACTGGATTTCTTCATGTTCTTTGTGGAATTCCTGCTACTGTGATCATGACCTGGTGCGTCTATTATAGCTTTCGCCACAAGATGGCGGCAGAGTACCAACATTTTAATTTAAACTTCAACTTAGTTTATTTTCGTTGACATTTACGTACGAAATTCTCGCATTTATGCGGTTTATCTTAAAAGATGGAAGAGCAACAAGAGGAGATGTTCCCATTTAAACCCAGAAGTATTTCAGTGTCCTGTGTGAGTGATGTGAGGATTCGCCTCATGTCCGAGTTACTCAGTGTTTCTCCACACAGCAGCAGCGCGCGGGACGGTGCGCGTGTGGCTGTAACTGAAACAGTCGAACTGAAGTAGTTTAATATTCGGGTGATGTTTTACTGCTGTCTGTGGACACAGGGTGGTGGGTCCTGCGGGAATATGGACTCGTACACTGTTGTGTTGTTGTTAATGTTAACCGGGATCCCTTCACCCTTCGCCCTCGGAGCTCTGCAGTCCTTCATGTGAGTAAATGATGCTTATTTACTCTGTGGACTTGTTTTGATGTACGTCTTCATGTCCTTTACACTTGGAGTGAACCTGAAAATCTCCACTAGCATGACCCATAATTGTAATTAATAGAATTATTTTAATTAATGATAATTTTATTTACATGTTGAACATTTTTTTCTGAACTAATTATTATAATTATGCACATGTAACGTGGGTTGATGTAAAAAAGCTGATGTAACGTCTGACACTTATGTGTAAATGTATGGACAGCTAAGCTAGGGGTGTACTGATTCAGCCAGCTACAAGACTCGATACAATACAGCGATGTCTCAATTCAGTACGTTTTTCCGATACAGTGCGTGAAAACGTGCCTTATGTTGGCATATTATTGTTTCTATTTTCTGTTTATTGGAGCATTCAACACAAAAGTACAATGTTTAAGACTTTACAGTGGCATCGCCAGACCCATGACTGTTTATTTGCATCATAGAAACACTAAACAAAGCTTACTGCATCGACCTGAAGCCCTTTTCACACCAGATGTTGACCTCGGTTGTTGTTTTCATGCAATATAAACGTCTGTTGTCCGTTTATCTCATATAAACTTTATGTAGATGACATAAAGAGATCAACGATGAAATCTTGACTAGCTGCCGTAACTGTTGCGAGCTTTCTCACCAGGTGACGTAGCTCTATATGAAGAGGAGGGGATGCTGTGTGTTCACAACATTAACCGACTCGAGGCATTTCAGTCAACCTTTCATAGAGTTAAACCCATAGATACACATATCTAGATGCCGCGTTGCCTGTTGTTCTCTATCTGAGGCGAATTGTCTGCGCGTCCGCCATGTTGGAGCGGTCAAGATCCGCTTGTGAACAAATCCACTTGTATTGAGAGATGATGAGTCTCAGGATTAAATCGGCCACAGCTTCCTTATTACTCAACCGATTTTCACTAAATTTGTTTCGTTATAATCCTCAGACACAGATTAATAGGCTTCTCTCAGTATCGTGCTAATTAGCCGTCCGGACCAGCAGAAAAATATTCCGCCTGCACCTGACGTTAAAAACCAAGTTTAGCACGAGAAGAAACACTAATCTCATCAGAAAACGAAATCAAAGTCATCAGCAAACCCATCAATGTGTGAATCACTTCTAATCTTAATACACGTAAAAATAAAATACCACTACTGTTTCTGCATAGAAACTGCCAGCATGCCGCGCGCGGCACGCGTCAGAGATAGACCCACAACGTATTTTTGCGCTTCACGCGCGCGGCCGGTGTGAAAGGCTACATTGATTAATATAAAATAAGGGATTAATATAAATTAATATAAAATAAGGAGCGTACTGCGCGCGGCACTGCGCGGCGCGTCATGTGGTGCGGTTACCGCGTCTGGTGTGAAATGGCCTTAACACGCTAGTCAGAAGCTAATATGCTCGAACCCAGCCAATAGGAAATGACCTGTCACACAAAAATGTGGGAAAAAGGCTTATTTTATTGTGATACTCACACTTAAGGACCTATGATACATGTTGATTGGATTGTTAAATAGTTTAAAGTGCTGATGTTTGTGTGCTAAATTTTACATTTCTGATGTTAATATTAGGGATGCACTGATGTGGGGATTCTGGGCTGACGCTGATATGCTGATTCATAAACATTTATTAAATGCAGATGTGTATTATGTACACATCTGCTAATGCTGACATGCTGATTCATAAACATTTATTAAATGCAGATGTTGGAATTATATTCCCCTGGAGTAGCATTACAGATAACGGTAACATTTGGTGTAACATTTATTTGATTTGTGGAAGGTTACAAAAGCAATAAAATGGATAAATTGCAGATTATTTAACATAAAAGCTCTGTGTAGCCTAAACATTCTACACAGAGTTGGGCGATATGACAATATTTATCAGTATCGTGATAAATCACGCCACATTTCTGAGCAAATCATAGATATCGTACTTAAAAATCACTTCCCAACTATATGTTTGATTATAGAGCATACTTGGTCCTGTTTAATTGGATTTAGTACAGAGTGTGTGATATGTTGAACACAAGTCATTGGATTCACAGTTTTGATAGTATTTTTACAATGTGGCACTACTTTATCTATTTTAATGTGTGTCAAAAAAAAAAGTGACACATCCTTTATTGTAAAAAAAAAACTTCCTGAAGCTTCGCCCACCTCTACTATAAATGTCATTAAATATCACTTTGAAATTTCAGTCAAATGTAATCAAATATATCCAGTGCTGATATGCTTTAAACCAAATTTCTGCTGATGCTGATATGCTTCCGATATCATTGTGCATCCCTAGTTTGTATGTTACTTTCCCCGATAGGCCAAATGTGTGTGTGGAGCGAGAGAGAGTGATTCAGGTGGAGAGACAGTCCTGTGTGCAGGCGTTCACTCGGATGGTCAGAGTTTGGAAGCAAGGCTGCACCAAGGGAGACTGGTGTGTGGGCTATGAGAGGAGGTCAGTATGACACATGTATAAAGTTTAGACCTCAGTTTTCCTAAATTTAAGTCAACTAATGCTTAAAATGTCATTAGTTAATGCTTCTTTGCTGGAAAAATAATACTTTTATTTACACCACCACACCCCCCATCACACACACTGACTTCTCCACACAGTCTCACGCTCACTGTCAGCAGCTTATTCACTCACTCTCTTAGACTTGTACTCGCTCGCTCTACGTCACTCTTTCACATATTTATCCACTCACTCACTTATTAATTTCGTATGTCTCTGTCATCTCAAAACTTTTAACTCTGTTTTTCAGTTTTTATTTTGACACTATTTGAAAACTCCAACTGTTCTTTTCTTTATGTGAACATTTCATAAATGGACCAAGAGAAATTAGTGACGTTATGTTCCACTACACTCCTGTTTTGTCCTTCGTCTAAAGTTCAAAGTCAATTTGTTGTGAAACAGTGCTTTACGTCACAAACCCAATACTTTGGGAACACAGTTCCGCAGCTGTTTGCTGCTAGCAAAACTTTTATGCTGATCATAGTGAATCAGCTCCAGGTCTGCTGTGAAATTAGACAGTAGAGAGACACCGTGGTTAGAAAGTGATCCTCCTGCTGAAAGATGGTGGCTATTAACGTTCTCAGATGCTTCAGGAATCAAAGGGAAGATCATGACACTGAGCACCATCAAGCCCTTTTGCTCCACTACTAGAGCGCGTCGCTGAATTGCCCACATTAAACACGGGATGGGCGTATGAACTGGTGCCACAGAACTGAACAAATGGGGAACTAATTAGGCTTTGGGATGGGTTGGTTTACAGTTCTTTCTTTTCCAGTCCAACAGATACTCATGTCTATCTCCAGATTTGCTCTCACTGTTGCAGTGGGATCTTGTAATCTGTAGCTGTATTGTTCCTCAAATATAACCATGACATGAGACCGTTCCAGGCGTTCTTGTAATTGAGGCTAGCTAGCTAGTTGGTTTGGGCAATTTGACAGTATTATCGTCACAATGTCAACAGTCCGGACAACAATATCATATTTGTGTTGAGATGATGATCCACAACTTTGCTGCCTAATTAGGTGCGCACATTTAATACTGTTTAAGTCTGATAAGAAATGTGCCAATACAATCTTGAGAATTATTGCAAGGGAATATAATGCGTATTTTTATGGGAAAAGTACTGAGTACTGAAGTCTGAGTCGACTTCCTTTCCACAAACGAGGGGCCGATAGAGGGCCTGCAGAATGAGGCCACAGGAGCTAAATTAGGCCTATAGACAATGTATTTTTTATGAGTGTATATTTTGTTGAAAAAAAAACAATCATCTGTTGGGATATTTGTAAAATACATAAGCAATTTTAAAAAAGTGTATGAAAACTAAATATCGCCCAGGCTTACAGCAAGAGTTTTCAGTCCACTGTGCCAAAAGTTTCCACCAAGACTCAGTTATTGTAATATTTGATGTCTTTAGTGAACCAGCCACAGTTTTGAAACCCTTCAGAAAATCAGTGTGGATCAGTCAGGGCTTCTGTTTTTGTTCTTGATTGTAGTACACTGTAAAAATATTTAATATTTTATCTTAAAAAGTGTAAGTAACCTGGTTGTCTTAAATTTTTGAGTTCGTTGATTGTCTGATAGGAAGTAAACAGAATGTGTTTTGCTTTAGTTTTTAAAATTTAATTGACTAAAACTTTTAATGCATCCAGATCACTGTTATGATTGATAATCCATGATTCATTTTGTACAGTGTACAGTTGTAATAAAGTTGTTCTTGTTATGTACAAAGTCATCCTAATCTCTCCCTGTCTTTTTATCTTAGGACTGTGTACTACACAGGATACAGACAGGTGTACAAGCAGGATTATCAGACGTCGTACAGATGCTGTCCTGGCTGGTCTCAGCTCAGCGGCGAGGCTGGCTGCCTGAACCGTAAGAGTCCTTGATGCTTCTTGAACTGCTTAATATGTAGTCTGCAAGCACAGACCCACATAAACAGAATGATTGAGAGATTTGTTTAGCACAGTCAGTACAGTAACCTACAGTAATCTGTGTTGTTATAACATAGTAGAATCATTACACAACAGCTTACATAATGACTGATGCTTTAATGCTAATGACTTGTAATAAGCAGTAAGATACTGAAAGGGATTGATATTGTAAGTATTGAAGAATTACATACTTTCTTCAAGCACTTTTTGAGAATCACTCTACTTTGAGAAGAGCTTTAAGATTTACCGTTCTATTGTAAAAGATGTACAAAGGCAGATACTTTTAGCTCAGCTTCAGGTGATCCTGTAGAGACTGAAAGTGTGATTTATACATGCAGACTCTCATACTGAAAACAAGATTTCGTCATGGTTAGTGTTAAAACGGCACTCAGGCCCGTTATTGGATCATTTTATTGAGAAAAGGTTCATCTTACATGATTCTAAAAAAGCCATATTTTTTGTATTTTATTTTTTTGCCTGACATTTGTGATATTTATGATGTTTGTTTGGTTTTATGTACCAAAAGCAGGTTCACCATTTTACTGTACAAGACATTGTGCAAAGGCAGATACTTTTAGCTCAGCTTCAGGTGATCCTGTAGAGACTGAAAGTGTGATTTATACATGCAGACACTCAACTACTGAAAACAAGATTTTGTCATGGTTGGTGTTAAAACTGAACTCAGGCCTGTTATTGGATCATTTTAATGAGGAAAAATTCATCTTACATGATTTTAAAGAAGCCATATCTTACATATGCCAACCTTCCTTTATCCCTTACAATTATGCAGGCTGTTTTTGTTACTATGCCTGTGAGACATATAATAACTGAAGGACCACTGTAAGGGTGAAGCACTCCTTATAACTTCAGCGAGAATGGGTGGGGCTAAACTGCTGTAGGCTGAATAGATGGAAATATAAAAATGTGTTGGGTATTTATAAATGTAAAATTCCTTTTTTCAGTTTCAACAAAAAAATGCTGCATAGTGCTGCTTTAACAACAAAATATTCAAATTGGCTGGCAAATGCTGGCCCTCATAGGGTTAGATCGGGTTAAGTTGTTGTCTGTTTATGGTAGGAGAGTTACGAAATGCCATTCTTCATGCTCTGTTCATGCATTATGTAGACAGCCCTTTCTCAGTATTAGAGCACCTCTTAGTGGCTATACTGAATAACATCCTCTGTTCTCTTTCTCCAGTGTTCTTTTCTTAAGGTGTTTTTTTAATGAGGCTTTATTGCGCAGTAAAATCTCCTGAACGTATAAGGGACACTTCAGACGCACGCTGCCTTTAAATCTTCCTCCCTTTTTGGCTCAGTCAGACACATCTACGCACATCCATTTTCCCTGTGGAGATGCTGTTTGGAGGATGATTGCTCTGTAGCTAATGCCACTCACCCATAAGCCTTTCGTCAGGTACTCATTAATTCGGACCAGTGAAATCTCAATGGAGGCTTTGTGGTTTGTGAGAACGGTACTACATTTTCAGCTTGAAGGATGAAACCGTGCATCTCCCAACAATCAGATGGTATTTAATCATGCTTCTGTCTTCAGGTCTGTCTCTGTGAGGATTCAGATGTTGTCATGTGCAAAACAAATTAGCTTCAATGTGTTCATGTTTCTTTAGAGAAGGGTGTTCTCGGGTCAGACAGCGCTGTGCTAGTGTGGACTGAGATCACACTGAGAATGTTTTGACACATCATTTTCTATTCCTTGGATCACATGTATGATTTATACTGAAGTATGTTTGAGTTATTTTGGTGTATCTTCTTGCAAGGTTCTTTCAGTTGCTCCATGAGCAGAGTTGAGGCTTTTGGAGAGCCAAATGTCAGGTATGCTCAAGAGTATTTTCAAGAGCTTTTTACTAATAAAGTACCTACTGTACCTGCAGACTCTTTGTTTTTACACACTTTTTAAAGATAGTTCTTCAGGGGCTCTTTAGTAAAAGCAGTGGGACTGTTCAGAATACCCACACATTATCTAAGCCACTTATCCTTCTGGGTCGCGGGTGGGATGCTGAAGCCTATCCCAGCTGTCTTTAGGCAGAAGACAGGAAACACCCTGGACAGGTCGCCAGTCCATCGCAGGGTAGACAGACAGACCTATACATTCACACACACTCACACCTAGGGGCAATTTAGCATGTCCAGTTGGCCTGACTGCATGTCTTTGGACTGTGGGAGGAAACCCACACGGACACGGGGAGAACATGCAAACTCCGCACAGCTAGGGAATCGAATCCAGGCCCTTCTTGCTGTGAGCACTACCCACTGCGCCATTGTGCCACCCCTGTTCAAAACAATGAGTTCTATATAGATACATTTCATGCTTGAATGATTCTTTGCAAGAGGAATTGGTTCAGATTGATGGTGAATGTGTGGGATTATGGTTCTATTTAAAGACTTTTTGAAAATGGTTCTGTATAGCACCTAAAAGAATTCTGCTGTTGTTACAATGTCAAGCTTGTAACAACAGTAAAACCCTTTTTAGTGCTATATAGAACACTTTTCTAAAAGTGTCCACTTTCTGCTATATTATTCCATCAATATGCAGCTTAAAGGGATGATTCTGCAAATATTTTTTGCAAATCTGCAATTTTCCCCGTACCCTAAACGTTATAGTTTGCAGTTATATGCTCAGCCAAGACATGTTTGGTGTCTGAAGTTTGCTTCTTTAGTTTTGTGCTGGAGTTACAATGCAAATGGAAGCTTACACTTCACCAATTAGCAGAGCTGGCATATCAGTGTTTATGCAGCATCAGGCTGAATCAGCAAAAAATGCTGGATTGTATATCGAGGGGATAAATAATGAATCTGATCCAAACCTGTAACAAATCCAAATCACACATACTGACATTTGATGTTGTTAGTTGTGTATTTGTGTGGGAGCATTAAAACCTACTTTTAGATGCTGACTTTAAATGAAGTGCTTTGATTAAATGTAACTCATTAAAAATGTGTGTGCGTGTACATATATGTGTGTGTGTGTGTGTGTGTGTGTGTGTGTGTGTGTGTGTGTGAGACTGAGTGAATATATATATATTCTATATACACCTATATATTAGGCCATAGTTGGTGTAGATGTGTGATTTGTAGTTCTTTTTAGTTCATCATGCTTGTATTTAAACACTGCAAAAATAATATTCTAGTAGTATTTTTGATTAATTGTGAAGTTTTGTTTGGAAACACATGCATTAGCTTAACTACCAACGTAATTATGAAGTGATAGAGAAATAAAACGGCTGTTTTGATTTTTTTATTTTATGAGATTTTATGAAAAAAATGTCACTCTGGGCCTTCTGGAAGTCCTAGTTATGTCACTGACTGTGAATACAAGCTGTCTAATCAGATTTCGGTCAGTTGTTAGAAATGAAAAACAGCAGCGGCTCTATGTCGGGCTTCTTTGCTCAGAGAGTCACTGTAAAATCGCAAAATACAAAGTATACGAGGTAAAATATGTGTTATTGTCTGGTGCAACTTCAGATAAAATGTATGGAACGTCTTTACAAGCTTCAGTTGTCTGTGGTAAATATGGAATGGCTAACAAATGTTCACATTCATCATAGTTAATTTAGTGCAAAGACTATTTTAAACAGAATGGGTAAAAGAAATGTCAAAACCAGTATACCAAATGGCAAATTAAAATGGTAAAATTGAATTCGGTGGCACGGTGGCGCAGTGGGTAGTGCTGTCGCCTCACAGCAAGAAGGGCCTGGGTTTGGTTCCTGGCTGGGTGACCAGGGTCCTTTCTGTGTGGAGTTGTGTACATGTTCTCCCCGTGTCTGCGTGGGTTTCCTCTGGGTACTCCGGTTTCCTCCCACAGTCCAAAGACATGCAGTCAGGCCGATTGGACACGCTAAACTGCCCCTAGGTGTGGATGTGTGTGGGATTGTGTGTGGATGTATATGTCTGTCTGTCTGCCCTGCGATGGACTGGTGACCTGTCCAGGGTGTATCCTGCCTTCCGCCCAATGACAGCTGGGATAGGCTCCAGCACCCCCTGTGACCCAGAAGGATTTGTTGGGAAGTGGTTTGTTGTGTGTGTGAATTTGAATTTTCATTCTAAGTCCCGACTGGATATATGAATGGGAAATTTAAATTGAAAGAATAAGAATACATTTTACATACTACATTTTTATTTGAATTGAATATATGCTTCTATGCATTCCTGCCATTGATTTTTATTTTTTAGAATCAGTAATCATTAGTAATATTTGAGTCACCACACTGGATATAACTAATTGAAGTGTCTGTTCTGGTTCAATCTGTGCAAAACATTATTGGGAACGAAAACATTTTATTCTTTTACGTTCTGCTTCCAAAGCATGTGTCTTTCTTTTTAGAGACTTTACAGGCTATGGAGCTTAACTTCTGACACCTGCTCATCCATGGCTCTGTAAGAATGAAAGCCTTGGAGGACTTTGTGACCTCCTCCCCCAGTGAGCTGGTAATCCACTCAGACAAGGCTCCTTTGTAGCGAAGAAAAGTGATGCCAGGAACAGCTGGCAGGAGAAGCCGAAGCCATTTGGTTTGAAGCATGGCGAGTTAGGCCACCATCCCAAGGCGTATCTCTAGCTTTTGTGCTCCTCATCAAAGGCTGTCCATCCATCATTGAATGCCATTAATTCACTGTGTACCTGTTTAATTCAATAAAGAAATGTTTGCTCATTTTATGGCCTAAACCAATCGGACAAGCCTGCACAGCTGCAAGTCTGCAAGCAGTGTTCACCATTTATAATCCTAAAAAATGATTCACTCAAAATATTTTTTTCTTCTTGTTTGCAGATGTAACGTTCATTCAAATGTAAAGCCACTGAATAGCAATGTTTTGTATGGAGGGAACTGAAGGAATTCCAGATTTTGGATGTTTGTCAAGGGCAGGGGAATTGACACAAAGCTGCCAAGGCAGCATCTTTTTACCAAGCCCGAACAGTTGCTGATGTTTT